ATATCGCGGATGTACACCGAAAGCCTGGGCACCCTTTTGGCCGAACCCAAACGAGGTCACCGAGAAGGCCTTCAACCCCGTTTTCCGAATGGTCTTGCTGGGAAAAAAAAGATCTTGGCGAGCCCTCAGTCGGACGTCGATGTTATCCGCGTTGCGTTGGCCAGGGATCGTACCCATGTTAAGTGCTTGAAAACACCCATTCACCATCCACGCCGCGGATGCCCCTTTCGAATGGCCAGTCAGGTATTTCTGGAAAATGCAGTACAAAAGGTGACCATCCTCTCGGCCCATGTGACTGAGTTGCTTTTGGATGACATCTGTTTCATTCAAGTCGTTCAGCACAGTCGACGTACCGTGCAGCGAGGCGAAATCCAGATCATTGACAGTCAGACCCCATACAGCCAGAGCGCCGCGGATAGGTGAAATAGATGAATCGCCGTGCCAGAAGTCAAGGCCAAATGTAGCAAGCGCATCTTTCCGCTGGCGAGATGCTTCATTGGTGATCCAGTGTTGGCGTTCCGTCAGCAGAGTTTTATCTAGCATGTCTTCAGTGACCAAGTGGGCAGTTTCATCCATTTCCCATTTTGAGATTTGAGCGAGACGCTGATCCAAGCGGCGACGTCGATAGGACATGTTCAACAATGGCGAGCGGAACTTCCCGGCCGTTTCGCGTGCGTTGGTCAATATGCCTTGTCCGGGCGCTGGCACGGAGCGGCCTGCTTTATCGCTGGCAGTACCGGCCCACGCAACAATGCCATAAATCGGTAGACCCATGTCAAGGGCTAGCCGTGCCGTGGTGAGAAGCTGAACGCCCGCACCGTGGCTTTCGACAAAGCCTGCGCGTGTTGAACTGGTAGGACGGGAGGCCTCGGCAGGAGATCTTCCCTGGACATGTTCTTTGGCCGGATCCGAGGTCGCGCCCATATTGGCGAATTCGACGGCAATATCATGGTCAAGATCGTCTACGCCGCCGACGAGGCAAACCTTTGCCTTTCCAGTGGAAATCAACTCGTAGCCTGAGTCTAGAGACTCCAGTGCTGTTGCACAGGCTCCGACGGGTGTACGGAGTGGACCTGCACCTGACATCAATAGCATGTTTACCCATGCTGGCGCTGTATTTATGAATGTTTCTTGGAGGATATCTGACGCGGCAGGGAGATCATGGTGACGCGTTCGGAAAACACGTTTCAATGCGTGAATGCCACCCAGCCCCGAGCCGATGCAATTCCCCAGCTCAGAGACATGTATATAGCGATAAATCTCGTAGGCGTCGGTGAGACCACTGGCAAAGAGAGCCTCTGCTACACAGACAAGAGTGAAGAGAGTAACACGGTCAACCTGGGCGATGAGTTCGTCCGATAGGCCATAGTTCTTTGGATTCCAGCCTGTGGGTATCTGTCCAGCCACAGGGTGTGCAACCTTTAGACCTTTAGGCACAAGGATTGTGGCACCCTTCTTGAGACGCATTCGGAAATCGTCTTCTTCATTGTCTTGATCCGTAGGATAGTAGACATCCACGAGATCGCCCTGCTCAGCCTGGAAATGCGTCGCTAATTCCTTTGTGGTAGAGATTGGCGGAAGATCTTCTGTCAAAACCACCTCTTGGAGCAACTGTCGGCGTGTGGGATCTGCCCCATAGCCAATATCCAGCTCTGACTCCACGAGGCGAATACCTGTATGCGCTAGGATTCGCTTCTCATACTGACTCTTCACCTCTGAATCGGCGACTGGATGTCCTCTTTCAACATCCACCCAACCGTCGTAGTATTCAGAATTGATTTCACCGCTATAGTGTCGGATCATGCCCATCATCCATGCCATTTCGATGCATCCCTCCAGACTGAAATGTCCATCCGCTTCCATCTCCCATCGCGTACGTGCATTTCCATGCGGTCCCAACTCGGCGATTCCGGTGACCACCACGACACGGTCAAGATCGACCATCCCATGGAGGTGTTGAGAAAGGGGGCGAATCTCGGTGTCGTAGTCCGGAAGGTCCGGGAATTTTAGTTGGAGATTGGCGAGCGGTGGTGGCGCAGGAGTGTAGAGATCCTCCGTTATATCTGGGCTGGTATCGAGCTTCTGGTCTTCCTTGACGGCCTTTCTCATCGAACTCGTCTTCTGCATCTCCTCGCGCAGCGCTGAGAGTTTCGACTTGAGGTTTGGATGTTGGCCGAGTCCACCAGTGACATCTGCATACAAGGCAGAAGTCTCGCAACACTCTGCAACAGGGTTACTCATCAACAAAAGCAGATGCAGCGCCATTTCCTCCACTGAGAATGTGCGAATACCCATCTTCTCCATTCCTTCGGCGACAAGATCATTTGCTTTCATCAGGCCTGTCCCTCTAGTCCACCCGATAGATGCACCGCAAATAGACAGATATGGTGCCCAGCTCTCAGACTCCCATTTAGCAAAAAGAGGCTCAAAGCCGATCTTCGACTCGGCGTAGAGACCATCTCCGCCAAAGATGCCGTGGTTCGGTGACAAAGGGAGCAAGACCTGGGTAACGTTGCCGTTGTATCCACGGGTACGCTTTTCATGCGCGACCCGACCCATCAATCTCAAGACATTGACGAGCATCATGCGATGGGCCAATTCAGCACGTGAGTCAATTCTATCCATCTCGCGACCGGATTCAGAAATTGCTGCGAATGGGACGACGTGGTCGAGGTCAAGACCTAGTCCGTCATAAATCCACCCAATAAGTGAGTTGACATCTTGATGACTGCCTTGATTGAATGATACGACGTGTAACTGCGACCCGCGCGCACCATGCGAGACATACATTTCGCGGAAAAAGTCGATGTTGCTGGTTGTGAAGCGGCTGGTGGTGACGATGACGTTTGCACCGCCAACAAGCAGTCCGCGTAAGATCTCAGAGCCGATTGATGAGCGACTTGATCCGATAAGCAGCACGACTTTGTCGGCAAATGTGGGAGCTTCGGTGCCACTGGCTTCTTTCAAGAGCTGAGAGTAGATCTCAGTGACCTGCTGTTGCTCAGACCAGCCTTGGGAATTCTTGATACTGAGCGTGACGCCAGTAGGTTTAATTTGAGTCGATGTAGAAGGAAACTCCTCGTACGTGATTTCTCCATCGTCTCCGATGATGGTGCGAGGAACTGTGAGTCGTTCACAGACGTTTTGAGCAAAAGGCTGAATGGTAGGCGGGGTCTGAGGACTCTGTCTTTCTATGGTGCTGATCAAGCTGGCGAGGAAACTGGAAGCAGCATCAATATTTCCATCCAGTTTTCCATCGAGCGTTTGGCGATGCAGATAATGCACGACGCGAAGAAGACGTGGACACGAGCGATTAGCAATCAATTTAACTTGTTGACGTGTCCAGCTCTGGCCCGCGCCAACTTCCCCACGAAGAATGGCCCCTAACGTGTTGAAAAGATCCTGAATACCCCAATTCCAGTAAGAATCATATCGACGAATGTGTGAGGCAGACCATTGGGGCTTCACACCGGAGATGAAATCGTCGCCTAACTCAGCTACTAACGCGTCGATCTCCCCTTGTAGGGATTGTATCTGTTCATCGCGTTGAATAGCGACCTTAGCACGCTGATTCAAATCAATGCCCAAGCGACCAGCTTGCTCTTCAAGATGGGCGATGTCGATTGACTGTCGTGCCGTGTCGACCTCTTGATGGCCCGCTGCGGAAGCCAGGACGGGCGGCGATTGCAGCGGCACAGGCGCCGGAGAAGCATTCAACCCATGTTCCGCAAAATACGCCTGCGCGATCGCATCAAGAAAGTCCCGTGTTTCAACAGCTGTTGCCAGGCGTTGTGCTGGGGGTCGACTACTAGCCTGGAGAAGAATGCAATCCTGACGACCAGGACCAAGTCCCCAACGGCTCTCGAGATATGAGCGGATCTGCGCTGTGCGAAAGTCCGCGGCCATCTTCAGGGATATCATCTTGCCGATCATGATCGTTGTTGTTCGTCGCAGCTGCCCAGAAAAAGCAGGTGAGGCCTGTAATTGATCGCACAGGGCCTGGAGTTCCATACTCTCGACGTGCTCGGGCACACTCCCAAACTCGGCCTCAAGTTCGCCGGTTATCTCATTCTCCATTGTCGACCTTCCGCCGCATAGTTGCTTTACGGACTTGCCCAGGTCGTCTTTCCCCAACCTTCGATCGATCTTCTGAGAGATGATGGCAGTCACAATTTCCTGGGCAGGCACGGGTGCATCGGCAATGGATGGATGAGCGGCAATTTCCACTGCTGCTGGAGGCGGAGCCACTGGCTCTATAGGCAAAGCAGCGACAGGAGGAGCTTTCTTTGAGCTAGCTGTTGATGTTTCTTCTGTGCTTGTTTTGAGATCTTTGCTGGAGGTGAAACCGCGATGAATATCGACGGCATGGTCACGATAGCTGAGAAGCTTCCGAGTTATACCGAGCGCGCTATCGTGAATGATATAGTTCTCATTTTGCAGGGTGCGCTTGAGCATGTTCACCAATGTGCTGGCTGGTCCAACCTCCAGCAGGTTCTGGGTGTGCAGCTCTTTGAGCAACACATCTTGCGTCTCAATCCATTTCACCGGGGATGCAAACTGGTATCTAGTTGGGAGATCAGCACTGACTCGTCTTGGAGTTTTATTATTTTATCAACCTACGCTAATAATTCGATGAGCAACAAATAGGTAAGTTCTCGCTCTACTTCCGCGTGCATTTTGGCGCGTAGTGCAGCGTATGGAATTATGTGCTGGGTGGGGATATCTCAGTATTTTCGAAGAACAATCTGAATTAATGCTCACCCAAAAGAGTAAATCATTTTCATGACTATCCCCATGATGGGCAAGATTGTTGGTGTTGCTACCCTCCTAGATGGTGGCACGTCAGTGTGGCACGACTGCGCTTAGGGCTCCGGGGCCAGAATGGGGGCCCTATCATCAAAAGGCAAAGGGTCAATACACAACCCGGAAGACATTACCTCACAATTTGGTAAAATCAAATCCTTCTCACAGAATGTCAGATAACGCTACCGCTGCGGAAGATGTTTGCGCTTTCGCTGCCGCTAGTCGGTTCCATCATTGTCTCGAATTTGAGAGTAGGACTACTCAGAAACTCCTACGGGTCACCTACGCCACTGTGGGCTGTCAAGATTCCGATTCCCCGACTATACTCTTTGCTGGTGGATTGTATGGGGGGGCGTTGGAATGGGCTCTGGATCGACCATCTGTGCCATCAGAAAAATGTCCGCGTGGTGATCATCGATCGGCCAGGGTTCGGCGGCTCGACGGCCGTGGCCCTGGATCAACGAATCCCCGTGTGGCTTGAGACGGTGCCTATTCTACTACGATATCTCAAAGTTGACAAGGTTACTCTCGCGGCGCACAGCAGTGGAGTCATTTATTTATTCAACACGGTCTACCATTTGCCAGAGATCTTGACTCCGAAGCCTACGATCTATCTCATTTCCCCTTGGGTTCATCCGTCCAAATCGGGCGCAAAGATGCTGACCATCGCGAGCGCTATGCCTGCAGGGCTTGTTACCGGGTGGAACAAGATGACTTCCTTCCTGGTGAATCGGCTCATGCCCTCGTCAGCCCCGGCCGACCAAGGAAAGAAGAAAAACAAGAAAGACCCACAATCCGACAGCGCGATCACTGCGGACGAGAAAACCTTGTTGGAGACGTGCGGGCTCTCCTTATCAGCCAAACAACCCACGCGTGATTACTTCGTCAAAATGTTTTTCGAAGAGGACACCTCTGGAGTCGCAGACGAGGCCAAACTTGGCCTCAAGACGGGTTCGGGTGTCTCATGGGGGATATGTGATGACTATGAGACTTTCGCGACCCATTTAGCCGAAAAAGTGGGTAAAGACAACAAACTCCACATCGTGGCTTACTTTGGAGAGAAGGATGGGTACGTGGGCAAGGGAGGCTGCCAGTATTTTCAGCGGGTATGGGAAAGCGACACGGCCCGCCAATCCATTTCGGCCGAAGTTCATGAAATTCCAGGAATGAACCATGATGATCTGACACTGCCAGAACACGGGGTTCTTGGCCGAATCTTCGATTGGGCCTCCCACTAAGAGTACGGAGTACAGTAAGATTAAGATACATAAATAGCGTTCGCCCCCAGTGGAGTAGGATTTCAACTAGTAATCAGAAACGAATGGACTAGTATTTTGTGTGGTTTAAAAGTGGCTTGCAGTTTCATGCACATTAGGGATTTAGTGTCAGCCAAGGATTGCCAAGGAGCGCCAACAATAAGCTTCCGAGTCCTTGACAAACTTCCAGCTCTGCTCGTAGTAATTCTCCGTGGGAATTCCGATCCAATTGGGCTTTTCATTTTCTGTTTTCAAATTATACACAAGGATTAAAAAAAGCGAAAAAAAAAATACAATCACAATCACAAACACGGCAAGTGCTTATTTCAGTACTCCGCACGGAGTACCGAGTACCGAGTTGTACACTAAACGGCCCCCATCTCTGCAACTTGAAGTGGAACCCACCTGTGGAGATTGAGGAATGGACCTAATCAGGTGTGTAAAAATACTAGCAATATGTTTTAAATGGGTAGGGCCTTCGATTTGTAGCAGCTTCCAAGGTTCAAGCCTAAAGGAATTTTAGGATTGTTTTAACTTTCAAGTTGGACCTAGGTGCTAACTAGTTACTAGTCACTAGTAACGGGTACCTAGGTATGTGGTAGTTGGAGATAGTTGGTAGTTATATATGTAATACCACTACTAACTTGCAAATAATACTAAGCTGGAATTCTGTTACTTGAAGTTAATTCCCGAGGTCGGCCAAACCTTGCTAAATGCACCTGACTCACCTATGCACTGTCGAGTACTGCCCCGGTATACCCAGATGACCCTATTCACTGACTAGGTGCCGTCCAAAAATGGCTATAATATTTTCGAGGCCCCATGCCAGTTGGCTTTCAAGTTTTTTCTGATTGCCACCAAAAGGCCTAATCTTAGGGAGGAGAGCTATTGGCAAAATAGAACGAGATAATCCCTAGACAACAAGTTGAGGAGAATGGTAAAGTATGGTCAGATTCATAAATACCTCCAGTGCCTAATTACTAATTAGTAGGGTTGAGATTAACACTACTAGCACTAGCAAAAGCCATGAGTCCACCTGAGCGATGAATGGTAGTATATAGAAGGAGATCAAAAGTTCCTTGTGGCCACCACAGCACCCTAGCCAATTCGGTAAACTGATTGAAATCAGTCCTATTAAGCCCTAGAAATGACAACTTTGGAAAATCTGAGTCGTTACATATTAGACTAATGAGAGTCCTAGCTAGGCGAATGTGCAGCCGGAAGAGTAGGCACTCTCAATGAACCCCACGGTCGCGTCGTATTTTCAAAGGTTGCCTTGATATTTACGCCCCCAAAGTTTTCTGTCCTACAATTGGTCTGCTTGGGAGCGCTTACTTGAATAGGTACTTGTAGAAATGCAGAAACATCGGGAATAAGAATTGGGTATTCTACAGAGGTCCATAGGTGATTACCCACATTTGGATCCACCTAGACGCATACAAGTAGAGCTCTAAAGCTGGCTTATAGGTATTTCAGTATCATTTACCGTATTCAGATGCTCCATAATTATTATAATCAACCTATTTGTAACTAGTGGCGGGCTTGAATATCTGGAAAGCCGTCAGCACCATTTCCAGCCCCTAGCCTACATACTTCGGGTATAGAGCTAAATTCCGGAGGATTTCATAAGCCTTGCAATTTTACAAAGGAAGCTCAGCGCAATGTGATTCGTAGTCCCCAAGTAACAGTCGAAGCCCCAAGATTGAGACATTGAGCGATTTCGCACAAGAAAATCTCTTGATATTATCTACTAAACTTTCCCCTCTGGGTTTTGAGTATTTTGTGATGGTCAGTCAAGGCTAGTGATTCCGGTTGTGCATGACTTTATTATAAATTTAGTCCAAGAGATAGAAAGAGAAATATGCGGGAGAATTATAGTGAAAAACTATCATTGAACAAGGATATTGCCTTCTATTGGCCATGCTGTAAAGCCTGCTTTGTTGCACGAAACCGTCGTATGAGCATTTTCATATGTTCCATCACCACCTCATTCTCCTCTTGTAAGAGTTTAATATAAGCTACCGCCTGTTGGAGAACTTCAGCTTTGTTCAGGCGTACATTTCTGTTGTGGTCCTCATCAGTTCCATCCGCGTCACTCGGAAATGGAGACGCAGGTGATCTTTGTTGTTGCTGGTCTTGTTTCCAAGTTTCCACACAATCACGCAGTGCCTCAAAGCGCTCATGGATCCCAGCCCGATATCTTTTTTCAATCACGTAGTGCGCGCGTTGACGCTTTGTCGATCGCTGGCCCGTGCTCTCTTCCGTCTGTCGCCTCTCGGCTGATGGAAAGCTTGGTGGCGGCTGCATCGCGACATCTCCTGGATTTGATGGAAGAGGCCCTGGACTTATTTGCGGGGTCCCGACAACGGGATCTGGTAGCGTACTTGCGGTGCTTGTGCTGTCGAACTCGGAAGAGTTGAGCATTACGTCCCACTCGTTGAGGGACCATCCTAAGTCTAAAAAACCTGTTAGAGTTGAAGAGATCCCAGAGCGGATCTACCCACTTAACATGAAATCACTGCCGGATGAGCTTGGTAAGTTGCTTGATGTGGTTGAAGATGAAGAAGCCGTTGTGATATCGCCCAGCCAGTTCTGCCACGGGCCGTCCGGGCCGTCAACGGGATATGGGGATCCTGCATATAATGCAGGATCGACAGGCAAGACTGTTGAGTGCAAGTCCGTTACTGTTGATTGCTCTGTTGTGTTTTGAGGTAGGATTTGTCTCGGTGTCATGACATCTGCAGCGGCCACCCACTGTGAGCCAGGCCGCAATAATTCCGGATCAAGATCGTCATGAGCCATCAACATCCGCAGGGCAGCAGCCATGCGATCTCGCCGAGTCGGGAGTGTAGGGCTGGCCTTGGCATGTGGCATGGTGGGATCGTCCATAATGAACTTGTGATGAAAATTGACTGAAGAATGGCGCAAGTTGCAGCCTCCCAGGTTCTATAAAGCTGCTGAGTAGAGGAAGGTAGCATCGGGATTTGGAAAACTGCCCCAATACTAATACATACGGAAGTATGCAGGTCTCAACGACAGTCAGATACCTCCCGCCTATCATCGGTCAGATAGCGGTTTATCGCCTTCCACTAAGAAACAATGGACCTTTGTATTGGCTAGCCCCCCCTGATGAGCGCGTGGTTGATCTAGAGGTGTCGATGCTTAGCCCCTTGGCCCCCACGGAGGGCCACGCAGGTTTGCAGTAAAAGATAAGTCTGCCTTGGCTGATCTGACACCTAAGTGGACACTAGGCAGGGCGCAACGGAGATTCGACACTGGTGGATCAAGATGAGATGCAATGCAAATGTGGCTGCGGGGGCCATAAGCCTAGGGCTGCAGGAGCGTATTACCATACAAACACTGCATAATAGTAAGATCTTCTGGTGGCGTCGGTAGAAAATTCCTATTGAACCAAATTGTTTGAATGATTTACGCCTTCAGGATGCGTGAGCGAACCAGCCCGCTGGGTTTATGGCTACACTGGCGCACTAGCATCTGCCGAATGGGGTGAAACCGCCCCCAAGGCCACCAGCGGATGTGGCTCTTGATCAACCATTGAGAAGGTTGTTTGCCGAACATCCACTGTATTGCACGCGGCCTGAGAGCTAAAGGGAGCCTGCGGTGGTGTTGATGGTGGTACCACTGCTGAGTGTTTCTACAATGCGACGATTGGGCTCTGGTGATAGCGAGAATGAGTAGAGTGAGATGGCTGTATGGGGGCCATTGCCATAGTATAGATTCCTGCTAAGTGAAGTCCAAGGGTGACTTTCTGCTTTTTGTGCAAACTATACTGTATTATAGTTATTTTTGATCAATTCAGTCTACTTACAAAACCTCCTGTATACGAGGTTCGCTATGGCCTCAATAATTGCCAATGAAATGCCTCTGGACAGCATGAAAGCTGCTGCTGTGGAGGTCACGGCTGTTGAATCTACCATCGGGTCGAGTTCTGCAAGCATTAGCGAAAGCGACATTGAATCCTCCCAGTCATCCGACAATGAGTCGCTGAAAAGAGCTCAGCAAAAGCTCGAAATCTTCCCTGTGCTGCCCACATCGGTCTATCAACCGTGGGCTAGCAGTCACAGTGTTGTCCAATGGGTAGATATTTCGCAATCTACCCAGGCAGATCTGAAAGCCTCATCGATTGGTGCTTGGGCAGTGCTTCTTGGAAGATACTCCGCTTTGACAACAGATGTCGTTTTTGGTATCTCCAGCGAGGCAACCAGCGAGGCAACATGCTCTGCAAGAGCGCTTCGCGTGACCTGGGACGCGGCAATGAAACCAGCAAGTCTGCTAGAGCTGGTCCAGAAAGAAATCGACAGCAAAGAGGAAGCTCCGTTCGATACAACGCTTCGAACCGCTGTTGTGATCAGTACCAACGAAAACAAAGCAATTCCGCAACAACATGCTCTAGTTCTGACTATTCTACACACGACACATACCACGATCCGGGTATCTGCCCGATTTGACCAAAACCTCTTGGACGCTCGTCAGGTGGACCGCATTGTTCACCAATTCTCCCACGTCCTACTTCAGCTACTCCAGCCACAGGAATGTACAATCATCGATTTGGACCTGTGCTCCATTGAGGATCGCGCTGAAATTGCGCAATGGAGTCCGCCAATGCCTGCTGCCGCAGAGACCACCATCCATGAAATGGTACAAGAGACATCTCGCCAGCGCTGGAACGAGCTAGCTGTGCAAGCTTGGGATGGAGATTTGACATACGGAGAGCTTGACACAGCGTCAACCAAATTGGCTCGTCATTTGCGCAGCAAGTTCCATATTGGCCCCGGTAGCTGTGTGCCCTTGACTTTCGATCGTTCCAAGTTTGTGCCCATCACCCAACTGGCAGTGCTAAAGGCTGGCGCTGCATACATTGGCACAGAGCCCTCGCAACCTATCACGCGCCTTGAGAAAATTTTTACTCAAGTTGATGCGAAATGCATCCTTTCTTCGCCTAATTGGATTAGCAAGATGTCAGAAAGCGTGGGGAAGGTTGTATCCATCAACCAGGATCTGCTCGACAGTCTTCCGGAGCAGGAAGAGCAACTGCCAGCAGTAGATCCAAAATCAACCGCAGTTGTGATCTTTACCTCCGGCTCCACGGGAACACCGAAGGGAATTGTTATGCGACACATGGACTTGGCGTCGGCCATCGTCGCTCACTCAGCGGGCATGAAGATCCCCGAGAGAACCAGAATCCTGCAGTTCTCTTCATTCAATTTTGATCATTCCATCTACGAGATCATGACAGCTCTCATCGGTGGCTGTATTGTGTGTATTCCAACAGAGGAGGAGCGCATGAATGACCTCGCCGGCGTAATGCGCCGGATGCGTATCCAATTCCTCTACGCCACACCTACTGTAGCCAAGCTTCTCACGCCAAGCGAGGTCCCTGATCTCGACACTCTTTATTTGGGCGGTGAAGCCATTTCTCAGAATCTCCTCGATCTTTGGATCGCAGACAAGCGGGTTATCGCTGGATATGGCCCAACAGAGGCGGGTATGTGCGGTTTCTCCGAATTCACAGCCGGGGATGTTGCGAGCACAATCCATGTTTCGCAGGGAGGAATGAACTGGGTTGTCGATCCCAATGACTATAACAAACTGGTCCCGATTGGAACTCCTGGTGAGCTCCTGCAAGAGGGTCCTATGGTCGCTGCTGGTTATCTGAACAACCCTTCCGCAACCGCACAGGCCTTTGTCGACCCGCCATCATTCCGACAGAACAGCAGATCTCGATTCTACAGGAGTGGTGATCTCGCCCAGTACAACGCTGATGGAACATTCAAATTCATTGCTCGTATTGACACTCAAGTGAAAATTCGAGGCCAGCGGGTGGAACTTGAAGAGGTTGAGGATCACCTGCAACCCTTGGTATTGCCAGACCTGGCCTTCTGCGTCGACGTCGTCCACCTCCAGGGAGCAACTTCAGATGCACTCGCTGTGTTTTTAGCCCCGGTAGAAAACCAGGAATCGAACAACGTCGGTGAGGTTTCCCTCGCTGCACAGAGTGATGTTTCACGGTGGCAAAAATTGTCGATGCGAATCGAGTCCGAAATGGCCCAGAGATTGCCAGTGTACATGGTCCCGACGGTATTCCTCCCTCTGTCAACGAAATTCAGTTTGACGGCGTCTGGAAAACTCGATCGCAAGAAGTTGCGCCTCTTTGCAGCCACTCTCACACCGCAGGATATTGCGCCTTTCCGCAAACCCCAGGCAACACTCCCCATATCCACCTCTATGGAAGCCCAGCTCTGTGATGTCTGGCGAAGAATACTTGGAATCGACCAGTTAAGCGATGCGTCTGCAAACTTCTTCAGCCTAGGCGGGGACTCAATTGCTGCTATTCGGATGGTGTCCCTTTGTCGTTCCGAAAGTTTGAGTCTCACAGTGCAGACCATTTTCGCGAATCCCATCCTGTCCGACATGGCACTTGCCGTTGAAATTCCGAATGGTTCAGGAGGCCTTGATCTTGAAGCGTTTCTTTTGGCTGAGAATCGCCTGGATGAATTGCGTCAATGTGCCACTAGGCAATGCGACATCCAAGATGACACCATTCAAGATATTTTCCCTGCGTCACCATTACAGCAAGGGTTGATCGCCCTTTCGGTCAAGACACCGGGTCTATACCTGGTGCAGAAGATCTTCCAGTTAACAGGGATGGATGTGGATCGGATGATGCAGGCTTGGAATACCGTTGCTCAGCGTAGCGCGCCCTGTTTGAGTACTCGTATCTTTGAGGACGAGTCTGCAGATCTATGGCAAGTGATCGTCAAGGAAGACTTGCAGTGGACAGTGGTGACAGACGACGTGGAATCCTATCTTCAGCGCGATCTTGAGAGCCCCATGTCATTGGGAGCGCCGCTAAGTCGATTCACAGTGGTTCACGATCCTATAGCTGGGCCCGTGCTTGCAGTCACAATACACCATGCTGTTCATGATGCCTGGTCTCTCGAATTACTCCTGCGGGATTTTGAGCGCGCCTACCGTAACGAAGTCATCGAATCTAGTCCAAATTTCGCGGGACTGATCGCGCATCTTCAACAGATTGATGTGAATACCATGCGCGATGGCTGGCAGCAACAACTTGATGCCGCTCCACTGACACCTTTCCCTGAGATCCCCAGGGGATATATTCCCAAGCCGAACGCCTTCGTGGACCTCCAGTTTAAGCTGCCGGTGGTTCACGATGCCGCAGAATCTGACATTCCAGCTGCGATCAAGATCCGTGCAGCATGGGCCTTACTCCTGTCTAGCTTCGTCGGTTCAGATGATGTCATTTTCGCAAACACGAGCAATGGACGTGGTGCACCGGTTGCTGGTATTGAGGAGATGAAGGGGCCAACAATCGCTACTTTCCCCGTGCGAGTCAAGTTGCAGCGTGATCAGACCTTGCGCGCGTTCTTTCGAGACCTTCAAGTTCAATCTGCTACCCTGCTGGGGCTGGAGCACTACGGTATGCAGAACATTCGCAGCCTCAGTGAAGACGCTCGTATTGCTTGTGATGTTCAATCTCTGCTTCTCGTTGAGTATGACTCCGAGGAGGCGCATTCTCGTCTGCTTCAAGAAACTCGCAGAAGAGCGGGTGTGGCATTCCATTCCTTTGCATTTGGTCTCCGATGCACAATTTCCACCCGGAAAGAGGTCACTCTTGAGGTGAACTGGGATGAAAGTGTTCTGAGTTACGAACGCGTCCAGCTCATCTTGAATCAACTCCAACACGTCGTGGAGCGCGTCTTTTCTATAAGCCCCAACACCCGCGTGAAAGATATCGACCTGGTCGGCGCAGTGGACATAACGACCCTCGCACAGTGGAATGCGATCTCTCCTGTTACGCAATCAGAATGCCTACACCGTCGATTTGAGCAGATTGCTTGCATGTATCCCAGCAACATTGCTGTCGACTCCTGGGATGGCAAGCTCACTTATCGCGAGCTAGATGTCAAGTCCACTCGACTCGCACAGCATCTCATTCAACAGGAGGGACCTCGAGAAGGGGAACCCGTGCTCATCTCTTTTGAAAAGTCGATGTGGACTGTGGTAGTACTCCTGGCAGTCATGAAAGCTGGCGGAGCTTGTGTGATGCTTGATCCAACACTTCCCAAAGAACGTCTGCAGCGCGTCATGCAGAAAAGCCAAGCACGAACTCTCATTGCCTCGCCACTTCAGATGGAAGAATTGTGCCCCATTGGGTATTCCTTGGTGACTGTATCCGCAGAAGAGATGGCCATCTTGGAACAAGATCACGCCCCAGCACATGATATCGATTCAAGCCACGGTTCCCCCGAAAGCCTCGCCTTCGTCGTTTTCACTTCCGGTACTACAGGCGAGCCCAAGGGTATTGAGATCTCACATCAGGCTGCGTGTAGCAGCATCGAAGCTATTGCCTCAGTCATGGAGATCAGCACAGCCTCTCGTGTTGTTCAGTTTGCGCCCTATGCATTCGACGCATTCTTCGGAGAAGTCTTTGCCATGCTACTCCGTGGTGGATGTTTATGTTGCATTACCGATGAAGAGCGTAACAACAATCTTTCGAAGTCTCTCCAAACTTTGAATGTGAATTGCGCTTTCCTGACTCCAACTGTTGGTGCATCACTCGAGCCGGCCGAATTGCCTCAACTGGAATTCTTAGCGATGGGCGGCGAGCGCATGACGGAGGAATGCACACGGAAGTGGGGTGAACGCAACTTGATGAACGTTTACGGACCAGCGGAGACGACAATCATGTGCTCTGCTTTCCGCGGTATCACATCCTCCGATGATGTTTCTAACATCGGTCGCTCTGTTGGCGCAAGATTGTGGATTGCGAAGAAATCTGACTTCAATCAACTGGTCCCCATCGGAACAGTTGGCGAAATCCTCGTCGAAGGCCCAACGCTGGCGAAGGGATACCTGGACGATGAAGCTAAAACTCGTCTGGCATTCGTCAATGGTCCTCGTTGGACACTTGATGGGCCCCTAGCGCCTCTGTTCGAAGGCAGTGAGCGCCGATTCTACCGGACAGGTGACATGGCACGATACAATACCGATGGCACATTGCAGATCATGGGTCGAGACGATTTGCAGGTCAAGATTCGTGGACAAAGAGTCGAGCTCGCTGAAGTGGAAAGCCACTTACAGCGCAATCTACCAGCGAGTGTTCAAGTCGCAGCCGATGCCATCAAGATGAACGAGGAGCAGAATGATGCAGCCATCATCGGGTTCATCGTCCTGGATTGTGTGGATTCTGAGCATCCCATGATTGCGACGTCAAGTGAAGCCCGACGAGAATTGAAATCCCTGACTGAAGGACTAGATGCAAAGCTTTCGATGTCATTACCGCCGTACATGGTTCCTAGCATCTTCTTGCCTCTGACACGCCTGCCTCATACCGCCACGAACAAAATAGATCGCAGTTGTCTTCGGCAGCTTGCCTCTGGTCTCTCTCGGAACGAGCTGATTTCCTTCTCTCGTGCAGGGACTAGCCATGCCCCACCCTCTACGCCTGGAGAGAAACGAATGCACGCACTCTGGGCACAGGTCTTGGGCTTGCGACCAGATGAGATCTTTGTCCAGGACAATTTCTTCCGCCTTGGTGGAGACTCCATCAGTGCCATGAAGCTTGTCACTCGCGCGACGGCAACCAACTGGCGATTCCAGGTGCTTGATGTTTTCAGAAACCCGATCCTCGCAGACTTGGCGCGCGTGGCCCAAGATGTGGAGGATCAGGAACAAGAGGTGCTGAAACCATTCCAGCTGCTTCAGTTAACTGGCGAGTCTATCGAAACCACGCTGGACAGGGCAAGTGAGATATTGGGAGTCACTGTGGACGATATCCAAGATGTTTACCCGAGTACCCCATTACAGAATGCTCTCATGGCCCTGTCGGCCAAGGAGCCCGGTACATACTTCGGGCAAATGGTCATCAAGCTCCCCAGAACGATGGATCTTGATCTCTGGCGAAAGGCGTGGATGACCATCTATGATCGCACACCAATGCTTCGCACATCTGTCTTCCACGCCCCATCAGGTGGACTCATGCAGGCTGTCGTGCGCTATGACGAGCACTGGGGTACTGAGGTTGATTTGCAAGACTACCTCTGGCGTGACAAGCGCGCGCCCATTTCCGTTGGCGAGCCCCTGGTGCGATATGCCTTGATCGAAGACCCCACTGGCCGTGGAAACCCGCATTTTGTGCTCTCCATGCATCGCGCAGCGTATGATGAATGGTGCCTGCTGCGAATGGTTGAAGATCTACAGAAGACTTTCTCAAGCTTCTCTCTTGACCCTGTGGTTGGTTACAATACTTTTGTCAAGTCCTTCCTGGAGACAGACAATGGCCCTTTGGAACAGTATTGGAAGAATCAGATGCAGGATGCTCCAACCATGGCTTTCCCTCGTCTGCCAGATATCTCGTATCGACCGGCCGCAAACTCTCACTTCACCACCAACATTCCCCTGACGATGCGGCAGTGCGACTACACGACATCAACGTTCATTCGTTCTGCGTGGGCTTTGTTGCTTGCCCGATATGCCGATGATACCGACGACGTCGTGTTTGGCGCAAGTTTGAACGGTCGCTCTGCACCTGTTGAAGGTATCCAGGCAGTCTTTGGCCCTACTACCGCCGTGGTCCCAGTCCGTGTGCAGATAAACAAGCAGTCGCAGACGGTCGATGGCTTCCTGCGCCAGATCCATGAACAGGCTCAAGAGATGATGGCATTTGAGCAGTACGGCATTTACAATATTAGCAAGCTTTCTGAGGATATCAAGTCCGCCTGCGACTTTCAGACTCTTTTGATGATTCAAACAGAGGCTGAATCTGGTCACGCTGCCACAGGTGGGGATCTGGGCATGCAAGTCGTCAGTAACTCATTTGCAGGTCCATTCCATACATTTTCCATGAGTCTGGACGTTGTCATTGCCGCAGACAAATGTCGAGTCACCATTGAATATGACGCGAATTTGATCGATGCCGAGGAGATCCAGCGTCTATCGGCGCAGCTACAACAGGTTTTCGAATTGTTGCACGATCCTGCCCTGGCTGATACGAAACTGTCCGATCTCGACTTCGTCAGCAGTGGCGACATAGCGCAACTTGCACTGTGGAATACACCCCCTCCCACACCTCAAGATGATCTTGTACATGCCACTTTCCAGAGGAGAGCGTCCATTCAGCCCGAAGCGCCGGCTGTCCGCTCATGGGAAGGCGAGCTCACATATGCTCAACTCGATATTCAGTCTTCAGCGATCGTTCCTGAATTGATAGAACGTGGCCTGGTACCAGGAATGAAAGTGCCATTGTTGTTCGAAAAGTCCATCTACACAGTTGTGACGATGCTAGCACTGCTCAAAGCTGGAGCCACCTGTGTGTCCCTTGACCCTGCTCATCCCCTGGAGCGATTGCAGGGACTCGTGAGGGATGTCGACGCAACGCTGGTTTTGTCGAGTCGTCGCTGGTCTGAAAAAGCATTGTCGTTGAGTAGCTCAACATTCATAGTTGATGAAGAATCCATTTCCGAGGCGGAGATCAAGTATCCAACATCGTCAATCATGGTCTCCAATACCGTGAAATCAACCGATACGGCATTCATTCTCTTTACCTCTGGCAGTACAGGTAAACCCAAGGGAATTCTCATCAGCCACTCGGCGTTCACCAGCAGTATTGTCGGACATGGTGAGACTCTGCGCTATGGCGGCCCCGGCTCTTGTAATCTGCAATTCACTGCATACACCTCCGACGTGAGCATTGGTGAAATTTTCACATCCTTATCCGTCGGCGCATGTGTTTGCATCCCTTCCGATGCCGAGCGTATGAACGGCCTTGCTGAGGCGATGGAGCGCATGAATGTCAACTGGGCGTTCCTGACACCCAGTGTGGCCTCGTTGCTACATCCGGCCGATGTGCCTTCTCTCAAAACCCTTCTGTTTGGGGGAGAAACCGCCACTGTTGAGAATGTCAAGACATGGGCTCCAGCTGTGTATCTCATCAACAGTTTCGGTCCAGCGGAATGCTCTATTTGGACTCATTGCAGTCCTGGCATCTCACCATCAGCCTCCGGTCATAATATTGGCTTCGCCCTTGGATGCAACACCTGGATTACCGACCCGGTCGATCATAACAAGCTTGCACCCATTGGTACCATTGGTGAGCTGGTAGTCGAGGGTCCCAATGTTGCTGATGGGTATCTTAATGAACCAGTCAAGACAGCAGCTGCCTTCATTGATGCTCCAGCATGGTTCGCCCGCGTCGCGAATCGCCCAGCTGGTAAGCTCTACAAGATGGGTGATCTTGTACGGTACCTCCCCAACGGTCAAGTACACTATGTTGGTCGACGTGATACGCAGGTCAAACTGCGCGGCCAGCGTGTGGAGCTTGGTGAGATTGAGCATCGACTGCGCGAAACAATGCCAGACATCGCAGAAGTGGCTGTGGAAATGGTTCGTCCAGCAAATGGAACCGCCCCACCGATGCTGATGGCATTTTTGAGCGTCGCTACCGATGTTGATTATTCGAAAGCGGGCGATGTGCTTCCAGAAATTGCATCTTTGCAAAGCGAGCTTACTCGGTACCGCGAGGCCATGAAGGGAGCCAACGCAAAGCTTCCAGATCGACTGCCTATGCACATGATCCCATCAGCATATGTTCCCCTGCGATTGATGCCCTTCACAGCTTCCGCTAAGACTGACCGTGGCAAGTTGCAGAAGATCGCTCGAGGACTTTCCCGCGAGGATATCTCGCAGTTCTCACTTGAGGCGCACAAGAAGGCTGCCCAGCCCCCGACGACAGATATGGAGCGCCTGCTGCATGGATTCTGGGCTCAGGTCCTCAACTTGGCACCCGAGTCATTCGGGCGTGATGATAACTTCTTCCGCGTCTCAGGCGACTCGATCATGGCCATGCGACTTGTCGCTCTTGTTCGAACCGCTCATCTTGACCTGACTGTCGAGGCAATCTTCTCCAATCCAGTCCTTTCTGCTATGGCGTTGGCTACCACCCAGCTGCAGGTCGCAAATACCGAGTTGCAGGAGTTTGCACTCATCAGCGATATTGCGGTGCTTCGTCGAGAAGCCAGCATTGCTTGTCAGATTCCTGATAGTGCCGTCGAGGACATCTACCCGACTACAGCACTGCAAGAAGGTTTGTTGGCTCTCGCGCAGAAGGAAACTGGCTCTTACATGGCTCAATTCGCATTCGAGATCCCTGATCGGATTGACATGGGTCGCCTTCGTGCCGCCTGGGAGACCGTTTACCAGCAGGTACCAATTTTGCGTACGCGCCTATTCCCCAGCGCGCAACATGGTACTATGCAAGTTGTCGTCCAAGGTCAACTCCGGTGGCGCGGTGGAAATAATAAGGCTGCATATCTGGAGAATGATCGCCGTGCCGGAATGAGAACAGGTCAACCTTTGTCGCGATTCGCGATTGTTGAAGATCGCATTTTGGTCTTCACCGCCCACCACGCGATTTATGATGGCTGGTCCGTTCAGCCAATCTACCGACGTGTCGAAGAGATATATCACGGTTTAAACACCAAACCACCCATTCACTTCAACACTTTCATTCATCATGTCCTTTCGGTTGACCCTAAAGCGTCAGAGGAGTTTTGGAGATCCCAGTTGGACCGTGTCCCACCTCCAGTCTTCCCAGTCTCCATTGTCAACCGTCAACATCGCTATGAGGATGCGTATATTCATCACGATGTAGCTTTCACCAAGCGTGCAGGCTCTGAAATTTCCAGAGCGACGCTCGTTCGAACAGCCCTGGCACTGGTGCTTGGACGTTACTCAGACCTTGACGATGTTGTCTACGGCACCACCACCAGTGGACGTGCTGCACCTGTTGATGGCATTCATGACATCGCGGGTCCAACATTGGCGACTACTCCCATGCGTGTTGCCTTCCAGTCTGAAATGAGACTTCAAACATTGCTTGAAAATGTTCAGAAACAGGCCTTGGAAATGATACGTTATGAGCAGATTGGTTTGCAAAATATCAGACGTCTCTCTTCCGACGCAAAAACCGCTTGCGACTTCCAAACTCTCCTCGTCATCCAGAATCCCGAGGATGATGTTAATCGCGGGCATGCTACTTTCCTCGGATGCCCAACTGCAAACAAAGACTTCTTCAAGCCCTTCCACACTTACCCTTTGGTACTGCAGTGCACTTTCAATCCTACCGGCTACTCCTTGGACCTCAACTACGACCTTTCTTTAATCCCTGAGTCACAAGCCCATCGGATTCTGGAGCATTTCTCATATATTGTGGAGCAACTTGACACAGACTTGGGGGACAGACAAGTTCAATCACTTGATTTGATGGTTCCCGCGGATTATGCTGATATTGGCATGTTCAACCAGACCACCACGCAGCCTGTGGAGCGTTGTCTGCACCAGCTCGTCGAAGACATCGCTCACCAACTGCCAGATACTGACGCGATTGCGTCTTGGGACGGAGTTCTGTCGTATGATCGGCTTGATTATCTGACATCCCAACTTGCGGCCAAGCTACTTGCCTCACACGACATCCCAGCCGGGTCTTTTATCCCTGTTTGTTTCGAGAAATCCCTGTGGGCCATCATTTCAATGATCGCCATCATGAAATCCGGGGCTGCCTATTGTCCTTTGGATCCACACCATCCACCCGAGCGTCTGCGCGAAATTTTGGAAGACGTCAAGGCGCCAGTCATTTTGTCTTCGTCGGCAAATGCAGCCCTGTTCTCGGACTACGTGATCCCTACTGTTGTAGTTTCTCATGCCCTCTTCGAAGACGAAAAAGTTTCTCCGAGACCAAATGTGACCGTCAACCCATCTCATCCAGCGTATTGCTTCTTTACGTCTGGTAGCTCAGGAAAACCCAAAGGTGTCATCACTTCTCACCGAGCCATTGCTACGAGCGTCTCGAACCACGGTGTATTCGGCTTTAACCGCAAGCCACGAATCATGCAATTCACAGCCTTCACATTCGATATCTCCGTTGTTGAAATATTCTCCACTCTCGTTCATGGAGGATGCATCTGCATTCCGTCCGAAGACCAACGACTCGGCGAGATTGTGCCCATTATGAACGACATGAAGATCAACCTTGCCATTCTGACTCCTTCTATTGCTCGAATTCTCTCTCCAGAACAGCTTCCCCACCTGGACCAGCTTATTCTTGGTGGAGAACCCATCCGAAAAGACTTGATTGAACGATGGGCTGGGAAGGTGCGTCTTGTCAACGGTTATGGTGTAACTGAGGCATCTGTTTGCAATGTCATTTGCGACATTGACAGCCCAAGCTTCTCAGAGCGAACCATTGGTACTGCCCTGGCTAGTACCAGCTGGCTTATCGATCCCAATGACCATGATCGTCTTGTCCCGGTTGGCCTCACAGGAGAACTGGCTATTGAAGGACCGATTGTCGCCGACGGTTATCTCAATGATCCAGTCAAGACATCCGCGGCTTTCATTGAGAATCCCACATTCCTTGCACAGTTTCCCAACAAGCAACATGGATCTGACCGTCGCCGTATTTACAAGACTGGTGATCTTGTTCGTTACCAGCCTAATGGTTGTATCGACTTCATTGGCCGCAAGGACACTCAAATCAAGCTGAATGGCCTCCGTATCGAGCTGGGAGAGATCGAATATCGCGTACGAACTGCGCTGGGCCCCTTGCCCGATTTCGCCGTCGAAATTGTTGCTCCAGAGGGACGCGTTGAAAACCGCACCATCGCACTCTTCCTCTCTGCCAGCGATAGCCATGAGGATCCTCAACCCCTGATTCGCACTCTTGATTCTGATTTGCGACAGACGCTGCCTTCATATATGATCCCGACCATTTGCTACTTCCTCGAGGAGATGCCCCTACTGGTTTCCGGTAAGGTTGACCGTCGGGCGTTGCGTACCTTCTCCCTTAATGCTACGCCTGTTTCCCTACAGCATCAAGTGGCAGTCGAAGCTCTGCAACCCGTCGAAACTGAAGCCGAAATGACTCTCCAGGTCATGTGGGCAAAACTTCTTTCTCTTGACCATGATAGCATTGGCCGGAATAGCTCTTTCTTTCGCAGTGGTGGTGATTCACTTGTCGCTGTGAAACTGGTTTCCATGGCTCGTGAGCGGAATATCTATCTCAGCGTGGCGACAATCTTCGAGAAACCTGTCCTCTCTGAGATGGCGCTGGCTATGACTGCGTCCACGGGTGGTCTCATTCACGAGCCACCATCCTTTTCCCTCATTCACCGTGAGTCTGTGAGTAGCCTACTGCAGGAGGCGGCACGTCAATGTGGAGTCGCCATGCATGACATCGAGGACATGTATCCCACCACTCCCCTCCAGGAAGGAATGATGGCTGCTTCAATCCAGGACCCTGGAACATACAGCGCGCACTTTGCTTATCGACTGGCGCCATTCCTTGATGCTAAGAAATTCAGTCAGGCCTGGCACTCTGTGATGGAGCGTGCTAGTGTTACCAGAATGCGCATGGTCCACACAACCGAGTCTGGCTTTGTGCAGGTTATCCTGCGACGACCCATCGAGGTAGAATTTGTTGTCTCCAACGACCTCGAGCAGTACAAACGTGACCAACTTCGCCGAGTCATGGATCTCGGAAAGCCATTGTACCGTATGGCAATCTTAGGAGAGGGTGGTGATGGTGGTGCAACTCGCTATTTCGTCTTGACGATGCACCATGCCGCCTATGATGGCTGGAGTACCACCAACCTCTGGCGCAATGTCCAAGAGGCTTACTATGATATGAACCAATCACCTATTTTGGGGCCAAACCATCTAATCCGCTATCTGGATGTTCAAGGTGAGGCCGAGACCCTCAAGTTCTGGAAGGATTTCCTCGAGCCAGCGGCACCCCCGTCGTTTCCTGCTCTGCCCTCGGTTGGCTATCGCTCTGTGGCTGATTCAGAGCTCACAACCAACATCCGATTCTCGATGCCTGCTCAAGCAGACAACACTGTCGCGACCGTGCTGCAAGCTGCATGGGGTATGTTATTATCTTTGCATGAAGGGTCCCAGAACGTCACTTTTGGCGTCGTCGTCAGTGGACGTACAACGCCCATCCCCAGCATCGAGAACATGGTCGGCTCAACCATCGCCAACTTCCCATTCCGCGTGTCCTATGAGCGTGAGCAGACAGTGACGGAATACCTCGCTGCCATCAAGAAGAGCACCACCGATCTCATCCCCTACCAGCAAGCGGGATTCCAAAACATTCGAAAGGTCAGCCCAGAAGCTCGCGCCGCCTGTGCCTTGCGCACTCTATTAGTGTTCCAAGCTACAGGATCAGCATCGCTGAATCTAGATCTTGGTATGGGCATCGAACCATTGCCCGTCACCGTTGCCGGCTTGTACACATTCCCAATCACCATGACCTGTTCCCAAGAGTCCACAGGTATCTCCGTTAATGTCTCCTACGATTCGCATGTGATTTCATCGACGCAAATCCACCAGCTTCTCGGTCAGTTCGAACACTTGCTCGATATGCTCGCCAACCTACCCACTACAGCGCCAAATACCCAGCTGAAGGACATCGATCTCATCGGCCCCTCGGATATGAACCAGATCGCACAATGGCACAACAACGACAAGGTCGAACCTAATGAGCGTACTATCCATGCCATGATTCATGATCAGGCCCTTATGCGACCATCTGCATCGGCCATCACCTCTTGGGACGGTACACTGACGTACTCCGAATTGGACGATCTCTCGGACCGCCTAGCGCAGCACCTTGTTGGACTTGGTGTTCAACCAGAAACCTTCGTTGGCTTTGCATTCTACAAGTCCATCTTCAGTATTGTCGCAATCGTCGCCATTTTCAAGGCTGGTGGTATTTGGACACCCCTCAATCCTGCCCATCCGCAGACTCGCCTTGCATCATTCCTGAGTCGGTTGTCAGCCTCGGTGATGATTACCATCCCGAGCCTTACACACCTGTTTGCTGACACTGGAGTCCAAATGGTGACTGTCACCAAGGAATCCCTTGAAGCACTGCCACCTCTTCTGCCTACTTACCGTGCTCCTACTGTTGTCTCTACGAATGCAGCCTATATCATGTTTACATCTGGTAGTACCGGCGAACCTAAGGGTGTGGTGGTCGAACACCGCAACGCCTGCTCTGGTTTGCCTGCACAAGCCGCACTTCAGGGCAAGACATCAAATTCACGTTATTTACAATTCGCCGCGTTCACTTGGGACTTCTGTGTTGGGGAGATATTCGCTAACCTTGTCAGCGGCGGTTGTGTCTGCATGCCTTCTGAAGAAGATCGTCTCAACGACCTTGCTGGGGCCATCGCTCGTCTCAACATCAACCAAGCCTCTCTGACACCTACTGTCGCAAGTCTCCTGTCACCCGGAGCCGTGAAGCTCGAAACTCTTTCCCTCGGTGGGGAGGCTCTAACTCAAGAACTCATCAATACCTGGGCAGACAGTGTGCGATTAATCAATGTCTACGGTCCCACAGAGTGCACTGTTTGGTGTACTGGAAAGTCTGGCCTCCGCCATGGAGGCTCCCCGGCCAACATTGGATCTGGACTGAACTGTTCCATATGGATTGCCGATAGTGAGAATTACAACCGCTTAGTGCCCATAGGGGCTGTCGGTGAAATTCTCGTGGATGGCCCTGTGGTTGCAAGGGGATATTTCAACGACCAAGTCGCAACCGACAAAGCCTTCCTGGAAGCCCCTGATTGGGCGTTAAAAGCAAACTCCTCTCCTCGCCGCATTTACGCCACAGGTGATTTCGGAATGTACGAACAAGATGGCACTATTCGTGTCCTTGGTCGTCGAGATGCACAGGTCAAGTTGAATGGACAACGAGTCGATCTTGGAGAAATCGATTTCCAGCTTCACCGTATCATTGGCGGTTCTTCTTCGCCGGCCACTGAGGCCGTTAAATTGGAGAACAGAGGCCGACCTTTCTTGATTGCATTTGTGCCCTTGACTGTTGCGAACCCAGTCGATGATTCTCTTGTCATTCTCAGCGGCGAAGAGGCTCAAGCTAGTCTGCATGCAATTGTTGACGGAGTCCAGCGCGACCTTGCCAAGGTACTGCCTGAGTTTATGATTCCCCGTTTCTTCGTCCCTGTCAATCGCATTCCGACTTCAAGCAATCTCAAAATCGATCACAAAGCACTCCATGCCCTCTGTGCCAGTTTGACGGTTCCCGACCTGACGAAGCTGGCTGTAACCCCTGGACTCGGTGAAATGCATGAGCCTGCGAGTGAAAAGGGTCTCAAACTCCGTGAACTCTGGGCGCAAGTCTTGGAACTCAGCGAGAGCGATATTTCTGGCCAAGACAGCTTCTCGGCTGTCGGAGGTGATTCCATGGCTGCCGTCAAGCTTGTTTCTCTGGCCAGATCCCATGGATATGCTCTCACGGCGGACAAGATCCTGCAGAACCAAGTTCTCGACGACATGGCCTTATTGATGGATCCCATCACTGCCGATGACACAGCTGTCATCCCACCCTTGTCTTTGGTGCCAAATGATAAGGACATCGACCAACTTCAGAAGGAAGTTTCCACGCTTTGCAGCCTCCCCATCGACTCTATCGAGGACATATATCCTGCCACACCAGCGCAAATTGGCTTCCTCACGATCTCTTTGACTCGCCCGGGTGTCACTTGTCTGATGACAGCCTTTGAAGCGCCCGCTTCAGTCGACCTTGATCGTCTGAAGGCAGCCTGGGAACGCACCACCCATGCTCATGCGGTGCTCCGTACTCGTGTCGCCCAGCTTGCCGACGGAAGTTGGATGCAGATCGTTGAAAAGCCTTCACCTACATCCTGGCGTTCTGCTCCGACAATTTCAGCTTACTACGACCAGGAACTCAAGGATGCGACCGGACCTGGAACGCCTCTTAGTCGCGCCGGGTATGTCATCGATGAAAATACCGGCAAACGCTATTTCATCACCACTGCTTGCCACTCTACATACGATGCTTGGGCATACGCACTTCTGTTCGCTACTCTGGAACGAGAATACTTGTATGACGATGCCAATCACGAGCCAGAGGTTCCCATGAACCGCTTTGTTCGCTATCTGCAAAACAAAGACCAGGATGCGCAGGATGAATTCTGGCGCTCCCAGCTAGCCGATTATACTCCCCCACCCCCTCTTGCGACGCCTCCGTCCGACCCATCCCAGTGCGAGGCCAATTCCATTTGTGATCTTGAGGTGCATCTTGAACCTCACCGACTCCGTTCCGACATCTCCATGCCAACCGCCATTTATGCCTCATGGGCACTTGCACTTTGCCAAATGCTCAATGTCGAGGATGTCACACTTCTTCTAACTTTGAGCGGACGTAACGCCCCCGTGGCGGAGATTGAACAAATCATCGGCCCTATTCTCACAACTGTCCCATTGCGCATTCGCGTCGATCCTCACAAGTCGATTCAAAACCTCCTCCTCAACATTGAGTCTCAGTGTCGAACCATCATTGCACACGAACAGTGCAGCATTCCCCACATTGAAACTCTTTCTTCTTCTGCTAAACAGGCATGCGAACTCGCGTTTGGATTGACCGTCAATCCCTACAACCACCACAAAGCCGATATCGGCAGTGGAATCGGCCTCGTTAGACCCCTTCGTCTACCCGTGGCAAACAGTCCTAATCCGTTCTTCCTCGATTGCGCTGTTTCCGACTTTGGAGTCGATGCATTTGCTCTGTTTGATGATCGGGTGGTCTCCAGATCCCTTGTGAAGACCTTCTTCGCGCACTTCGAGAACAACCTCCGCCATGCGACTGAGGGCGCGGGAGACCTTCTTGTCAAAGATATTCAGCTGCAGCCAAGCTTGCTTGAGGATGACGGACAAATCCTGCGGATGGTGACGCAGGCTTCCGGTCTGGGATACGATCCAGTCTCTAAGGAGATCATAAATGTCTACGAGGCATACCAGAAGGGCGGTGTCTTGGAGAATGGTTTCAAGGCCTTGGATGAAAGTGGTCGTGGAAGAGGACCTATCAAGAGTCAGCATGGCCAGTACCTGAAGTAGTATCTTTGGTAATTTCGAGTATGTTTAGAATTTTTTGTCGTTTTGCGCCTTGTCTTTTTCCTTTGCTTTATTTTGCGATATATTACCAATTCACTCCGTCACGCTATCATGATCTTCTCTTTTGAAATTTTGTTTTCTTTGTATTTTTTTAATTAAATTAACCTAACGTTCCAAGGTTGTACGTTTATCTATTTCGGTGATGATTGATGTTCGAAGTTTGACGGCTCGAGTCTAGTCATTTGATGTACCACTTGAAGTACGATGTTTATTGTCTCGATTCAAGAGCAGACTAAATATCCATGAGAGACCGAGGGAAAGAGAATTACAGAATGCTCGAATATTAGCCACCGCCCGGTTAGGGACTCTCCCCGAGTCGGAATCGGCCAAGACCAGTCTATCTTTAGCTCGTTTTAGTTAATTTACATACCTCAATTTCCGTGCTCAAATTCCTAGGATCTAGGATTAATTCCCACGCTTAGGACTGGACAGTTAGCTGGTCAGATACCTTCCAATGCTCCACAAGATACAGTATTCCCAATTGTGAAATAGGGCAGGGACCCAGAGACCCTTGTACGGCGGCCCAGGTCAGACGGCCCATACTGAGCTCTGGAGCGCCCGGGCGGAAGCCCAACAGGAGCCCGAGGGGCCCAGCGAGAGCCCAGGACCCAAATGAGAGTAGGGGACCATATGTGGCGGCCCATACTGAGCGAGAACTGAATAACAAAATATTCACACACGAATAGAAAGTATACTGGTACGGAAAAAGCAAAAAAAATCGTATTTATTCTGTACAGCAGAGATGCTGAGACTGATATCCTTCCCAGCGACTCGCTTATTTCAAAGCCCAATACACCAGCTGACACGTGGACCTATGGAACTCAAAATAATTTTCCAACAAGGCCAAACTTCCCCAGGGATGGGTAACTCGAAACATCCTCAAACTGATCATGTAGATCGTCCAACGCAATCAAATGGCGCGCGGTCCTCATACCTGCCTCCCGCTCCTTTTCAACTTGTTCCCAACTCCAGGCCATATCCCCATTCGCCAAAGTAACACCCTCCGAAGTGGCTTTCTCGGGCAAAAGTCCCATTTCCTCCAGAGCTTCCACCGGACTAATAGTCTTACGACCTTCTTTAAATACAAATTTCGTAATTGCCGAAGTGAAGACCATCCCTCGCGCCAGAGCCGCAGTTTCCTCCCGTTTCTCCGGATGATCAGCCTTGGAAGCCTGGATCTTGGGCATTTTCCTCGCTGATCCTGGCTTGACAAAGTAACTCACAACATATAACCATTTCTCGTCCCAGGCGAGGACTCGCGAGTGGATTTCGTAAGCGGAGTACGGCTTGACTTCCTTCCGGAATGTACAGCAGGTTCCTCCAAGCAGTACTCGCATTTTCTTTGGCCGATCTTCCTGACTTTTAGAGTTCGGTCGATTTGGGCGCAGGGAAATATTGCCCGCAGCTTTGAAAAGCCTCGTTAGAAGGTGAATCCGGTTGATGTCGAGATCACTAAAATATGTACTGTCGGATTTGTGACCATTGATGTCACACTCGTATAATGGGCTGCGAGAGCTGGTCACGATGTATCCAAAAATACCCTGCCCTCCGTTCTTAGCCGCAGTAATGACATCGGACTTTTTCGTGACGGAATGGTAAAGGACAGCGACAATGAGTCGAGCCTAAAAGAGTGAACATGTTTAGTAAAGGGACAAATTTGCTACAACACGGGATTACAAACATGCCACATCAGCGGTAGACTCTTGACGCTTGTTAAAAGAATCCCAACCCCAACACTTGCCCAGGGGTGGGCTCGAATGATCTGCCAAATACTCTCTCCATAGTCGGAAATGCAGGAATACAGATTCATTGTGAGAGGGTCAGCGGCAATTGGCCCAATTAGCCAGTAGAATTGATATACGAACAAATCAAAATTTTGAATTGCAAAAAAAAGTGTCAGCTCGGTATATTTAGAATTTCACAACGCGTGGAACGACAGTCTGTGGGTAGGTGGACTCAACACCCACCGGTGGCACCACCATAGACCCCAAACGCCATCCTTCATATTTTACACATAAATCGAAATGAAGAATGTTTTGCTCTAATTAGGCTGAAGAATTCATACTTCGAAGTCTTGCTTTGCATGAAATTTGATCATCATGCTCAACGATACACCTGAAGTGCCCGTAGGCTTCCTAGGAGGTCTCGCGTGGGACTTTATCGCCCCCATTCACGATGCGTCTAAATCGCATCCTCAATTTTGGGTTACGCTCACTTCTCCCCTCTTTTTGGACAATTTGAAATCTTACTTTGGAGCTGCTGCGGGTATTTTGCTTACCTTGCTCTTTGTATATGTCAGTCTATAACAAATTTACTAAACTGGTCGACACAAATTCTAATGAAAGATTAGATAATTGCTCGCTCCGTATACCTTGTCACCTGGCATCCGTATGCTAAGTACCCGGGCCCCTTTTTGGCCAAATTTACCATCCTTTACAGCGCATACCATGCACTGAAGGGTGATCTTCATCTGGACATGTGGAAGTGCCACCAGAAATATGGTATGTGGTGCAGAATCCGATAGACTACACAAAAATCCTAACTCAATTGCTATATTAAGGTGACTATGTTCGTTATACTCCTAATCGCCTCTTAGTCAATACGACAGAAGGGCTCAAAGGTTGGGACCACTTTCAAAAGCCGAGTGATCTGATCTAATTTCCTCTCCAGAAATCTACCAATCAGCCAAACAAATCCAAAAATCTCCAGATTATCAGGTCATGAACTTGAAGGTTGCGAGCACATTTACCGAAGTTGATAAAAAGATTCACGAACGAAAGCGTCGCCTCGTCAGCCACGGTTTCTCCGATGCCTCGCTTCGATTGTATGAGCCGCGGATTCTGACCAACGTCACCAAATTTGTGAATCGAATTTTATCTAGCAAAAAGTCCGAGGATGGATGGACTGAGTCTCTGAATATCGGCGACTTTGGTATGTCCAGAATGCAATGTTATAGAGTTCGAACCTACTAACCGTTTACCCAAATACATACAGCTGGTGACTTTGCTTTCGACGTGATGACATCAGTTATCTATGGACTCTGTTACAATCTGCAGGAGGATCCTAAGTATAGATTCATCATTCCTGTTATTTCAGGTGTCAACTTTCGAATCGGCATCCTCTCGCAGGCCCCCATGCTGGCTTGGCGCAAGATGGACAGATACATATTCCACAAAGCAATTAAGGCACGAAATGTGTTCTTAGGCTTCGTTGGAAAGATCATTAAGGATCGCATGAAAGCAACAGATATCACCGGTGATGCTTTCTCCATTTTGTTTGCTGCCAAGGATGATGAGCTTAAGGAGGGGCTAAGCCGCGATCAGTTGAATGCCGAAAGTCTGAACTTCGTCGTGGCTGGTAAGACTTTCAAGTTCCAACCAGAATGAACAAGAAACCTTGGAATATAAAATCACTGACTCTTTTTTCAAACTCAGGGTCTGACACGACTGCCACTTCCATGTCCGCAACTATCTTCTACCTCACCAGATATCCCGACGCATACACAAAGGCAGTAGCGGAGGTTCGTTCTGCATTCCACGACATTAAAGATGTGCGTCTGGGCCCAGCCCTCAACTCTTGCGAATACCTCCGCGCTTGCATCAACGAAGCAATGCGCATGTCCCCTCCTGTTGGTAGTGCTCTGTGGAGAAAGGTCCTTCCCGGGGATTGTCCTTTGGCGGCGAGTATGTGCCCGAGGGCTGCGAGCTGGGCACCGGTATCTATAGTATTCACCACAGCTCCAAGTACTACCGTGATCCCTTCGTGTATCGACCGGAGCGGTGGTTCAGTCATCAGCCCGATGTTAATGGTCAATATTCCGAGGAGGCTGCACTTGAGCTCGAAGAAGCGAAGGCTGCGTTCAACCCTTTCTCTCTTGGTATGAGGGGATGTGTTGGCAAGGCTCTGGCGATGAATGAGATCATGCTTGCTTTTGCGGCACTTTTGGTTAGTTGTGATATTCAGTTAACTCATTGTGAAGAATCACGTCTTGGTGAAGGTTCTAAGAATGCTGAATATGGACGTCATCGTGTTTTCGAATACCAAGTGAAGGATTGGCTTATTGCCTGTCGCAATGGTCCGATGGTAAAGGCAAAGGCCTGGTCTCGCGATGAATGATAGGCCTACATGTGCAGACTGAGGACGCTGTGCATTTCGAAGCGATTTCTACCTATTTCGATGTGAAGTCAGATAAAGGCCGATAATTTAAATTTCTGTGTGTATTTGCAATGAATGTGAACTTGAAGCCAGTGATGCCAGTGGTTCCGGGAAGCTTTCGCGACTAGCACTAACCTGGTTCTGTACTTACCTAGACTATCAACTATGAGATGATGGGCCCATATATAATGCATGCAAAGAGGAATAACGTAGAGCTCTGATATCTAGGTAAATTTACATGCGAAAATGAAAGAAACGTAGTACAGCGCTCAGTGGGTTTTGCCTGATTAGTAAAAGCAGAAACGCACCTGGGCATGAAATAACCAAACCAAATAATACGTAAAAACCTTGGGATGACATGAAAGAACCTTGGAAACAGCAAATTTCAAATCAAATTTCATGAATGCAGATAGTATCTCTATCTAAGATCTAACTCTACATTCAAAATATCAAGGACCTTCCCCAGGAATTCCGAGACCTTCTCGGCCTCCTGATAAGTCTCATTAAAGTAGGCCGCAAGCGTGATCCGATCGCGCCAAGTATAGAGAAATATGTCGATCGCAGGAGTGAGGACTTCACATGCAATCTCAAAGTCCAATACTTCCACGTTGGAGTATTTGTGTTGTATCACGCTCTCGACAACCCCGAGACTACTCAACAAAGCATCTGCCGGGGAAGGCGTGGATCCATTCATAAATGGCATAGCTTGCTCGATCAGCTCATCGATGACATTGGGAAGTCTTACATCCTTCTGAACACTTGTATATCCCTCTCTGAATTCTTTCGCGACAGACCAGAAATCGGATACTTTGATCGTGGGAAACCACCCGGTACTGTAAAGTGTTGCTGGGTGATCGAGTGTATTGCCTCCGTAGGCATTGCGTCCATCAACATTGAACGCGCCCGCGTACACTTCAGAGGCGGGGTTGGTATTAAATTCCTTCGTGGCGCATGCGATTGCCGCATGGACGGCATGCGTGATAGTAAGGCCTTTTGTTTTCAGTACCGCCAGTAAAGTCCACGTCTCGCTCTCGGGTAATGCTCTGACAACCCGGTCTGTTCGTTTTGGCGCCCGGTCACTCCATCTTCCGTCTTTGATCCTCATGGGCAGCGACATTGCTGGGAGTGCGGAGAGAAATCTTTGCAATTCCATTGCTGCTCGTCGCCTATCGTCATTATTGACAGGAGGAAGACTAGCAGCCACTCGAAATGGAGGCGACAAATTGATTGTTTTATAACTAGGCTCCTCTTGACGCATGGAGGAGGCAATATTAAGCAGCTCGTCGACGATGAGCATAATTCCTTTGCCATCGATCGAGGTATGAGGGGCCTGTAAGATAATTTCTCCCGAAGAAGGCAGCACAAATAGCGTTGGTCGCTTTGGTGGACGAGTTTGATTTCGCAGTGCAGTTACAGACATACCAAATGGAATCACAATGAATGTCTCACTGAGCCATCTGGTCGTCTCATATTTAGATGGGGCAATGTAGGTCCAAATGCCAGAGCGTCGATCTAGAACGCTGGTGATGGAAGCGTGCTTCTCGCTGATAACACCCCATGCCCGACGCAACTCTGGTAGAAAGCTCGAAACCCCCTCTTCCAGTTGTAACTTCAGTGCTACCGTCAGAATGAAATGTTCTTTGCCAAATTTTCGGCCAGTTTCCGTGATCATTGTCATCCACTGCTCCATCGGAGTTGCCATTCGCTGGTACAAGCCGGGTGCTGTTTCACGCCATCTTGTATCAATTCTGCCGGGCATGCTGAAGACTGTTTTGTCAAGCGCTTTCGCCTGCTCTTTCTGAAAGATATTTACTTACATGCCTTGTCTTTGGGTAAGGGCAATTTTTCCAAGGGCTTTGAATTTAAGTGAGGCTTTCTGATGACAACTGAGAAGGCGCGTCAGACGGGGCGAGTCAGCAAAGAAAGACCTGTTGGATAGTGTGTTTGTATAGGGAAGGTTAATGGCATGGCCGGCTTGCCTAGCTAGACATTTGATCGTACCAATGCATCCCCTTCGGGCAACAGGTTATCCTTACCTAGCGAGTGTGCCCATGGGGTGGTGCCACCTTAGGACAAACATAAACATACATAATATCGCTGCGCAAGAGTGCGTAAAATAGTATGAAGAACGATGCTTCACTGATTAATCAATCCGCAAATCAAAGAAGAAATATTAACAATCCAATACGCTAAGCTTAGGAAGTTGAGCGACTCTGATCAATACTGTTAGGTAATTGATACGTGGATATTTGCCTCTCGACGCGGCTTCAACGCTCTTTATACCAGTACTAATGGTAGGGACTGAAGGAAAATTAATAAACAGAGAGAGGAATACGGTTGATATAACATCCAGTCATGTTTGAATTCCCGCATTATTATGCCATGCTACATGAGAAAGCTCCGAGTAGACCAGAGCTATGGATATAGACATTGCACCAATCAAAAGAAAACAAGCTGTAGCTCAATCTTCTTTGTAACCTCCTCGCCCCCTCTATTGAACATAGCTAATGTCATCTTATCGCCAGAAACCTTTCCCTTATACCTATAATACAATATTAGCAATTAATAAATTTTATTATGATGGTCGTCATGTGTTACCAATAATAAGTTTTATCTTTCTCATCAGAGAATAACTCAATATTCTTCTCCATGGGACCAGTTGCAGAAACTTTGCTGACAGTGCCATGATTGCTGAAATTCGCTTTCGCTTTTCCGTCACTGTCTTTGGACCATTGAAGCACAACAGCAGCCATATCGCCAGTCTGGACGTTGTCTCGAAAGACGATGGTGATCAGTTCGTCCGCCGCATAGGGGGGAGTAAGTAAGCTTTCCAACGTAGATGAGCATTTTCTTCTTTACTTTGAGTCGAGGCTTGTATAATTTTGAAGTTTGGAGATGATAATGAGATTTTCAAAATTATCATTTTATTTGGATACTAGAGAACTCTTATATATTAATCAACTCAGAGACTACATCTAACGAAATAGCCATAGAACCAATAAGAGCATTTCTTGCATGGTTATATGCAGGCTTTGTGTACCTCTCTCATAACACTTCAAGGCTGTGCACCTGTCAGTGTTGTCCTAGTCCAAGATTCTCCGTCCAAGTAGCCTATCTCGGAGCCTTATTATCGGCCATATCAAAACTTGGCTTCTCGCCTGACTAGCTTTATCATTTTGAATCATTTGAACACAGCTTCTGTCTCACTAGTGAATCGTTTTGCCAACAACCTTGACATATCGGTAGTGCTAGGTGGGATTAAAACCTCAATAAGAAGCTCTATTGGCCAATATTTTGCGAACAGATGTTCAAGTTCTGCTTTCATCTTTGCTAGGGCAGTATGATGCAGAGAATTAAACACAAAGTCGCGTCAAAGAAGAAAAGAAAGGTCATATACTTCTTGTTTATCGAAAATACGACAAATCCCTTTAGTTTAAAGTTATTATTTTAAGATATAAAGCCAGCCATTCTGAATTATGTGTCTCTCCTCGTGATCGTCTGCATCAGACGTTCACGCATGCAGCCGGAATGGTCGGTGTCGCTATAAGCCAATGAGCTTTACATGCATTCAGTAACCAGAGACTATTGATTAAAATCAAGGCCGCATATACCTATTTACAATGTAGAACAATGTAAAGTGCGGGACTTACTTTATTATCTCCAATCATGATATTCCGATGTCCCGATATCCCGGTATGCCTGCTCGCTTGCCCTTGGAAACATTCTGGTCACAAATCGATCTATCCATCTGCTTTTCTGTGATTTTTCTATTCTCAACTTCGCCGTCCCACCTTCTTCCAAGATTATTAAACTCATAGAATTGCCCAAATAAGGTGTCTCTTACAATTGTTGCTGTTACGGGCGCTTGACCAATCACATTTGCTCCCTCTTTGACAAGTGGTCGCCGATCACAACTGCTGCTAAGAGCATCGGGACAGCTTTAGAATCTCTTACAATCCTATGCAATATTACAATTATAGGGGCCGTTGTAGGGGTCCGAACACCTCGCAAAGGATAGCAAATGTTGCTGCAGGCGCATTGAACGGGGTGGTAGGTTGCTCTCGCACCCATGGGCCAAAAGGCTTAGCCAGACCGCTCTCAAATACGAGCGATTCTTGCAGCTGTAGATAATCCGATCTACACGCCCATGCCAGCACCTTATGTAGTACTGAGATCACACCACGCTATAACTACCCTATGTGATTTTGGAAAATTATGGGACATTCACGTACTTGAGCATATTTCATATCGCACTCATTTCAGCAGTGCAATTATTGTATAGTTGTAAAATGCCAACGGATGGAGAGGGTAGCCCCAAGGGGTGCTTGTCTTCAGTAGAGCCAGAAGGCGATATAGGGCAGGTGTGAGTTCGCTATTTAAAAAGTGAAAGCGGTTTTTCTTATCTGAACGAGTGCGTGCTATCGGATTATCATGGTCCCTTTTGCTCTGCAAAGGGATTATCAAGCTGAGACTAGCCAATGAGATGCATGACTAGCTTAAGCGAAACAGGGGTCCATAATCACCTGGGAAATGAATCAGCACCACTCAGGTCAACACGAACGAACAGACACTAACGCGGCGCTAGCCCAAAATAAGAGTTTTCTCCGCTGCAAAGCGAGATCCCTGTATGTGTGAGTTAGAGCCCCAATAGCAGACCTGACTATCGGGGTACAGCGCATCCCCCAGCTGCGGCTTGCTCCTTGGAAGTTTTTTTTCTGATCGCAGAAACCAAATACATAATGAGATTTCTCAACCCGCGATCTCTCCTGAAGCCGTCACAAGCCTCAGAGCAAACGAGGGTTTACTCGCATGGAACAAATGACCAACCTATGGGGGGGTCGAGAATCCGGACAGGAAATATCCAACTCACTTCTGTCAATGACGAAACTAGTGCGCTCCAAAAGGCACTGAACCACGTTCTCATTCAGCTTCATGAGGTCAAACGGCTGCGCCAAGCCAAGGAGAGCTTACTTGAATGCGGCGAGAAATACTGGGTTGACAATACCATCAACGATGTTGCCGATGCAACTAGAGACGTCGCCCTTTTACTGGAGCCCACACGCGTCGAGAAAGAAACAGGAAGCGGCAGATTGAGCATCGGGAGCCAGCTTCGTTGGAAATACCGGCACAGCGAACGAGCGAAAGAGAAGAAGGATAGAATGATGACATGCCATAACAGTCTCATGAGCGTGTTGGCTCATCTCCAGCGAATTGAAACACCCAAAACGACCATAATCCATGAGCTAGGGGTGGACATTCCTCCAAAGGCATCGCTGTACAGTATCCGAAACCTTTCTAGGCTCGATGTCGGGTCTGATGTCGTTTTCGAAGATGCAAAGGAAGGAGATAAACTTGATTCCAAATCACAAGAAATGAATGATCTTCTTGCCTGGCGTCGGTCAAAAGGGTCACCAAAGGTTACCAGAAAAGAGAGTGAACTAGCAGATAGTATACAGATAATATAAAGGCAATAACTTCATTTCTCTCCTAGCTTAAAATAAATGAAACTAATAACGGAAAGGTAGATGGTAACAATGAAAGCTCAAGTCCCGACAGTTTCTTAGTTCTACATTTGCATCCTGCGCTCTTCGACCAGTTTTTGGATATTTTCCAATCGTCTACCTTGTTCGTCACACAACTTCACAACGGAGGGGAATATTATGAGCTGGTCTTGATTTCGATCAGTAGCGCTTGACGCCCAGTCAAGCCGGAATGCACACGGCTGGGAGAAAAACCAAGTTCCAAGATCTGATGTTGCTTTGATAACACTTTTAAGATGGGCAATTTGCTGTGATTCGGAGAATTCGGGGTTCCTGTAGGGGGAAAAGGTTGAAATAAAGTCCCGGGTGAGGCTATCGATAGTTTCATCGCGTTGAGTTGGAGGCGTGGAGGGGCTGAGGGAGTTCAAATGCGATACTATCATCCGCCAAGAAAATTCAAGCTCGTCTTGAGCGGCTGATGAAAACAGTCGTTAGTATTGTAGATATGCTCAAGGTTTAAAAAATATCAAAGTTTACCTCGTTCGGAGGGGGCGAGTTGGGTGGTACTAGGCGCCCATCGAAAACATGGAGGAAGAAGAGACTCTGAGCTGCTTCCAGGGCGTATTGCCTCTAAAAGGCGATAGGCGAGTGCATGTGTTAATGCAGCACGTTGAGTTTTGCCCTTGCACAGAAAGGAGACCAGGGACCCAGGAAGCAAAGATGAATCATAGTGACCAATATCATCAACCTTTGCTGCCGGGATCGACGGGCTCGCATCAAGACGGACATAGTAGTTATCAATATGAAGGCTTATCTGATCGAATAGTGATTCGATCTTCGTGGACACGGTCTGATCATCCGCAGGTGGAGGAATAGATGGGATTTTGAAAGTTGTCGCAGCGAACCCGTCAGGAGTGTCGAACGCATCTTTCGTGGTGTATGAAATAGTTGAATGATTTAGAAGTTGCCCGGACACTGCGGTCGGCCCTTTCGTAGCATTATCGGGCGTTCGATAAGGGTTTTCAGTCACCTCGGCCGATGGCTCTCTTTGTCTCCGCTTGCGAAAGAAAAGGAACGCGATGAGGAAGGCTAATAGACACCCACCCACAAATGCGCCTACAATACCTCCAGCTAGTGCACCAGTTCCATATTGGCCACCGGATGAAGATTTGTGTGAGCTAGTCGCTGCTGTCGCGCTCCCTGTTATATCTCCGCTAGAGGCTTGTGTCGCGGTTATCGATACTATCAGGGAGGAGGACGATGTTGATTGAATGGATTGAGACTCTCCCAATTCCGATTCCAATTTTGATGTCGATGTAGCTGTCGATGTAGCTGTACCAGAAGTCGATGAATCCGTCCCGGAAGTCGACGAAGTAGTTTCGAATAGCGTTGTAGTGTAAATGACAGCTGTTGCCGAGCCCTGAGGCCAGGTACTTATAACTTGAATACTACTCTCTGCCATCACGAATATCTTTGAACTTTTCGATCGGAACAAAAGAGAGATGAAGATTCAATAAGCATTGTGAATTGACAGAATATTGACAAATACGCATTACAGAGTGGAAACCTCCTCTCCTGCAGTAATTTGGGGGCCAATGCATGAGCTCGGCGTATCTGCCATATTTGGATAAGTCCATATAGTCATTCGAACTGCCCCCACATAATGAGCGGGGATATATCATGCGGGATGCCATCAGATTGGAACTAAGCGCTGCTCAGCTGTGATGGGGGAAACATCCTTGCTAGTCTGATGGGGGCTAAAATGGTTCTACATAGGGGCTACCAACAAACAAAAGTACGGATTGTGATTTTGAGATTGCTATGTCAGCACACCTCAGGGGCTGCAACGTGAACATCACTCTGGGCTCAGCCTTCTCATCAGGAAAATCAGAAGTGCAAATATGAACGAAAAGGAAGTTGTGTTTCCCCAGACGGAGGAATTGGACCATGAATGGATGCCCGATATTGTCGTTGGTATTGACTTTGGAATGACATTCACAGGTATCGAGGATCTGCTTTCTATATTCCCTTGAGCATAATACATGCTAATCATGTAAAGGTGTTGCATATTCATGTGCACCTGAATGGCATCCCCGAAAACCATTCAGCGATGGCCTGGGAAGCTGCCTGGGGAACTTGCCAATAAAGTACCCACGTGCATTCAGTACGAAGAAGGAACAGATAAAGTCAAAAATTGGGGTTTCGGTTGCGACCATGAAGAGGATGCAGCCGATATTCAAGAGTTCTTCAAACTGCACCTTGCACCAAACTACCGTGGAAACTACCCTGGCGAGCCGAGCCGTCAGGACGCTCAACGATGGTTTACAGATTACATTCAGTGTATCTATCAGCATGTTGTCTCTCACTTCAACGCGACTATTCCCCAATTTTCTTCCCGTCAAGTTGAATTTCTTTTTAGTGTCCCGACTACCTGGAAGGATGTGCGGATGGTGGAGGAAACCAGAGCACTACTCAAACGGGCCGTCAGTGCTGAGACGCAAGCTCATCATGTCTCAATCGGACTTACTGAAGCGGAAGCAGCTGCAGTCTACGCAGGAAATGAGCACTACAAGGTACTTTGGTCTCCGTAAATATTTTAACTGTGCCTTTGCAGCTAATTTAATGACATCTCGATATAGGAGGGCGATACTCTTATTGTCTGTGACTCGGGTGGAGGGACTACGGTAAGGAAATTTGTGCTCCGCATCCTAGAACAAAATAATCTGATTTTACAGATAGGACGTAAATGTCTTGAAGTTGATATCATCACTGGGTGAACCAACCCGACTTGAACAGCTGGGACAGGTGGAAGGTAAAGCCGACGCAGAGGGCGGGTAGCCCACACTTATTCTGGAAATTTCGATCTGATCATTTTTAGGACAACCCATTGGCTCTGTTTTCATCGATAGACATGTGCATCAAATTGTGTCTCAAAACCTGGAGGGTATACGAGACCATTTGCGATATTCACCCAGTGAGACGGCGTGGAGGATTATCACGGGTCGCTTCCAGCGGTTCAAATGCGGTTTCGGAAGTGAGGCCACATCAACGCCATATCTCAAGTTGGATATTCCAGGTCTGGACCCGGGTTTGGATTTTCCAGAGAAAAATATATTTGACTCGCAACTAAGCATTGCATGGTAAGACAAAGCAAAGTTCTTTTTGGGAGTATCAACGCTGAAAATGATGAAGGGCGGACATCCAGAAGGTATTCGATACTAAGATCGACGCTATTTGTGTTCTACTCGACGATCACATGCGCCAAATGTCCGCTCGGTACCCATTTGACCAGATAGTAGGTAATGGCTAGCCATCGAAATTCCAAGTCGCTGACATTTTTCTGCTAGAAATATTTGATTTTATCTGGGGGGTTTGGCAGCTCTCCGTATCTACGAGAGCGGTTGATACAAAAGTATACCGAAACAGAAAGCAATAACAGGTCTAACACCAGTGAGATTCAGATTCTTGTCGCGGATGAGCCGTAAGTCAACAAAAATGGAGTAACATGGAACGTCGATGAGAAAAGGCTAATTAAAGAATCACAGTCAACTTGTTGTTGTACACGGTTTAGTTTTGGACAGGGTCCAGCAGCTTAAGAAAGGTGTAATCACATTTGGCTCTCGGTGTTCCCCTATGAGTTACGGAATAGTTTGTGATAAACTTTATGATGCTGTAAAGCATATTTCGGAACCTGTTCGACTTGATCCCCGTGACAAGAAGACGTACGTCGTTGATCAAATTGACTGGCTTGTCATTCAGGTATGTGGCAAAATCCATCAAATCCTTCTAAAGGTTATGAGCTAATCTCCGGTATTGACACCTTATAGGGAACACCTATTCCATATACTGGACTGACGAAGCAATTCCAGTTGAAGATGAATCCAGGACAGGAGAGCCAGCCCTGGAAGGTCCATATCGTTATGTCGAGTTTACCCCCTGAGCAGCTACCGCAAAGCCTGAGACAGAAAGGAGCCCATAGTGTCTGTCATTTGGATATCATTACCGAAGGTGTTGACAGAAAGTTGAAGAATCGACACTGGTATAGCATGAAGCCAACATTCTGGCGTACTGTGTTCGATGTGAAGGTAGTTGTGGGGCCCGCCGATCTCTCGTTCCAGCTTTGGTCAAAGGACAAGCAAATCAGAAGCACTAGCCATGAACCTATCGCTGTGAAATGGATGCCAGCCAGAGACCTCGATTAGAATTATAATATTCATCTGACATGGTATAACTTTATTTCCCGCAAGATGGATTGGATTTGGACATTCTGTCATCGTTCATGAAGTTTCCTCATGGACTTAGATCTGCCTGAGTTTCATACTAGGCTGTGGCTCCGGAAAAAGAAGGTGAGATCTCTGCAGGTGTTTATCTCTGGTAATAGTTAGTGGAAGGACCAAGAGTCCACCTTGAGGCAGGGCTGCCTCAGCCGCCAGTAGGAATATGCGGCACAACCCGCTGTTCTTTCCCTATTTAATCTGGCCCCACCTAATCCCGATTATGTCATGTATCACATGATGTCACATGTCGCATCTAGGTCATGTGATAATGTATCATTAATCATATCAGCTTGCCTGTGAGAAGATTAGTCATATACCCTGGCCAATCAAGGATCTCCATTTGCGGCACCACACATGCACCAAGGTCCGCTAGCAATATATATATCTCTGGAAGAGTATAGTTCAATATTAGCAAGGTGGTGTTAGTATTCAAATTCAAGCTCGAGTTGAACTTGAAGTTTTGATATTCGCCTGCTTACCATATATTTAAATTTTCTTTCTTACTACCTCCATTCATACATCTTTGAAGTTGATAAATTTGGCGAATTTGTGGTTGAATTCATTGCCAAGGTACGAAGTTGCCCGATCGGGCGGCAAATGAAGCTATCCACAAAGTTATTATGGAATCCAGACCGGAATTACTGATAATCCGGCACACTAAGCCTAGTCGCGTCAGCCACGGTCGTATATCGGCCACAATCACAGCTACAATTCCAAGTTCAACTTGATCAACATCGCCATGTGCTGAATCGCCCCAAAATCCAATGGCAAAAATCTGTCTCCAACTCCTATCTAGGACTAGCTCCGATACCGTGGCCGACATACGACTTCGCCAACATCGCCGTGGTCAACTTCGCTCTAGTCGATACATGTACTACCTCGGTAGTAAACAACGACCCGTCAAATGAGACACGGACGAGAAGAAAGCCCAATGCCACTCGTACCTACGACTTGGGCTTCACTACGGATGATACAATGAGAATTAGAAATACACTGGACTCAAATCCATCGATCAGGATTGCGCGTTTCATGCTGGAGCTCTAACACAGGGGAGGTGCCTCGGGTTGTCGGCGACCGCTAGCCCAAACCGAGACGGCTGTGACATTCTTCCTGGAGCACTAGTATCACACCAGAATTGACCTCGACGCGGCATCTATCCGGGGACTCGGAGTCTTTGATAATAATTTCAATGTTGCTGCCATCCACTGGTGCAGTGTCTCTTTCCTACGATCCTCGGCGGCAAACGATCCAAACAGCTCAACCAGCGCATGTATCTAAGAATCTATCTTTTATACCGGGATCTCCTCTGCGATGCGCCAGAAAAGCCCAGGCGCAATATGATAACTTCATGGATTTGGGGCGAAAATATATCTGCCGAGGCAGATACATTCAGCGTGTCGGTCGCTGAGTTGCAGGCTCGCTTCACGCTTTCAAGAGTTGAGAGCCGAGGCAAGGTGCATAGATGAGCGACCCCTGTCCTGAGTACGGAAGGTACAAGAATATTGGTACCCGGTGAAGCCCACGAATGAGAAAAACATGGATCATTCAGTTATTACCTTCTGGTCTGCCTCCAAAGTCTATCCATCGTGTCAAGTCGAATCGATATGGAAGCTGTGGCGCGTTCAGCGCCTCTTACTCCTATACATAGACCTAGACTCACGCAACAGGGCGAGAACACTCCAAAATGAGAGCACCGTTGATTTTGAAAGTGTTCTATATTGTTTCCTTTTTCCTTGGCGATCGACAGAAGCCATCAAGTATTTCCGGCTTCACTTGGCGGATAATCCGTCTATTTGATGGCTAACTCTCTAGCCAAGAGAACCAGGAAGGGCGCATCTTCTATGAGCGGACCTAAAAAATACCAAGCTTATCCAGCGACTATGGAGCGAAAGTCCGAACCACATAACCTCCCCTCAGCCCTACGTTACAAATTCATTTCCGTGCTTAGCAATGTCGCAATCAGTGCCATGGAATACCAAGAGCCGCACTCTTGGCAGCTGACGGGGCTTCTGCTTCTTTAATAACCCCATTCCAGCCCAGGGCTGCGGTAGGATTATTCCAAGACTCTTGGCGTGGTGATTCCATCACGCAACGCACAATACTAAGGGCGCAGGATCCCAGATTTTTCTTGGGCCTCTTGGCATGAGCCAGTATCGATGGCGAAACAGGATGAGATATTCAAAGGACTGCTTGGCATCCACCCAAAGTTATTCAAAAGCGGCCGCTCTCTTCGGAACTGGTAAATTGGATGCTTGGAAGTTCCTCCTGCACCGTGACTTAACCGCTCATTCTACCTTGCATGAAAGAATACTTCTCCGAGCTGTTCCAAACCCACTCTGGCTACCAGCAGCATGGTTCTTGCTCAGTATCCGAAGAGGTTGATCCTTGGGATCCGCCCATATGCAAAGAAGCTTGTCGCCTGGATTGCCCCTCCCCCGCAAAAATCCGAGGATGGCCGTGATCAATGGCCTTCACGGGCAGCTTTCCTTCTGGCCGCGATGGGAGGTTGTGCAGGCCAGGGCAACTTACTGAGATACCCTTCGGTTGTTTATAACAATTACGGCCTGCAGTGGTTTATCCCGTATCTACTCGCGGTGTTTGTTGTCGCCATCCCTGCTCTAATCCTCGAAATTTCCATTGGACAGGCATATCGCGGCGGGACGGTAATTGCATTCAACAATGTCAATCACCGGCTGAAAGGCGTCGGCCTCGGTCCGATTCTGGTCAGTTTCATTGTCGTACAGTACTTCACGGTGAATCTCGCTTGGATCATGAATTATTTCCGCAACTCATTTCGCAGTCCTCTTCCATGGGAAGGCAGGATCGAGGAATTCTACATGGGTGATGTGGTTTCAAATGTTGACCCCATTCTGGGAAGCTTAACCGCAGGAAATAAGGCCGTTTCGAAGTATACTGTCTATCCAGGTGTGTCGCTCATCGGTGAGACGGTCGGCTGGAGCGCCTTCATATGGTTTTTGATTTGGGTTTCGATTTTTCGTGGAGTTGGCCTGACAGGCCGTGTTGTCTACTGGACGATGGGCCTACCGATCGTCACAACTATCATCATTGTTGGTCGCTCTTGCTCATTGGATAATGCGCGCTCGGGCATTCGGCTTCTCTGGGCAACATGGAGAAGCGACCAACTGGCGTCGGGGACTGTCTGGCAAACTGCTGTCGGGCAGGTGTTTTTTTCCACGGGAATCGGTTTTGGTTATTTCACATCCTATGCTTCCTACAACTCTCAGCACTCTAATGCTGTCATGGACGCCATCCTGATCTGCGGAAGCAATGTTCTCTTCGAAAATTTCGCTGCTTTTGCAGTCTTTGGTGTCGTGGGCTATCTTCAGCGGTGGCCAGAAGATGGGGAGAGACTAGGCGCGTTTGTTGTCGGTTTCTTGACGCTACCCGAGGCTGTTCTTCATATGCCTGGCTCTAACTGGTGGGCCATTCTTCTTTTTTTCACGCTGGTGGTTCTTGGTTTCAGCTCGGCATTCGTGATGCTAGATGCCGCAGCCACACTAGCTGTCGATGCAGGAATGAAATTTTCGCGACCGACGATTGTGACTGTACTCACTGTGGTTTCATTTCTGATGTGCTTGCCATATTGCACCGAATTTGGATTCTATCTACTGGATGGAATTGATCGATGGATCAACAATGTTGCTTTAATCTTTGTTGTCTGGTCAGAGCTTGTCGGTGCAACTACAGCCTATCGCTGGCGCGATGTTGTTGACCAAACAGGGCTTGTGGCTTTTATTAGCTACAATATTGGATACTTTGGTGCCCAGATCATCGGTGTCGCTGTTGCACATGGCATCTCAAATCCATCAGCTGGAGCTGGTGCGGGATTTGGATTCTATATTGTCTGTTCTATTTTTTCGGTTCTCGTATCCACGACGCCGAGCATCAAAGCCCCTGGTTTCTGGGGTCGAAACTTTATAACTAGTCGACTCTGGTATTTGGCCTTATACTCGGTATGCTCCACTCGTTTCCCATCAATTTTGTCTCGTGTGAACTAACGAATGCAGGGAAATCAATTGAGACGTGATCTGAATGATGTGGTTGGCGGGAATGGTAATTGGAATATTCCTCGTTTCTGGCCCCCACTACTGCGATATGCCAGTGCGCCTATTTTGGCCATTGTCTTCAGCTTCGCCTATCCTGAATTCTACACTCTTCGATATGATCCGATGATGATTGCTGGATTCATTTTAGCCCACCTGTGTCTGCTTTTGATTCTACTAGGGGTTATTTTACCACGTTATTACAACATCTTCGTTCCCCGTCATCGAAGAGCCGAGGGCACTGAAGAGACCATCCCGCAGCAGCCTAGACAATTGGGCGCTCCGCCAGATTTCGATACGCTTGGACTGGAAAACACGGTAGCAGCAAACTATACCGTGAGCCAGAGTCCAGAAAAATCTAACCGCTAGTGGCTTCGATTGTAGCTCGCAATCCTTAGAAAGATTACAGTATAATTCGCGATTTTCAAATCAACGACTTGTTATTACCCAATCCCAACGCTTAACTGTTATCATGCGAAACATTTCTAGTTCCGAAGGAATCAAACGTTATTCCCATCACCCACCTGGGCACCTGCAGTTTCAAATACTAGTATTTAGCCAAGATCTTGCACAATTACATTGATGTATCTTGGTAGTATTAGATAAGCCGTTTAGAAAGTGAAATTCCACCTGAGCAAGGGTTAATCATCATACGATGCGAAGATGCAAGATGAAGTCTTTCCGGAAGAAGTTTCTCCCACTGCATGAAGCTTCTCCATTTTGCGATATTCCACCCCTTCACCCCTTGAACTTCCAAGGTTCCCCGCCGATCAGCCTTCCTTTCTTCCCTTCCCCTTACATCTCCTCTTTGCTTCACCTGGACGTATTTTTCCAGCGACTTTTCGGCTCTCTTGAGAGTTATCTTCAATTGCTCCGCTTCACAGTTGGATAAATAGATTTTTTTATTCGCTATTTCTATTTCCAAATTTTGTTTAATGCATGGGATGAGTCGGACGTGGCCAAGAAGAACGAATTTTGGTACTTCGTAAATCATCGTCTTCATGCCTGGTTCAATCCCTGGCGCTGAGCTCAGCCACACTCTTTTGGGAAATCTTCGGGGAATCTCATTTATTCAAACGCCGCGCTAGTCTTGCCACGCAAAGCCACATGCATGAGCACCATAGTTACGTAGCTGCCAAGATCGGATACCGATTCGCCAACTTTCTACTGCGTAGTGCGACAGTCGAACCCCGGAGATCGCGGCAAGGATAGCGGGGCAATTAAATTGATTCGGAATGGTGACCACCCATTCAAGCCCGTGGGGATTGATCCAATAATTGAAGCTTAATCGCAGGGAAGTTAGGTTTCTTAAAGTTCGGTCCGACGGCGATCGCGGGTACTGGCCGGTCATCATCGGGTACATTATCTCCGTTATCTCCAAAGTCGATGACCGACTCGCTTGGCAATGGATCTTGGCGGCAATCGGGTTACCTGTTTTCGTCCAGTCAGTCCAGTCAGAAATTTGTAAGGGCTAGGCGGCCGAATTTCATGACGTGAGTGACTGCAATGGAGCAAACTGTTGGTGATAAAGTGGGTTACAGGCGATGGGTACCGCTGCACTACAAAACGATAGCGGTCGCCCGTCCAGATCCCAAGAAATTGTCACTCACCCCGTAATGAAAGCCATAGCAACATCCCAGTATAGTATGAGACGCCCATCTATACGTCAAATTGACAACCGATCACTCCAATTCTCCGAGAATGGTACATTTCAAATATCTATATTCGAGGACTTACACTTTGCTGAAAGTAAGTATGGAATCATTCCCGAGCATTCGTCGATAGCATGCTTAAATGGATACAGATGCTACTGACGATGCCATGACAAAGCAAGTCATGAGGTCAATTCTCTCCGATGAAGAAGCTCAACTAGTAGTTCTGAATGGAGATTTGATATCCGGTGATGCCATTCAAGGCTCTGGTTCTAGTGAATACGTTCATGATGTCGTATCACCTTTGGTCGAAATAAACCAGCCTTGGGCTTCAACCTACGGCAATCATGACTGCCAAGACAATCTGGACCCATCAAAGGACATCTTCGATCAGGAAAAACAATATCCAACAAGTTTGACCAGAAGCGATATTTCGGGGTTTCAGGCAGGAATAACAAATTATTACCTCACGGTTTATCCCCACGATAACCTAAATGGCCCACCCGCACTACTTCTGTGGTTCTTTGATTCTCGTGGTGGGCGTAACGCAACCAACCGCGATTCTAGCATGACACCCGGCGTGCGAGCAGATTGGGTTGATGAATCAGTAAGGATGTTCTCTCGAATGCAATGTCGACATAGACTAACATATTTGAAGGTGGTGGAGTGGTTTATTGAGAAGAACGCCAATTTGACATCTGAATTCGGCCGTTCCATTCCATCCCTTGCATTTTACCATATTCCCGCCCACGCAATGTTTGAATATCAAGAGAAGGGCGTGAGCAAGAAAAAAACGCCTGGTATCAATGGAGAGACAGTAGTATCCCAAGGCTCTGGCGATACTAAATACACTGGCCAAGACTCCGCATTCATGAACGCCCTTCTTAACACTACTGGTTTGCTGGCAACCTTTAGTGGACATGATCATGAGAACGATTGGTAAGAACTAGTACCTTCATATTCCTCGCAGTTCCTTAACTCACTAACTCTCTAGGTGCTTTAAATGGGATAATAATACCGTGGATCAGAATATTACTGGCACGGGGTTGAACATGTGCTATGGCCGGCATACAGGATATGGCGGATACAGTGATGTCGCTCGTGGCGCGCGACAAGTACTGATAAACCAAACCGACTTGGAAAAACAAGTTCGAACTTGGATTCGATTAGAGGATGGTTCCATATCGGCTCCGGTAACATTAAATGCTACCTATGGTCAAGACAAATATGGGATGACATTTTCAGACAAACGGATTCAATTTTCCGGGGCCACTTCTGCTTATGATCCTTCATATCTGCTATTCTATATTTGGGCCTCTTTTTGGGTGCTTGCTTTCTGCCGACGTTAGATTTATCAAGAGCGCTCCCCACTTTAATTAGAGACATAGTTATAGAGGCTGATTATCTACGGTCGGGATCCAATTCGGCGATTGAACAAATTGCTTCATCTTCTTCAAAATATCAATTCGAATTTCGATGACAATGTGGATTTGTTCCGTAATATGCAAGATTCCGGAAAATTACTGCCTGCTATTGAAATCAGAAGCTACATACTAGCATATTCTTCAAGTGGTAATACTGTTGCCATTCCAGCGCCCGGCTTGTATTGACCGATCTACCCGTAGCGAACATTGTGAGAAGGGTTTCCAAACCAGTCATCGGTATCCAAAGATTCCTCAGATGGCGCAAAGTTGATAATCGTGCTCTTGGTGGAAGTATAATCATGATAAGCCTCGATTCCATTCTCACTGCCAACTCCACTGGCTGACCTTGCCCCTCCCCACGGGCTACTGGGGTCATTTCGGTGATGAGTATTGACCCAGACTATGCCAGCATCGATTCTTTCAGATACCCGAAACGCCCGCGAGAGGTCCTTCGTCCAGATACCTGCCCCCAGGCCAAACTCTGTATCGTTGGCTAAATCAATAGCCTGGTCCTCCGTATCAAAGCCAAGAACAACGATAACAGGGCCGAATGCTTCAAGGCGCCATATCGATGCTGCAGTCAAGTTTTTTTCCCCTGGTACCAAAACAGTAGGCTCAAAAAAGTATCCCTTAGAAAAGTCGGATCCATCAAGGGGGCTTCTTCCGAGTAGACGATTACCTCCCGCGAGAGGGATTGCAGCCCCATTATCCACAGCATCATCAATTAATTCCTGGACTTTGATCATCTGCTTTTCAGAAATAAGGGGGCCCATCATTGAGTTGATATTGGCAGGGGACCCTATTTGAGCAGTAATGTTGTCGACCTTTGTCTTCAATTTCTGTAATACTTGATCCAGGACTTTGTTGTCAACAAGGATCCTTGTACTTGCCACACAAGTTTGACCACTAGCAATATAACTCCCAAAGGCAATTCCATTCACTGCGACATCGATATCGGCATCATGGAAGAGCAAAAGTGGCGCCTTGCCTCCAAGCTCGGCTGTATATCGGCAGAGATTGCCTCCCACCAGTGCTCCAATCGCCTTCCCAGCGTCAGTGCTTCCAGTCACATCTACCTTACGCACAAGCGGGTGCGAAACCAGGAACCTTCCTGTTTTTGATCCATAGCCGGGTAGAACGGTAAAAACACCATCTGGGATCCCTGCCCGTTGGAGAATTTTTCCTAAAAGGAGAGTAGTCAGGGGGGGTGAGTTCACTCGGCTTGGTTATTACACTATTCCCAGCAGCTAGAGCAGGTGCTAGCTTCTTCACTGCAATGAGTAGAGGGTGATTGAAGGAGGTGATCTGCACCACAACACCCAGGGGGAGTCTTTCAGTGAAGTTGTGAAGCTTGCCGGTAGTTGGAAGAACGGAGCGCTCTTCCACCCGTAACAATGAGGCGTAGTATTGAAACCATCGCACGAGAGACGGAACTTGGGCCTTCATCTCACGTACCACGCGACCGGTTTGTTTTACCTCAAGATCGATCAATTCTGGCAATGCTTCTTTGAGATAGCCAGCACAACTTTCAAGTACTTCCGCCCTTTTGTGACGAGATGCCCGTGACCATATGCCAGATTTGTATGCTGAGTGTGCAATGTGGACTGCTTTATCGACATCTTCCTCAGAGGCTGCATGACATCTGCCAACAGTGAGACAAAGATCTTTTGGAGGGGCACGGGAAAAGGTTATCTAACTCGGCGAAGACTTCTCCGGTAGCTGGATCCTCGATGGGGATTCTTGATCAAGGTCAGAGCTCTGCCGCACTTTGAAAACCAAATCGTTGGAAGGCATACAAGTCCTCTTTTCCAGCTTGGGATTTACCAGCGACCCATAAGTAATAAACTCTCGACATTTTGACGTTCCTTTGTGAGTGGTGCGGTAAGCCTGAGAGTCTTGAACGCCGACGGGATAGCAGATACCCCTGATAGATGTGAGGTTGAAACCAAAGGTCCAGTCGGCCGTGGCGAAGAGGTGACCGATCTCAAATACATTCACTTTGTCCTGTTGCCTTGGTGGGTTGCGATATTGTGAGGGGGGGTGTTTGCTTGGCCCAATTCGGTAGGGAGCGGGGCTGTTTTGACCCCTCAGGCGGTTATCGAGCCAATGAAATCAGTTTGGTCCATGAATTGCCCATTCCTATCTATTTGAATTGGAATCGTGAATCCAAAGACATGCTAGCAGATAGATACCGTACTGAGCCCCTCGCCATCATGGCAGGTGGCCTAGATGATCCGATAAGCTACACCGTGGCTAAGGCAATTCTTCCCAATACCCAGAGAGTCTAGGTGATAGCTAAAACCAGGTACAAAACCGGTTAGAGTGAATCGATCTATCTTTCAATCTGTATTACCGTACTGATACCATTTATCACTCAATCTTGGCAGTCTAAGAAACCCCCGCCTGTCCTGCGGGGCCAGGCGATGCAACCCCACTGGGCGGGGGTGGCCGCTGTTGATCACTCACCGCGACAACAGCCCTGTGCGAGACAGGATAGTTATATATTCGGCCTTTCGTTCCTCTTCCACTTATATTTGCTCTCACTGGCTAGCAAAGAAACCTCCCATCAATACCTGCGATCGCTTTCTAACTTCTAAGGAATTGTCCGGGGATAAATCTTGGAATAAAAGATGGCGGAAATCGAATACCTCAAAGGGCTGAAGGCCGTTCGCGAAAGAGCTCACCGTGTTCTGGAAGCTGCCGAACAGGATAATCTGACACACTTCTCATATTTCCCGGATTTGATGCCTGGTGTTGCAGATTACGTAGCAGATATCATCAACGTGCGTTTGAGCTTGGCAATTCCAGCTGGCATGATCTGACTGAGAATATCTAGAGAGACTTTGGCCCAAATCGATTCCAGGAAATTCCTCCACACGGCCGATGGCAGCATTTCGATATCGGAGGCGTTCCACGAGTGGAAAAGCTGATCAATGGATGGAAATCAGCTGGTCATGACGAGACAGAAATCACGCGACGCCTGATTGATCTCTTCTTCGTGGCTGTCCTTCTCGATGCCGGCGCCGGTGATGTCTGGAAATTCACTGAGCCTGACACCGGGAACGAATATGGGCGGAGTGAAGGTATTGCAGTCGCGGCTTTATACATGTTCAAGGCTGGCACATTCTCAGATAGCGCCGATAGTGGAGGGAACAAGAATGAAGCAGTCGACGGCAAGTGAGAAGTCCTCTACTTAGACATGAAGAAGCTGACAAAATTATCTAGGTCGTGGTCTCGTCTCGCTTGACATTGCAGATTTCAGAAAGCACTTCCAAATAACTGCTGAAAATGAGATAATAAGCGACATCTCTCGCGTCAGTCTTCTACAAAGCGTTGGGCAGTCGTTGTTGAATCTGCCTGAGATTTTCGGGGATAAGGGGCGACCTGGAAATATCGTTGGTAAGTTTCCGCCTCTCTTAAAGTAGCTCCATCTGCTTATGATTCAATTTAGATTACTTGTTGGCAAATAGAAAGGACGGGGAAAATCTCAACTACGAAGTTTTATGGTCGGTACTACAAAAGACCCTCCTCCCCGCCTGGCCCAAAAATCGAACCCAAATTTCAGGCGTGCCTATCGGAGATGCGTGGCCTCTTCAGACTTTAGAGAGACTAAATTCTGGTCGGCAAACTCAAAATGGCGCTTTGAATATTCAGCCTTTCCATAAATTGACACAATGGCTTGCCTATTCTCTGTCGGTCCCTTTCATACGGGTCCTGGGGTTAGACTGGGACAATATTGACCAAGGGACGGGACTTCCAGAATACCGCAATGGAGGTTTGTTCGTCGACCTGGGGGTATTGAGGCTGAAAGAGAACGTCTTGAAGGAAGGCAAGAAGAATTCCGAGCAGGACACTCCGAGCTTCGATGCGACCAGTGATGTGATTGTAGAGTGGCGTTCAATGACTGTTGCTTTGCTCGACACGCTTCATAAACTTATCGCTGATCGCTTTGCGCTGCAAGGTGTTCGAATCAGTATGGCACAGATGCTCGAAGCTGGAACTTGGAAAGGTGGTAGAGAGCTGGCAGCAAAGTATCGCCCTGAAACAAAGTCGAGTCCAATTGTGATTCAGGGAGATGGTACTTTGTTCTAAGACACTGATCTGGCATGTATTACGAAGCTCTTCTCCATTACTTGTTAGCTTTCATTGCGTGTCATTCACCCGTCATATGCGCTTGGGCTTGTTCTGAATCATTTCCAAGAGTATGAATCCATAGATTTTCTTTGCTTCTGGGTCATTTGATGGTATCTAGAGGTATAGTACAATGGTACTCAAATAATTTCAAAGGCTTCTTATCTGCCTTTGGATGCATACTTATCCTCAGTCCGTCATAACATCCTTGGGCGGAAGTTTGTAAATTCTAGATTGATTCAACTCTCTCTTCATTGTGAAAGCGACGAAGGATTCCTGAGATATTGAGTCAATGCACAAGCGGCCTCATAATCGCGTGGAAATGGAGTTGTTTTACAATACAGAAACATTTCATGTTAATACTTCGTAGATAAAGGTTCAATTCTGCTCATCCAACTTTGTCCGTTACGGGTAGTTGACGGATACTCAGCTGTTTGTGGGCATCGAGAGCGTCATTTTTCCAGGTTGGCTATCTCGCCCAGCCCACTTCGACGTTACAGTCTTTAGCTGCGTATAGAAACTGACACCAGGCTTGCCATAAAACGTATTTGCACCGCCACCAGCAACACTTCGCTTATTTCCGGTAAACGAAAACATCGGGAGAGGGACTGGAATGGGAACATTGATACCAACTTGGCCAGCCTCTATGTTCTTCCGAAACCTCTCAGCAGAGACCCCCGAGGACGTGAATATCGCTGTACCATTCCCATACGGATTCGCATTGACCACACTTATAGCATCGTCGAGTGAGTCTGCGTGAAGGCAAACAAGCACCGGTCCAAAAATTTCCTCTTTGTAGCACTGCATGCTGGGAGTGACATCGCAAATAATTGTCGGGGCCACCCAATTGCCATTGGGATACTTTTTGTGTTCAAATACTCGCCCGTCGAGGAGAACAGTAGCCCCTTCGCTTTCAGCGCTTGTCACAAGTTTGTTTATTCTGAGTTTGCTTTGCGGTGTCACTACTGGACCCAGATCGGCATCGGGTTCGAATCCTCCATCCACGCGGAGACCCTTGGCTCGATCAACCAGCTCCTGGAGCCAGTCTTTTGTTTCACCGACAAGTACCAGTGCTGATAGCGCCATACAACGCTGGCCAGCCGCACCAAATGCTGCAGCTGTGATAGCCTCCAAGGTCGAATCTTTATCGGAATCGGGTAAAACAACAGCGTGATTTTTCGCTCCGAGATTTGCTTGCACTCTCTTACCACTTGCACTTCCCTTTTCAAAAATGTATTCCCCGGCTTGGTTGCTTCCGACAAAGCTGATGGCCTTGATCAAAGGATAATCGAGCAAAAAGTTAACGGTGTCATGCGCTCCGTGGACAACGTTGATCACTCCTTTAGGAAATCCAGCCTGCTCTGCTAACTCCATCAAAATCATAGCTGCCCCAGGCGCTCGCTCTGATGGCTTGAGAACAACGGTATTCCCTGTTATAGTGGCGACCGGAATGCACCAAAGCGGAATCATAGCAGGAAAATCTGATTTATCAGTTGTTGCATATCAAAACCTGTCCGGTACTAACTTACTGAATGGGCAGATGACACCAACGACACCAAGTGGCTCGCGGTAAGTCCTAGTCTCCATATCTTTGGCGACTTCTAAGACTTCCCCTTTCATGTATTCAGGTCCAGCGCATGCAGCCTCAGCTACCTGCAAGCCTCGCAAAACATCTCCCTTGGAGTCTGCCAGCGTTTTCCCTTGCTCTAATGTTATCACAGCGGCAAGACGGTCCCAGTGCTCGCGAATAAGACCGACAAAGCGAAACATGATTTGTTGTCTGGCAATTGTGGACATCCCCTTCCAGGCTGGAAATGCTGTTTCTGCAGCTTGGAGGACTTCCTCCAGTTCCGATTCGGTCATCTTGGGAACTTTGGAAACAAGATCATTGGTAGCAGGGTCATGCACGTCGATGAGGTCTTTTGTCGCTGAGAATCGGAACTCATTGTCGATAAAGTAGGGCGTATCCTTGGGATTGGCGATTTTCGCGTGAGAGCTTGGGAAGGAGCTCGACGAAGTACCCAGCACACCCGTTTGTGATGGATGTTGAGCCATCATGGATAAACCCTATGCCTAGTTCTTTCAATGTGAATATGATGAGAGTTGCAATACAAGGACAAGAACTTGATCTTGATGTCGTCTCTGCTGAGAGGTGGTAACAACTTTTGATTGCGCGAAAAACTTTCCAACTTGAAAGCAACAGAGACCAGTGGATTGCGGGGAAATGAGAGCTCCCTAACAATTTCCTTGGGGTCTTGCTTGAACATGGATAGTTTGATCCAGAATTCATTAAGAGCGGGGTAAGCTGTGCGATGTACAGTCAACCAGTTCCGAGTTCTTAAGGTCACACTATTGGGCACCCGCATCTGCATTCACTGGTACATCTGCATGCATATTCCCTTTTTCATTACATACGTACGTATTTACTGTGTATCGAAACGGAAACTTTGGAAGCTTCCCACTTTGCCTCACAAATACACTGGCATACTTGAAATAAATTTGTGATACACCGTGAGTGGCATAAATTCTGGATTTGTCTCACTTCATCTATGCTAGCAATCTTATCTTCAGTTATCTCTATCGGCTCACCATCTGGGTATATGTGGGGAGAATTCCGGTCGGAACTTTCTCATATAAGTGGTATCATCTCTCTTGGTCATCCCACACTCAAGGTACTGTTGATGAAGGCGTGCGAGCTTCTCTCTGTCCAGCTCGACTCCCAGGCCGGGTGCAATTGGAACGGCGACACCTCCATCCTTCCATTTCAGAGCACCTTCGATAATGACGTCTTCTTCATCTCGTTTCCATGGCCAATGTGTATCGCAATCATAGTCCAGATTTGGAGTCGCAGCGGCCAAATGAGTCATAGCAGCGAGTGAGATACCTAAGTGACTGTTGGAATGCATGGAAAGTCGCATTTTCCATATACTGCAAATAGCAGCCAAAGTTTGAGATTTTCGTAGACCACCCCAGAAATGATGATCGGAGAGAATTACCTGAACGGCATCTTGCGCGACCGAAGGGGGAGATGTGAAAAAGCGACAACCGCCATATTTGTTGCCAAGGGCATGGAAGCTTCTTTTGCGACCGCTGCCATTCCCTCAATTTCAGGGGCAGGATCTTCAAGATACTCAACGATACCTTCCAGCTGACTAGCCACCCATTTGGATGTTTCAACAGTCCATGCGGCATTGGGATCCAACCGCAGAGGGATTCCTGGAAATGCAGTATGAAGTGACTTGATGGCTTCAACTTCCTGTGCCGGTGGAAATACGCCGCCTTTCAATTTGATGGCCTTGAAACCATATCTGTTAATCATTTTCTCTGCTTGTCGAACAATTCCTGCCGAATCCAAGGCTTCTCCATATTCATCATCCGGTTGACCAGGATGACCGGCCCATTTGTAGAATAAATATGCCGAGTATTGCACGTTACTTCTCACACGACCACCAAGAATATCGCTCACAGGAATTCCCGCGATCTTTCCTTGTATATCAAGACACGCAACCTCAAAAGGCGAGAAGACTTTGTCGGTTACAGATGCCGTTGTGACCATGCCCGCCATACCATCTCCATCCGTTGAGTCGTCACCTTCCAGAGAGTTTTGACACATCTTATAGATCATATTTGTATCGTATACGGATATGCCCTCCAGACTAGGTGCTGCCTTTTTGAGACGTACCAAATGAGCCGAGTCGCCATAGGATTCCCCGAGCCCGTAGCTGTCGTCTGTCACGATCTCGATAATGCTGCGCAAGGCGAAAGGCTCATGAATACCAACACTATTTAGCAGTGGCATGTCGTGAAATGCCACTGGTGTGATAGCAATTTTTCTGATTGTGGAGCCTTGAGGCATCTTGATTGTATTCCTTTTCCGAAACTGATCGAATAGTACTCAGTCTCCCTGGAATGCCAGTGTTCAATTGGATATCTGTTCTATTTATCCTGGCAGCTGATCAAAGCTAGCATAAAAGTACAAGCTAACCAACTTCTTTTCCCAGATTTCCGGTAAACAGTCCGGAGAAGCTTGCTTCATGGGTCGGATAAAATAATTGACTTTTCCCTTCCCCGCAAATTGCACCCAAGCTCTTGCTATCACCCAGTGGTCCGTGGAGGGTTATCCGCACTCGCCGGGGAGATCAGCCGCCCGTGCAGGAATGCGATTGGACGATTATCCGTATCACTAAGGCACGCAGGTCGAGCCAAAGGCCGCATGTGCCGGAAAAAGACAGATCTTCGCATCTTGCCTTCACTTCTGGATAAGCTTGCCTGCCAGTCCCCGCATTGTCAGGCCAAAGACCCGCTACAAACGTGGTTGCCAAGGCCGGGGTACTGGGGTCATACTGAATGCCAAGGTCAATTCGTGGCAAATTTCTGTCAATGATCAGGAGATACTAGTATGTTAGTGTTCGGTCGCCAAGGAGAGATATCCGAGATGACCTTCTGGTATATATCCCCCCGCACCGCTCCCAACAGAACATGAACGGATGGCTCTGCAGCTACCTAGGTGTCCATCCCTGTACTAGTGTCTCCTCTCATATTATCCATTCCAAGGTTGATTCGCTTGCAAAGAGTCAACTTGAAGATGACTACTCGTTCCATCACTAAGGACGATGTCGAAATCGCAGATAGACCTGCCCATATTGAAGCCCTTCCAAAAGCCGCCCATATCACTGAGATCGGCAACTTTCGAGTCGTGGGTCTCACTCCAGAAGATGCCGATTTCTTCTCCAACTACTCCGAGGAGAAACGAAAGAAAGTCTTTCGCAAAGTCGATATGCGACTAGTGCCTATGCTGGCGCTTCTATACCTAATATGTCACATTGATCGTGCCAATATTGGCAATGCCAAAATTGAAGGGATGGTTGAGGACTTGGGCATGAGTGGGGTTCAGTATAACACAGTTCTGTCCATATGTGAGCATTGAGTCTCTTTCAATTTTAAGAAAACTCATCAACCAGATTGCTAACCCTCAAATTCTCAGTTTTCATTCCCTATGTCCTCCTGGAGGTTCCCAGTAACATCCTCTTGAAGAAGTTCAAACGTCCCTCCACCTATCTTGGAATTCTTGTCCTCTCATGGGGCATTGTCATGACGTGCACTGGTCTGGTAAAAAACTTTGCAGGTCTCATGGTTACTCGAGTTTTGCTCGGTGTTTTCGAGTGAGTTGGATATCCTTCATATTTTTATTGTTTTTATTTCTAACACGCTTAAAAACAGAGCCGGCTTTTTCCCTGGTGCTATCTATCTTTGCTCTTATTGGTATATGCCGAAAGAATTGGCCCTGCGGATATCCTATTTTTACTGTGCTAGTGCACTTTCTGGTGCCTTTTCTGGCCTCCTGGCTGCCGCTATTGCTCAAATGGATGGAGTTGGTGGTCTCGAGGGTTGGAGGTGGATCTTTATTTTGGAGGGCCTCGCGAGTGTCATTCTAGGGGTCGTCTGCTTTTTTCTCCTTATCGACACACCATCATTCTCTTCACGCTGGCTATCTCCCGACGAGATCCGGTACCTCGAACTTTCGATGTTCATCAAGCAAGGCGGAACCAGTATCGAGGAAACCTCTTTCAAAATGAGAGACTTGAAGATGGTTCTCACAAATTGGAGAGTATATGTGCAGGCATACTCTCTATTCTGCCAATCAGCACTATCATATGGTAAGAAAAGCCCAAGATAACGTATCTGCTTCCTCCCGACTAAGCTAAATATCCACAGGTACCAAATTTACACTTCCAACAATCACCAAGGCAATGGGCTTTAGTGATACTAATGCCCAGCTCACCTCTGCACCTCCGTACGTCGCTGCTGCAATATCCGCTATTGTATTTGCCCGCCTTTCTGATCGCTTCTACTGGCGAATGCCATTTGTCGCTATCCCTATGCTGATTTGCGTAATTGCATACGCGGTCATATTCTCGCTCAATGGGGCCCTGCAAGAAAAAAAGGGCGTCGCCTACTTTGCTGTTGTTTTAGCCGTCGTCGGAATTTATCCTATCCAATCTGCTGCCGCATCTTGGAACGCGAACAATATCGCTCCGTCTTCGCGTCGGGCTATTGGAATTGCTCTTATGAATTGCGTCGGCAATGTCGGAGGAATATTAGGAAGCTTCATGTATATGGAGAAGGAGAAGCCCAAGTACCAAACTGGCTTTGGCCTCAGTCTCGCGCTAGCTGGTGTTGGCATATTCGTTGTTCTACTTCTCGAGTGGAGCTATAAGGTGGGAAATTCACGGAAGGCTAAGCTCATTGACGATGCACGAGCCAGATATACGGAAGAAGAGTTATTCGACCTGGGAGATAGGTCTCCACTTTTCAAGTACACTTTGTAGATAGAGTTAACTAGCCTACTCAGTTTCAATAACATACCATGTGTAAGTCATTTAAGGGTTCTAATCCTTCACTTTTTGCTAGACTCTTTCTCAAATGTACTTTTGCTATGCTTTAAACTAGCCAAGGTATAACTACATACTCAGGTCTACCAAGGGCGATTGAAACTTTACGTATCTTCCTGATTTTGCCTCTTTTACTTTCTTTTCTTGGTAACATTTAAAATTCATGTGTTTACACTGGACTTTAAGTGAACACACGAAAGTAAATCATTATTCGAGGCTCGCTTCAATACCTACTAGGGCTGCCGTTTGTGATTCTATAGCCTGTCTCTCTGCCTCGGAAGGCTCCACGTAGGGACGGCGTGGCTTCAGCTTTTCCAACGCCCCTTCGATCCCCGCAGCGACGGCTGTGTTTAGCGCAGCAGCATACTTGACAGACGCAATTCCAGTCTTGCATGGCTGCTCCGCGAGCGCTGCCTGTTTATGCAACTCCATGGCCTCTTTCAGCTTTCCCTGTTGATACAGCCTGTAGATATGGACTAATGTCTTGGGAAAAACATTCGCAAATCCAGCGATAGTGCCCGCAGATCCAGCAGCCAGTCCACCGATCAAAAAATCCGACTGTCCACCAAACGTTGCGAATTTCTCTGGGGGAAACTCAGCTGCAAGTCGAGTAATCTTTGCGACCGCACCACATGTCAGCTTGACGCCAACGATATTATCATACTTCTTTGCTAGCCTTGCAATTGTCGCAGAATCTAGATCAATTCCGTTGCAGACAGCCGGAAAGTTGTAAATAATAATTGGCAAAGGGCTAGCCGCGGCGACATCATCAAAGAAGTTGTCAATGACTGCGGGAGTCGTCTGTTTGCCGAAATAAGCCGGGGGTAGAAGGAGGACATAATTCGAGCCTGCATCGGCTGCGTCGATGATAAATTCCAGAACCTGTTTTGTAGAATGACCACCAACACCAGCCATGATCGGGTATTCAGGTCCACATGCTTCTCGCGCGACCGTGAGCAATGTTTTGCGTTCCTCGCGAGTCAACAAAAATGTTTCGGAATTTGTCCCCAGCACCACCAATCCAGCAAGTCCAGATTGTGATAGGTATTTGTAATATTTGGCTTGAGATACCGTATCGATGCTATCGGTACTATGGTCGAAGAAAGTGATTGTTGGAGCCCAGACGCCGCTGGGTGGAACTTTGGCAGACGACATGGTATAGGAAGTGGGACTTGTTTTTCAATTCTAGGAAAATACTATGAATGCCTATTTGATGAAATGTTCGATACCTGGGCATACTTAAGTCAATTTCAAGTTCCTGTGGACTTTTCCCCGCCTGAGGTATTTATCCGTCCGGACCTATCCAGGACTAGACCTGGCAAAACGGATAGGTACCTAGGTATACCCGTGGTATACCCGCGGTACCACGGATGCGGGTATAGATTCTCGTACCCCTAGGTGAAGGCTTGGCGGGTACAGGTATGGAATCTTATACCTGTACCCGCGAAGCCTTACCGAAGGTATACCTGTGACATATCCGTGCTAAGCTAAATAAGAAAGTACCCTATGATTTATAATTTTTTGTAAATTTAGTGGTTTTTCTTTTTCAAATATAGATATATATATATACCTAGTTACCGACACTATAATATTAACTTATCTTTTTGCTGAAAAATAATCGTATAGAATTGCCATAGCTATCAATATTACATACAACCCGTCTTCCGAGGTTGGGATTGCGCCATCAATATCGCGCGCAATTGCTAGTTATGGCTATCGCTATGTTAGTCACAATCTAGTTAATTGGTCTTTATAGATAAAGGTCGGTCTGGTTTCAAATTTTACTTAGATAGTACTCCAGGCTAGTATGAGTAGTTAGGATCTCCTACTTGCTAACTAGTTAGTATTTGGGAGAATGGTGGCAGTACCAGCTGGAGTACCCTGATGGTTAAATAGAATACATCTTCTTGCTTAAAATTACCAATTTCAACAAAACCTCAATATCTCAGGAACTACCGGTCGCAAAGCTCTCGGATTTTGGTACAATAGTATTTAAATCTTCTAATTAATATTATATATAATAACAATGGATAAGAACATGGGGCAGTGATAATGCTAAAATTACGTGCTGAAATAGTGAAGAATAGTGGAGAATATCGCGGGTACCGTTTACCCGTTTGCCAGGTCTACCAGTGGGAGCTCAGCCTGGGAGGCTATTATATTTCAGGTCAAAGACTCGAGATGGCCGAGCGACGTGACACTTTGATTTCATATGCTAAGAGAGGAAAATGCCTGGCCTAACAGTGCTAAGAGCAGACATAAGATCATAGACTGATGAGATCAATACATGACTTTGACCTGTCAAAGCCTCGCGCGGTAGCAGCTCTTGCAGACAGACCATAACCTCCTGCGTTGAAGAAAGCAGGATCTGATTTCCCTCCTCTGCCCCGTTTCTCGAGACACCTTGGCAGATGGCAGGGATACCTCCATTAAGAATGATCCATTGCTGTGATTTCGCCGTCTCGTCTGTGTCCAGGGCGAACTGCTGCGACATGATGGATGGGATACCACGAGCTGAAGATGTAGCATCATTGGCGGCGATTGCTCCATAAATCCACAGGCATAAGCTTACCTGGTACGTGATAATAGCATGAAAATCCGTGAACTGTGACACAGGAATTTCGCGCAAGTAGCGGACTGCCTGGCCAGCATGTGAAACTGCCTGTCGGGCCTTGCAGCTCTTGCTCCAGATTTGAGCGCTCCGATATGCAGCTTTGGCTTCGTCTTGGCCTTCACGGCCAGCCGCCAATTCGAAATGACCGAATGGAGCGAAAACGTGCATAGACAAAAGTTCGATCAATAAAGACCTGTGGACAGCGTCTTGACTTTTGTGGCTTTCGTTGATCATTCGTGTGCTTTGCAGAAGGCGTTGCAGTCGCTGCTCTTCACCTTCATTGAAAAGGATATGTATTCGCGTCATATCATTATCTTCAGACTCACAAACAGTCAGATATTGTTGGTAGTCTCGGGTCATGGAAGAGATGCAATGAAGGAGGATCAACTGAGCACAGTCGGAGTCATATACGTCAGGCAGTGACACGATTATCAGTGGATTTGCGAGTACTTGACGTGCCGAGATTTTTTGGAGTGGCCCATGAGAAACAAGTGTGAGGTAGACCTGTTTCCACTCCAAATATGTCTTCGCTGTCCACAGTCGTCGATGATATGGAAGTGGCAGCAATAACTCAAAGCATGAAACGGGCATCCTAGTACCCGTTGTGAGCGACCCTTTTGAGCAATGCACTTGCATGTGGAACACAATTCTATCAAACTTAGCGATTTCTTTTGAGTGAGATAGGTCAATAATCTTCAAAATTTACCTCTTAAATGATTCTTCTTCCACCCAGTTGCGCCATTTGGCTTCGAGCACTTCACCATGGTCATCGGGGGAAAGATTGATACCGTGGAAAGTAGCACCTCGATACCAGCCACCATACCGCAGCATCTTATATCGAGTTAGCTCAAGCAATTCTGAAAGGCAAGGCTTTACACTAACTTGGACTACGCATCCCACAACTGCTTCTGATATTTCCATCATGCGCCTATCTCCGCTCCATAATCCAATCTGAACAAAAAGTGCGAGAGCCTGGATATTTTGTAAATGGCGTGTGCGTATGATATTCTTTTCGAACTGATTGTCATGCCATTCTGATCAGCTCCTGATAAACGAAAGACGACATGAGTAGATATTAAGGAAAGCCTTACCACTTGAAAGAGATATGGGTGCAGAATACTATGGAGAGCTTTGCCAAACCCACGGATGGCACTATTCGTAGATTTCATGGCACTTGACGCGACACAAGCCATCAATAATTCTGAAGGTGCTTTGTTCGCATCAAAAGTGAAAAGATGGATCCATGAATCCTCTTCCAAGGCATGAGACTCGAGATACCTGAGCAGAAGCCGGCTCATTGCTTCAGCAGAAGGAAAGGAAGAAGCCACTTTCGTGATATTGTCTTTAGCACAATTATTGAGAATCATGGCAAGGATTCGATCCCTTGTATCTGAAGAAACAGTAAAAATCGATGCAAGGTATGGCGGGCTGGCCAAGTATTCATCAAACAAGTGAGAAGTTGGTTCCAAGCAAATATTTTTCTCTTCAGCCGCCCGGTGGTTCTGCCAGTCTGGATGCCAAGGACCTATTGTTTTCCCAAATGCCACTGTCACATTCGACAAGCTAAACAAGGAAGCAAAGACACTTTCAAGGTCACTTTGAGGGGTATCTTGCGACTGGGGAAATAGATCACGCATGAATGTTGAAACGGGGATGTTAGTAGATGTAAATGCGGCATCTCCGTGTTTTTCCGGAGAGGTGCCCAGTTGAGGCTGTCCTTGGGATGGATTCTCCAAGCGGGTCGCCTGTACCTTTTCTGGAGAATTCCCTGATGATGAAGAGTCAGCTCTCTGAGTCTTCGAGTCCCAATACGGCGAGCTGACCCTATGATATGGAACTCCGAGCGAGCGAGCCCGCAGGTTTGGTCGGTAGACTTACCTAAAGTGTGCCCCGAAGATTCCACAGATAGTGATGAGGGGAGATCTCTTTGCATGCAATCATGCAATATTTCCGGAAAGAGATCTCTAGGGCCATCAAAATTTCGACTTTCTCCCGTACAGCGTTGTGAAGCCGGGCTGGTCTTCCGCGAGCTGACAATGCGCATTATCGGTTTCTCGTAGAGTGGCGTAGGCCTGATACAAGGCAAATCCCGCCTGCGACATCTTTGACAGCACTCATTGTTATCACATCGCGCCTTCGCCGTCGCACAATTGTCACATGCCTGTGAGGCGCGGGGCCCACGGCGTTGTCGCTGCCTGCCTGCTTCTTGGCGTGACCGTCCCATGAACGGAGTGACTGGAAAACACTCGCGTGGTGTCAATGCAAGGGATGCCGGCTGGGGGACCTGCCTTAAATCCACCTTGGTGATAATTGCGCACAATTTTTCTCGTTGCAATTATAGGCGATGGCCGGGAATGGCAGTAGGGAAGACGGGGTGAGGCGTCGGATTTGAGGCTTCATGAAGTTAAATCAGGTTAAAATGCGGGGGGATGACTACGCGGCCTGTGGCGTTCCGCTGAAAGGGACCCTTTCTATTGAGATTGGTAAACACCATAGGACGACCAACCTCTAGTCCACTAATCAATGTGGACATCTATGAGAAGTCTTTTCCGCTGAGGTGGATTATGTTGAGTTCATTCAGTCTATGTGAATTCTTTTAGACCTTTTCGCGATTATCAGCATGTCAAGTTCGATGCCATCAACCATGTAGAACTTTCATGAATGATTCGAGCCATGGGATGTTCATAGAAACATTTTACTGTCAAAATAATCACGACTCATACCTCTCTAGACTATTTGTTTTCGCTTTTCTGAAAAGACCAAGAAGGGACATATGATGAGCGGTGGGTATTATTTTAAAGCTTCCCTATGGTAGCGTGGGAAGTGGACCACGTCCCGATAAAATTCTCCAGACCAAAGGGTTACAGCTGGCCCACTCTAATTCCGGGTCCTACCATCCCTCTATACCTGCAGTAAATGGAAAAGAAAAGCTGGATGTCGAGGATGTCACTCAAATGGATCTATTTTCGAACGATACACGCAGAGTCATAATCCATCGTGCTGAGTACTCGCGCGTTGCCTGGTTCCGATATTTGCAAGATAAAGATAGCATCAAAATTGAAAACACTGTATCTACACAAATTCCGTTCAAAGCGGTGGGATTATTGGTGACTTTGGAGCATAAGTCGAACTCAGGTTCAGCAGCAGAATTATTCCTGTATAGCGAAGTGTAGCGCTGGCATCGTCTTTTGAGCGTAGTGCAATTAAAACCCCAATATCTCCTCGAGACTCTCTTTAAGTAAAGTAGATCTTTCCTGCTCCTGGGTCGCTTGGCCTCTCCATGCAACAATACCATCTGGTCGAATAAGCAGGGCTTCATCAATGCCAAGCTGATAAATCGCTTTGAATCCGCCGCTCAGGTCAACAAATCGACTCGAGTCTCCCGAAATCTTGTAAACATCAATATGCACGGATTGCGCGACGGCCGCTTTCTCCCACGACAGGAGTTCTCCAGCTACTAGCAGCACAAAGTTTCTCTTTAATAAATCGAGAGTTGACAATATGACTTCTGGCCTCGAGGTGTCACGAAGTGCAACATGTGGAAGCCTAGCACCGATATGAATGCCGGGAGTGTGCGGGTCTTGCCAAGCCCCGGAGAGGGGCTCTGCAGAGGGAATCTTCTCTGAAACAAACGCACCCCTTGTATATCGATAGCCAAGCTCACAAGTATCGTCTGGAAGTTCTCTGTCGCGAACAATACTTGGGTCTCTAAGTACTCGGTTTGCTAGCCGAGCAAAAGCTTGTCGCATGATTTGTTCAGCTGCAGCCTGTCGCTCAATGGTGTATGACTTGAGCAATGACGGCGACGCTTTCTGGTCGATCACATAAGCAAGTTTCCAGGCAAGGTTATAGGCGTCCTATCACGTATTAGCTTCGAGTAAACCTGTGCTCGTCAGGGCGTCCTACCTGGATACCTGTATTGCCGCCCATACCACCGGTTGGTGGCATAACATGCGCAGCATCTCCAGCAATGAACACTCGACCATTTTTACTAGAGTATCTTTCTGAGTTGAGTGCCGCAACAGTCCAATAGGAGACTGACTCGATTTCTAATGGGAAAGTCTCGTCCAGACCAGACGCGGCATAGAAAGCTTCCCGGGCCTCTCTTTCAGTAATCGAGTTGGGCTCAAAGTCGTCTTTCGTCCCGGTTTTGGCGACAATCATAAAGCCTCGCTTGCCCCCATTCTCAAGTCTAAAGCCAGCGGACACGTCTTTGTTGTTCACGTACGTAACACCATGCACGGCACGCGAGCCAAGATAGGGAGTAAGATTGGCCGTGAAGTTGATTGAAAGGTTGTTGCCGAAAACTCCGGGGCCTCTCCACTCAATGCATTCTTTCCGCCGGGTGGCACTCCGATTTCCATCACAGGCAACCAGGTACTGTGTCTTGTACTTGACGTACTTATCCGTCTGGATATCTTGACAAACAACGATCACTCCGTCTTCCTGCTCTTCGTAGTGCACGACCCGGGTTCCAAAACATTGCTCTGCCCCGAAACGATGCGCCTCACGACGAAGCAGCGGCTCGAACATATTTTGAGTCAACCACAAACGCTTGCACGGTGTAATCTTGGCAGTTCGAGCGGGATCTGCCTCTTGCATTCTTGCGAGAACCTTTCCCCCAATGAGTTTGTCGACGATAAGCATTCCAGCGTTCAAGTCGAAGTCGGATGCGCTCTCGGTTTCCATTTCGCCATCCAAACCCAAATGCCTAAAAATCTCCATTGTTCTTAATAAAAATAGTGCAGCTCGAGGGTGCGTCGCGGTCGATGGATGACGATCGAAGGAAATGGATTCGATACTATATCAAGCAATCATCTTTAATACGAAATGTCCGGGGTACGGCTTGGATTTTCTCCTCACCCGTAGTATCCCAATAGAATGCTTAGAGTCATTCCGACCATGCTCGAACCAATTATAATGACCGGCCAGCTATCTTCCTCCAACGGAATTTTTGAATGATCAAAATCACGAAAACTGAACTCAGTATGCTGCGCTCCCCGAAGGACAGTTTCGTCTTTGTGTGTGAGGTCGCTCATAACGTCTCGTTGAATACGTATAACAGGCGAGGGTTCAGACCGTTTAATCAAAAATTCTTTTATATGATCCAACCAGGCAGCTAAGTCGCTTTTATGGTGTCTCCAGAGACCCCCATCTTACGTGGGGCCGACCGACGGATTTTAGTGTTGAAATATCGCTCGTAATGAATCCAAGTTACTCCCTATCGCGTACTCGCCGGGATCCCGATGGTTTGCCCCCGCACTCCGGGATCCCGGCCCAGTGGGGCCGATTTCGTGGAGGTTGTGTGATGCAGCAGTAAATTATATTTAAACTCTGGATTGAGAAGGAAAGCTTTGGAATAGATTCAGATTCAGGCCAACTACCAGTTGAAATCCAACCTCTGGTCATTATGTGCACGGCGAAAGTATATGGCTCCATCTTCTCGACATGCACCCAGCGCGTTCTGGTTATGCTTGAAGAAGCTAGAGCTACATACGACTTGATCGATATAGACATGAGAGCAGGACAACACCATGTATGAAAAACATTGATGTTCTTGCGGAGAACCTGGATGATTCCGATATTCCCCTCTTCTTGAACTGCAGCTAAGACTGGCCCAGGACCACTCGTATGTCGCCGACAGGCACCCGTTTGCAAAAGTTCCTGCTCTTGAACATGGCTCAGTGAAACTATTTGAATCCCGAGCCATATGCCGCTATCTGGCAAAAGAATATTTAGGAGAAATTGACATGCTTGGTCCTGAGTCCGGGTTGGCACTGTTTGAGCAGGCGGCGAGTGTGGAGTACTCGTACTTTGAACCCCCAATCAAAGGGTTGGCCTACGAGAAGATGTTCAAAAAGTTAGGCCATTCCAAAGCTGTTCAAATTGTTTCCCCGTGCTAATTGAATCAGGATGATGGGACACGGAGAACCAAATAACGAATTGGTGTCCACTTACGAAAAGCAGATTTGTCAATGTTTCGATTATTACGAGTCTCTCCTTGCGAAGCAAACTTATCTGGCAGGCAATGTAAGCCTACTTAAAGAGGAAAAATACAAAGTCACCGGAACTGACACATGTATGGCTACAGGCTTACACTATGATCGATATTTTCCACCTTCCTTGGATTGCATTTCTGGCAAAGCTAGACCTGTGGCACGAAATTGAAACACGGCCGCATTTACTAGCTTGGTGGAAGGTAGTAAGCGAACGGCCCGCATGGAAGGCCGTTTCCAGCAAGGTTCCGTAAAGAATCGTATATCTGTGGGCAGTTCACTGGAAGTTCCCGTGCGACGTAGCGCCGAGACTCGGATTTAATTGTCCTCCATTCGGATTTCTTTCTATGTCCCTCAATGGCTAGTAGGCTGCACGGCTTTTATGTACAGTGTATTAGATACCTACTTTTCAATCCGCCCGGAGTTTTTACATTTAGCTCTGCGCGCATATGAGGTTAGATCCTTGGAGTTAATGTAACAAATCAAGCTTCCTGTGAAATCACACTAGCATGACATTATGTCCTGACCAGGACCCACCACCTAGACCGTATGCTTCAGTCCATTTTGATGACGATGGTAGATCTCAGAATACAATGTGAGGCAAAGCCGACCCTTGTCTCCGTTCTTCCCATGCTGCCTCACAAGGTTCTCGACTATCGGTCCAATTTCAATTATCATGGAAAAGTCTACAACTCAGACTCTCGGCACGGTCCAGCTTCGTCATGAGGTAACCAATGAGATTATTCTGAACTAAGTAGAATTACGGTGCATAATAGTTGCACTTGCTTGGTGGTTTGGGAAAATTAGAGTATCAGCTATCACAACATTTTCTCTTCTTCCACTGGCGAACACAATAGCCTCCGCAATATCATCAGGTGTCAAGGGCTCGCAGCCTCTACTAAACAGTCAGCGTAAGATCATTATTTCTCTCTTGGTGGTTCTGAGTGACTTGCGCATAAACAGCTTTCGCTTTGTCTTTGTCGCCGTAGAACCGTACCACGGAAAAATCGGTTTCGACTTGACCAGGATCTATGCATATGATTCGAATCCGAGTTGAAATAAGCTCTTTGCGCATGCTTTCGGTAAACGAACGAACAGCAGCTTTCGTCGCGCAGTAGATTCCGCCGCCAACATAAGGTTCACGACCTGCAATAGAGCCAATATTGATAATATCACCGGACCCAGCGCCATTGTTCAGCTTCAACATATTAGGTAAAATAGCCTGGGTCATATTGATGAGACCATTCACATTTGTCGCAAACATAACATTGATGTCTTCCTCCAAGATTTCCGGTGACTTTGCGACACCTTTCACGAGACCCCTGCAAAGGACAGGTAATAATATTAGCAATATATTCTCACTAAGCAAAGACTATCTCGATCATCTCGTTGCCTTTCTTTGCGGGCGAAAACTAACGCATTATTCACCAAGACATCGACCTGTTTGAACTCAGCGGGTAACCTTGCTACTAAAGTGCGCACGTCATCTGGATTGCTAATATCAAGCTGCACAGGTAACACTTTGACACCATTGCCGATTTCCTTGACGATTTCAGCCGCTATCTCGCGGAGATAGTCAATTCGTCGTGCAGTCAATATCAACTTTAAGTCTTGAGGACAACTGCGAGCAAATTCGAATGCAGTAGAGCGGCCAATCCCAGATGATGCTCCAGTTATCAGTATAGTTTTTCCATGGAGACGTTTTGAGACTGCAGTGGTCATGGCGACTAGGTGCTAACGATGAGATGGAGGTAGGTAATATGGTGATGGTGTGAACAGCGAAAATATTAAACTCTTGAAAGCTCTGGAGATCATTTTTTTTATATTTGCACTGGCAGCTATTGGAGTATCCACCATGTGGCCTTTTCCGAGTGTTTATGATTTATGACATACTAGTTTGTCGGGACGGGGAGAAATGCAACTAATCTATGGAGGTAACCTATGAAAAGATTTCCTAGCAGTGGGACGGTAAATCCTGTATTGATCACGATTTAAATTTTCTCATAATTATTCATGTTGTGGATACCAAAATGTATACTCCGTACTGATTCGACTTCCAGGATTATGCCTCTTCCTCCATTTCCTCTTGGCACGGAAAAGGACTCGGTCTTCCTTCCGCGTCTCTCCACTTTCGACCCCAGGGCGAGACCCGGAGCTCCCTTGCTAATTCTACCCAACTGTTTCTCAGCTTCAAAGGTTCCGTTTCTCACTCTCACTTTTCCGTCTGCACATGCGTAGCACGATCCACAACTTACATTACCGGCCTGATGGCTTCATCCCGCCGTCCTGAGTTTTCGCCAAGTCTTACGGCAAAACAAGGACCCCCGGCTCACAAGAAACGGAATCGAAATAAGGAAAGGGTGAGGGTAACCAGGGCTTGTGACAGATGCAAAAGGTGAGAATTCTTGCGGGTGGTAATTTTCAGCCCCGCTGACGAGATATACTCTCCCAGACGAAAGATCAAATGCAATGGCAAACAGCCATGTGAATTCTGCGTTCGCGCAAAAGACAAATGTACCTTTGCCTCGGCCTATTGCCGCGGTCGGCTTCCTTCAATCACCCCTGCATTGGGCCACAATCCTTGTAGCAGCACTGTTATCCCAACGGGTGAACTTGCAGCCAGCACGAATGCTTTGTCTTCGAGTCAGAGCTATCGTACTATCATCCCACGAACAGAGCTAGCCCCACGCAATTCACGGAACATGAAAAACCAAGAGGACCTATCAGTGACACATCCACTCACTCGGCATTCTCCAGAACCACATCAGCCGGAAATGCACGGTCAATACATCGGTCCTGCGTCAGGGGTATCTTTCCTTTTGAGGATTCAAAAACGTCTCCGACAAGCGATCTCAATTTCGAAGGCTAGCAGCATATTTACATTCGGCGATGCACCTCTACAGGTTCCAGAATCCGATCCATCCTTCTGTATGATGCTACCGAGAGCGGACGCTCAACGCCTTGTGGATCGTTATTTTGATTTTGCAATGCCTACTTATCGATTTTTGCACAGGCCTACTCTCCAGTCATATTTTGATGAGTTCTATGACACACTAGGTATAATGGAAGATACGCAGAACACATCCGCCAAGATCGCCTTGCTCTTCATGGTCTTCGCCCAGGCAAGAGTATATATGCCAGACAACGACCGACCCGGTCCATCTGATTTAAGGTAGATCCTTCTACTCATCAAAATTTACGAATCGGATAACCATTCTGATCGCGCGAAGTACACGATACTTTTTAGCAGCAGACCATCATTTATCCAGAGAAAAGGGTTCCATACGCCTGGCCAGTGTGCAAGCAAGATTGACTCAATGCTGTTATCTTCTCACCCAATCTCGCATAAATCACTGTTGGAGTCTTTTCGGAACTGTCTCTCACCTTGCACTTGCCATTGGACTTAACAGAAATCGGCCACCCGATACTTCCAGTGGACTGGGTCGTATCGAATCAGAGTGTCGTCGGCGAACCTTTTGGTGCGCCTACACACTAGACGCCTACCTTAGTGCGGCACTAGGAAGACCTCGCACATTTCATGATAACGACATTGACAGCGATCTCCCAGCATGTGTCGAAGACGATGATCTGACGAAAGAGGACGACTATAATCTTTCAACTCCGGCCAGGGGTTCATCGACCATGCTGGCCGCAATTGCACATATGAAGTATGCGCAATTCTCTCAAGAAGCATTTGACTTTTCACTGACAGGTTAGACTTGCGCAGATTACTAGCAGGATATTGACCAGCCTTTATTCAGTCAAACCTGTGCCGGCCTCGGACCGAGCAATTGCTGTCGAACAGATCTCAAAAGACCTTCATCAATGGCGCTCCGAGCTGAGCCGCTTCCTAGACGTTGACATTTATAGCACTTCCTTTCTAATATCTATCTTCCAGCGACAGAGAAATGTTCTCAATCTAACTTATTGGCACGCAATTATCCTCACTCACAGACCGTTTGTATTGAGTACCCTCGCGCGACTGTCGCAAAACGGCAGAGACAACGCCATACAGGAGGACGCGCAGACGGAGAAAAACCTGAAAGAGTGCATCGACGCTGCAATGAATACAGTCAATACAATCAGTGAAATTACAGAGAGCCGACAACTCTTCCGAGCATTTTGGGTCTGTCTCCACTGGCGGTCCTTTTACAGTGCTCGGCTGACTGAAACTCAGATTACGGCCTATTTCGCTTTCAATGCGACGATTATGCTGTATATTCATGTGATACAACAATGCACATCACCATCGGAGACTTTTATCAAATACTTCGCGGCCGCCTCTCGCTGCCAATCTCATATTGCGGCTATTGCTGAGAAGGGATCACTATCGGAGCGCTATTGCCTAGTACTCGAGGAGCTGCGTGTCGAAGCCTTGCGTCAAGTGAAGCATGCGCACCCAAATGAAACATTCGACTCTTCAATAGATGGGCGTGGGACCGGGGACTTTTTTCAGAATCAATTTCATTCAACGGAGCAAAGCCCCACTGCTTCATTTGATGTTACAGGGTTTGACCAAGATCTAGTAATGGATCTCGATGGTAATCTTCCTAACTATCTATCCCCTAGTTACTCAGGGTGGGAGCAGTTCACCTCTTTGCTATCATCTGGGCTGGGGAATATGGACGGTTTTATCAGCTACGATCAATGAAAGTATGATACCCTGCATCACACTCCAAGGTTTCCGGGTTCTAGAGTCAGGACATCTATTATATGATGTTAGTCCCTGGAGCCATTCAATATCGCTATGATTGATCATTTAATCCAATTTCTTAAAAAATATAGTACGATATATGCAATCTTTTCATAGTTAGAAGGCATATGTGTGTCGGCGTTCAATTCAGGTCCGAAAGTCCGGGTACCTCAATAGCGAGTCTATTCTCATTATACTAGATAAAATCCCAACCTCTTCCCTTTAAGGACCCCTGGAAAAATTGTCAGCTATTTTTGAACCGGATAAGGGGGGGTTTGAATATTCTGAAACAAGGCTACTAAATGTAGCCATCGGAAATATAACATTGAGCATTTCAACTTCGATGGGCTTCTTCTGATCATTTTGAGCACTGACCAGGTGAATAAGCTAGCCGAGGTGCGCACAGAGTCAGCGGCATCAGCCGCCACAGTTATGTACATCATTTGATGGTTCCAAGGATGCAGCTAGTACGGCACGCTTCTCGATCTCAATGAATCCGCGTGTTGAAAAAATGGTCGATTCCAACGAACAACGTCCGAATAGGAATTCCACACGCGACAGAGTGGCAAAACTCGAAGGAATTCCCATGATTCTTTCTTTCTGGTGACTCGCGGAGGCTATTCCTTGGCAAATCAAGGTTCAACTCATTCCGTCTGCTTATGGGCTAATGTCGCCGGTCTCGTATACGTTGGTCACCTGCCTGTTTTCTTTAGCAGTGGGACGATTGAGACACCACCAACAGTATCTTCTCGGATATTTGTGATGATGAACTAGTCATCAAAATAAAAATTGCTAGGCCTCTTCGGGATTGAACTTGGCAACCTTGTCATTCAACTCGGGGATGTAACTATGTCTCAGAAGTCTCCCCGCAAACTCGGTTATAGTGAGGCAATCAGGGTCCATAGCTTACGAGAACCTGACCGCATCTTCTTGCCCTGCATGTTTCTCATCGCTCGCCTCGCTTCTCATAGGGAGGTAAAATCTTTGTCCGAGCACATCTGAGACAACTCACTGTATCGATGTGCGGGTTGACCTGCGCTCACGCCACAGAAATTGGACCTTCACGACCTTCAGTCTCTCTAACGTACTGCCCGTTTCTCCGTTCGACGATCATGCTATACGAGCTCTTCAATACTCAGACATACCATGTAGTTCTTCGTAAATTTTCAAGCCTGTTCCATTCGCCTTAATGTCTCAGATATTATCAGAAAGATTCACTAATTTTGAGACCGGTAATGTGCAAGTAGACGTGTCAATGGAGTGTCAGAACCCCGCTGCTCTCCAGATAGAAGTCGGAATGAAAAAAAAAAATCTATATAATGACCGTTGATCACTACCTACCGTCCACCTGGGCAGTGAATTATTTCTTTCCAAATTCAATCTATCACCAACCACACTTTACTTCTACAACCAATCTCATATTTTTAAAATGCACTTCTCTACTGCCGCTATTGTTGCTGCCGTGGCCACTTTGGCACCTCTTGCCAGTGCTGTTGGGAATGCTAAAGTTGTCAACAAATGTGGCTTCCCCGTCTACCTGTGGTCTGTCGGAGGCTCAGTTGGCCCCGCGAAAACAATCAAAGCAGGTGGTACCTATTCCGAGGTCCTTCATCATGACCCGGCTTCTGGAGGCATTGCCATCAAGCTTACCACCGTTCAAAATGGACTTTACAACGGAAGCCCTCAGACGAATTTCGCCTATACCTTGGATGGCCAGAACGTCTGGTATGATCTCTCCGACGTCTTCGGCGACCCATTTTCAGGTCACGCTATCGGCGTCAAAACCTCGCTGAACTGCCCGAAAATCTGCTGGCCCAATGGCGTTGCCACGAGCGGTGCCAGTCAAACCAAAGTCTGCGGTGCAAATTCCGATGTTACCCTCACTCTCTGCTCTGGCACCTGCTAGATGATATCATCCTCTCACCGTGAATTTTGGCTATCTAAAGGGAAAGGAATTGTAGCAAGAGAAGGGGGGTTCAAAACTATTAGGAATTATTCAATAACAAAACTCAGACCTGATGACCTCAATCAACTACAATGACAATATCTTGAAAGAATCCTAGGATGTATGATGACTCTATATCTTGTTGCCTATTTTGAATGCTAAGCCAGGTTCCATTATGATTTGGAACTACTCTGGTCAATCTCAAAGGTCCCACTTTCCTCCTGTATTGATCATCCAACCCGCCCAACCTCGTAGCCCAATTATATCAACTTGAAGCATGCGCCCTGGTACTTAGGGAAACTAAGTATTTGAGGTTAACTGGATGCTTCGGCAACTGCTCAGACTAAGCCCCATTGCCCTAAAGAAATTTTCGTAATATGGTTTCGAGCTAACGTTGGGGGAACTCTCCCCGGTAGCTCGTATGTTGCCATCCTTGTCGATCGCATCTCTCGTCATAAATAGCCGCAGACCCTGATTTGTTTGACAAAAGGTGGTATACGCAACGAGGGGTTTATAGATGGAAGGGACACCCTGTGGAAGCCTATAAGGAATGCCGTAGAACTTTTTTCCAGGATCAGGGGTGTCAAGTTCCGCAATTGAGCTGTCAGGGTAGGGGTGAGTCCATTTTCTTTTTAAAATATCGGAAGAAGACTTACGTTGCGGAAAAGCCCTCCGGCACATGGTGAGGGTCGACGACCCGAACTTCCGCTATCCCCGGATAGCCCTCGTGCGCTTGAGTGCGACCCTTGTAGGCAATGAGACGTCCAAACACGTCCATCATCAGAGTGTTATGCTTCAGATCAGTAGTCCCAAACGGTGAGCTGATATCGGAGCTGCTATCCCGGTCAATAAGATAAATGCCGCCATCCGTACCAGATGCCAGAATTGAGTTTGTCTCGCCATCCATCACTATCCGGAATCCAGCGTTTTTTGTCTCCGGCTTTGGCATTCTATTCGCCAAATCGGTGAGTTCCGGCGGGTTGGTTCCGGTGTCGTACCCTCCATACTCCTCGTTCACTTCGTTGATGACGCCCATAGATCCTTGGGAATTCTCGTGGACCCAGCCATTTGCCCTGCAACATTTATGATTTAGAAGGGTTGTTTCTTTCGAAGAATCTCGGGAAAGAGGCACTTACGTGACACAGCCCAAACTTCCCTCGTATAGAGTCGTATCGAGGAGATCATAGTCCCACACATCAAGGGCCGCCGCATGGATTCGATTCTTAGCACCAGCACGAACTTCCACACCATTAGGACAAGTGTCTGATGTTTCACCAAAGCTCGCCTTTGCCTGGACATAGACAGATGGGGTGTTGACGACGCCAATTGTCTTCTTGAACTTTCCATTCAGCACGTCTATTCCGCACTCCAGTGAAAAGGGCAGACCGAGGTCGCCTGTCGCCTTGAAGTTACCAGATGCCCGGAAGACAGGGGTGACATGAGCCCCAAGGCCAGATAGATTGCTGTCATGTTCTTTGACGCTGACACGCGCAGTTCCAGCGTCAATTTCCAGCTGGCCCCCAAGAATGAATTCCACCGTCCCCTCCAGAGTGGCTTCAAAGGCGACACTGAGGGAAGCTTGCGGTCCTAGCCTGGTCTAGATTGTTAGCGTTGATCGAGGGCGGCTACTACGTATGTGCAACGGAAAATATCCACAAAAGGAGTTCAACCTACGTAATGATTCCCGGAATGGTTAGAGGACTGAACGGGACTGCGGCGATCTGCTTAGCCTGCCGACTTCTCAAGGACTTTGTCCACTTCTCCGAGGCCAAGTTTCCATGAACGGTTATTCCGAACACTGCATCCAGTGTGAACGGGTCGTTGTTAACAAAATCCACAAAGCCTTCCGAGACCCCGTCCTCAATGCTGAATGCCAGACGTCCGTCGATGTTAAAATCGGCGTGGATACCGCACTTGACACACTGCAAAGTGAGCTCTGCACCATGGTCAATAGTTTTGGCGAGGGTGAAGCCATTTCCGATTCCAAGGATGGTAGGGGGCTTGTTCGAGACACTCTGCCCTTCGAGATGGAGGTCGACCGCTACATCATAATGGATCGAGTGCGTGAATGGAACTAAAAAGGGAACCATCAGCTGCTTCGCGGTAGCAATCACCCATTTGCTTATCAACTCATGCGCAGTCCGCAGTATAGGCACTGAGTCAATAAAATCATGGACAATTTTCTAATTTTCACGATTAGCGTCATATATCTACTAGGCCGCCGAGAAGGGTCCCAGTAATCGTACCTGACTTAAAGCTGTCAGAGCTAGCCACATGACCAAAGGGATGAACCGCTTTTTTAATGGTGGATGGGATCTCTTAGAAAGTGCGGTCCCGCCCATTTCTGTTGACTCCATGTCATTCATCTCTCCATCCACTGGCATGAAATCCAGGTAGTCCACCTCTTTGCTCATGTTGCTTGTATCAATGTCGGGGTTATTGAAGAAATTATGCAAGGCCTTCTGGTCGGTTGTGATATCATCGGTCTTCTCCGGAATAGGTGATGGTTTGGCAACACTTAAGTGCCCGCCTCTCCCAGAGGATTTTGATCTTTTTTGCCTGTCACTAGAGCGGTAAGTCCCCCAAGTAACTACTCCCGAATTAAGTGCTTTCTCTTCTTCAATCCGAATAATCCCCATATCAGCGCACCGGGAGTTCCCCAACGTGATGGGGCGAGTAGTGCGGAAGAAGCTACGCTTCCCTGACCCTTCATCACCGCAGCCTGGGTGGTATGTGACTAGGATCATGTCACTGGACCAAGATTCTTCGGCTACCTGGAGCGCCTCGGGTGTTTTGAAGCAGATCTGAAGGTCGCTAGCATCACAGGTTATACTCTGAATTTTGGTAGAGTGGTCGAGAACAACCGCATGGCTTGTGAAATTTGCCTCGAGTGAGGCGTGCTTTGCGCCGTGGACAGCATCTATCGATGTGTCAGCTAGCTCTTAATAACAGGACTTTGCAACCGTTGTTACTTACGGCGATGGCCCTCTTGTCCGTAATGGAGGGTCTTCGTCAAAGCTGGACGCAGGTGATCGAGGTGGTCAGGGTCGTGGCCAGGTGCCCATCCTGGGTGGAGAGTAATCCCATCGCCAGAGAAAGAGGGCGTTACCTGAAGCGGATTGTTGACCGCCCCATGAAGACCAATAGCACTTGATGTGGCCGAGAGGGCTACGATGCCCACTGAGAGTTGAGTCAACCACATTATGACTACTCAATAGGTCACGGAAGAGACTTTGTAGCCCGAGGGTACGTTTTAATAGCATGGCGGGAAACCTGTCCCTTTAAATGACGGGTCTATACCTGGTATCCACCAAGAGACGGGCACATTTTCGATGTGAACCTCAGCATGTATTTCAGTATCTACACGGGATTCACGACCAGAAAAGGGTCACGTTGGCGCATTATTTCCCCCTTAGATCCTCCAAACCTGATTTGATTGCTCACTGAATTGTCTGTCGTCCAGAATTCCAAGAGAACCGCATTTCCCAATTCCAAATAGGCCCGTCTTCTGTGCTACTTATTTTTGTTGTTTTTGTTCGCCCCTCTTTTACACATTCCTGAAGCCATAGAGATAATCTGTTCCCATCTAGAAGCTGTTTCATAGGATACCTCTATCCTGTTTTCCTCGGGTAGAAGATTCCACGATATTTAAATCTAATTCGCGCTCATTTGTGCTCACATCCACTGGGGGACCAATGAATATCATATACGTATCTATAGCCGCTTCGCACTATGAGTGACGAGACAGACCTAGCTTCCGATGTTTGCTATAGTGATATGACGATCCATTCTCTAGTTCCCATCTCCTACATTGAAGTTGCCGAGAATGTGAGTAGATGGGGTTCTCACCACCTTATGAACTAGCACAAATTGTCCGAGGCCTTTATAATCACAGTTTGTCTCCAACTTACTCCGGACTGCGGAAACCGAATCATATGGCATCGAAACCATCTATTGTATATGTCCTGGAGATCCTTCCCATACACCGCAATACGAATTCTATCCATTGTTAAGCATTATATTTAACTGCTTGTTTGATAGTGCAAGAAAACCAGCAGGAGCCTTTTCGGAACCGCATCATAAATAATTATATAGTGCCCAGGTGCTGCAGGAAGAACTATTGATTCTACTATTACTACTAAGTACATGAGGATCGTAGCTCTGTATGCTCCAGGGCTACCCGGGTGCTTCCAATCCGAAGGTTTATACTAATGGTATCCATGGATAAATACCTAAGTGGTGGTCTGGGGGTTTGAAGTTACTCCGAGTCGCCCGAGAAACTCACGTTCAAGCACCTCCTACTATCCTCTGATGCCCGTCAATTCATTGTTCTTGCCTATCTTTATTCCCCTTGGCTGGAGAACACTAATCTCAAATCATTGAGAGTAGCGAGCGAGTTGGGATATTCTCGTCCAAGCACAAGAGCATGTGCTTTCAATCCTCGTAGATACATCACAGGTGGTCTTCATATCTTCTCTAGTTATTAATCATGTTACCAAGGCTATTAAACGGGTGATTCTGTCAGGATGCCCGCATCCAAGTAGAATTCTTTCTCTTGAATCTAACGCCTGGGTGTTGGCACAAGGTGCCTTGTCGACATCAGACCTGATGAGCATACTGCTGGTGGCAAATGCTTGGAATCCTTAACATATTTCTCGCCGATCTTGCTGGCGGGTGAATATTGCATCGCATAATTCATATCAAGGTACGCGTTGGGTCTGAGATACTTAGAAGAAGGGCATCATACTTGCACCTCAGCTGAGAGTTCCAGATTTTTCCTTTAGCAGTGAAAACAAAGATGAATGACATTGATGGAATTGCAGCAGAGGGGACTCAGTAGCCTGCTCAAAGCGAAAAAGACATGGTGAAGGGTAGGTAGGAGTCAGGCATCGATCCTGGTCAGCACATAGTGTAGAGGAGTCGGAGTGAAGCTCTCAGGGGCGCCCGGGAGAATTCGAGATCTGCAAGGCCGTCACACAGTCCCAAAATCCCTGAATTCCTAGTGTTTTCTCATTTGGCCTCAGCTAAGCCTCTTGGCACTGTAACCTTGCTAGCCTATTATCCCTTGAAGCTTCGGCCCGACAAGCTGCGGCCCGGCCCCTATTCACCCCACCTGAATTATTTTGGCTTTCCCTCTGCATGGAGTAGGGGGGATACTATGAGGAGGTAGAAATCCATCATCCCCACTACTTCAAGAGGGGCTCTAGATATGGTCACTAGCCAAATTAAATTGCTGCTCTTGCCCGTTTGCCCGTCCTTCTTTCTGCCCCTTCTCTCATGTTGAAATGTGGAGCCACCACATCAGGTATTTACAATTCGCCTTGTGGGTCTGCTTGGTGGTGGAGTGGGTCCCTGTGGTCTGCCACAACTTCATTCTTGTCTCTATAGATTTAGTAGCTCTCCATCCTACACAATACACCATGTTACCAAGGTCAGAGACAGACAAATCGTTCAAGGATCTATTTCATTAAGAATCAATCTCTACTACTTAATGGAATAGCGAAAACAGCGACGTGAGAAAGCTATATCTTGTATATAAGCAATCTTAGATATAGTCTAGCAACCAGAGCCGTATATATTCCTCAGCCACCCTCAGATTTCCATCCCTATCATGCTTCACTCTGCCCATATATTCTGATTGTGCTGTCTCCAATATTCCCCCAGGTATCACCAGATATCTATGGCAAGAATAAGTAAAGCTGAGCTGAAACTTGAATTTCCCTGAAGCGAATACTCTTCAAGCCTTGTTTCGACTTCAGCAACTTACCAGGCAAATTTGAATGACATAGCACCAGTGATAAAAGCACTCATGCAAAGATCCTGGCCCACCTGGCCAGGTCGGCTCTCTATCATCGACCTCGCGTAGTTTTTGACGAAGATCTCAAAATCTAATGGATCATTGGTCTCGCAATGACACTATCCACTATTCATTAGGAATAACGTTGAAGTAATTAAACCATGAACGGTCATATTCACCGATTGTGGTAGTTCCTGTCATATGAAGCATGTGGAAACACCTGAGACAGCCGCCGGTGAGAATCTCGTACATTGTCTCATGTCGCGTAGCTGGCAAAACAGCGATATCTGCTTGAGGGACTGGAGTAACATTGACATCTGGCCCAAGACCGTTATACGCAGCTTGGGCTGAATCAAGCAAAGATTGGGGTACCATCAAGATCGAGTCGTCATCATCTTCAGCAGTCGCGTGAGCGTGCACGAGTTGGGCTTCAGCGACTAAAATTCTTGCGTAACGAACTGCATCACTCATGCTTCTGTGATGATTTACCGTACAAACCCCTTAGAAACGGGCACTCTGGGCAGGTCCAAAGCCATCCATCGCCTTCCTGCTATGGTCGCCCCCATAGCCCCATCCATTATCTCTACGATGCCATGGAGTGCATCGTGCCCCCTTTAATCGACCGCAATATCTATAATGTGAGACCATATCTCGATCGTCGGGCCACCCATTGAGATATTCATCATGGTAATGTAATTTCTAAGGAAGGCAAAAAGGTGGAAAGACTATGTGTTGCTATAGAGAGATCTAGCTTTCAAGAGAGGCGTCGATGCAACTTTTACGGATAGATACCCTCGAGTCTAGGTACCAAATAGTTCTCTTTATGTCATCCTAAGCCAAAGCACTCATTCAAGTCGAGGTGAAAAGAATCTTACATTGAAAAGCGAAGGACTTGAATATAAATTGAAAGAAACGTCTTCGCGGACTCTGGTCGGTCCTGCGTTACACGCATCAAATGTTTCAACTCCTCATTGTCTTTATCTCTTGTCAAATAAAAGTACCATGAAACACAGCAATGCCACTTACTTCTATTGGAAGACAGGGATATCAAAACATCAAGGGCCGCCGCATCATAATCATAATTGTTGTTGAAAGCCAAGTGCTGCGCATAAGAACAGCTGATCACAAAGAAATTATTGACAGGCCACCGGCGACGAGTGCGATAGGTGATTGAGGGGGTTGCCAGAGACTCTCGCAGCCAGTTCGCAGTGTATAGAGCAATCATCGCGCCCTCCATAGAGTAAATGTCGAACTATGAAGGGGAAGAATTCCCGGGGACATTTAGATAAAAAGCGCAGGCATACAGTGCTGCCTGAGCCCTACTTCAGTTGATCTTTTCGATCTAGACGAGGTCGACTGTTCCGAGCAGATAGATGCTCCCTGTACTTTCTAGAGTGAAAATTATGGAGTTGACAGAAAGTTCAGATGACTCCAAAACTAAACAGAGGAGTTGACGATCGGAATGAAAGTCATCACATAAAGTTCCTCCGTGAAAAATAGTGAATGTTTCCTTTCACAAGGTAGTCATAAACACGGCGTAGAACTTCGCGAGCATCACTCTGAAGGCGACCCTCGCTTTCTCTCCTTGGCGTTGCCATCTTATTCCGAATATGATTTGTCGTGAGAATCTCGGCGAATAGTGGGGTGGCACATGTTTGGAAAGCGTATCCATTGCCTCCATATTGCTTTACCATTGCATGCAAATTTGCGAACTATAACCCCTTGACAAGCATATCAGATGCGGGAGAAGAGTTATCATCAAGTATTGTGAAGCTAGCTGGTCGTCATAAGGAACTGTTCCGGCATTTTTAAAGTGTCATTGCACTTAATCGACAAATGATAAAAGAATTGGCAAGACCCCAGTAGACAAGCTTACGCAGTGCATACCGCCACGTAAAAAAATAAATCTGCGGACTCCCTCGACGTGATATCGCCAATTTTGCGAGATTCCTTGCTGAACCTTTCTCAATCGTCGATCATTAGCACAGCGACACTTTGACTTAAAGTTAGAGCCTGGAGAGTTACATCGGCTGGTAGGAGTGTTAGGATACCAGCAAGCACAATATCCCCATTCTGCATACTCGGTGTATTAGTGCCTTCATTCAAGGAACGTATCATCAAGCCTCGGTAGCGGTGAAAGGCGTTGTCGAGGGCCTTGGAATCAGGATGATGCCCGCTCTGATTTATTCGATGACTGATAGTCAGGCATACAGTATTGTACAGAATCCAAAAGAGCATCATGATATGTTTTGAGATGAACGCGAGGGACTTTCAAGTTCTGCAACTCATCAGAGGATCCCGATTCGGTCTCGGAAGTCTCCGAGTCACCCCTTGATATTTCTGTGCTAACGCTGTATGAACTAGCTCGAATGTCCTTCTAGTGATCTAAATGACTATTGCGTTGTCGGGATTTGACCTTCCCAGGGGTAAGGCATTTCACTCGGATGGGTGGCGTGTCTCCATATCCGGGACAGTTGACTCCAGATCCTGCACATCGCTTACAGCCGGGCACTTGGAAGCCACAGACTAAACGACGTCGGAGACATTCCCGGCAATGACGCTTCCGGGCTTCCACCATCCGCGCGAGTCCACCTTTGACAGGTCCACGAATGTACTGCGTTCAAAGGACTAGAAATATTCAGTCTTCGACAACAGATGGGCTGCGCCCAATTTCGTACCCTTTCGAGAGGTACGGCTAGCTTAAGGATTCGTCGCGTAAGGGCCTGGTGATGGCCACTATCGAGAATATACGAATGAAATGCGATTCAGGTAGTTGTCGTGCTATAAAATAGCCTCTGGAAAGACAAGGTACATACAACTTAATATTTTGTCCCAAAACACTATATTGACATCATGAAGTCCCTATTTTAGGCTTATTTGTGGGTGATCTCAGAGCCCCACTGGCGCAGAAGAATGGCTAGTCCGGTGGGGGGGTCCATTCGCGAGATATCATAGGCGAGGAATTATGAGTTTCCACGCTGGCTAGCGTTTGCGCGAAATTGCGCACTGGTTTGGCCCTCAACTCTGCGTCAATCAAGCGTTGATTCGCCTGCTTTGCGGCCACGAAGTGACAAGATCAGCGAGATAATACTCCATACAGGATTCGAGATGGGAATACTTGTAATTTTGCGTCGCACAAGGCACGCTCAATTCCAAATGCGTTTCAGATGGCATTCTTTGATCGTCATGAACCGCTTGTACGACTCAAAAACACCAAAAACTCGACTTGTGAAGGAGAAAATCGTGTGCAGATAAATTCACAGTAGCATTGTATTAAGCAAGGCAGTTGGAGCCATCAGGGAGAGGTCATTTGTTCTGCTTCAGATGTTTTTCATTCTGTTGCTTTTGGGGAATATGTAGGCCGAGACCCCCAAGGTGAGAATCGTCATCGCCCCATGTGTCGCCTTTGCGAGGGTCGGTCGGTCGCCTATACTCTCTTCCTCCCACGTTATTTCAGTAACCCCATCCTCTGCTATGAAAACTGTCCTGCTTTGGGGAAGATAACGACTCGCATGCCACACATTCCAAAGCAGCGAATTTGCCAGCATAGTTGCACCCTCGAAAACAAAGAAATACCACTCATAGCGCAAGAGAGGACTGAGCGACTGAAGCTTTTCAAGGTCGTATACATCCAAGGCCGAATTTCCCGCATGCTCTACCATTCGATAGACAGAACGAATTAAGATCAGAAACATGCTCACGTACATGACGATCGGAAGAGCTGGGACTGCTTTTATCCTGATTCCGTTCTTACTGCACCGCCAGTGGAAAATTCCGGCTAAATAGAAGAATGTGATGATAAGAATGATCTGAATACCGATCGCGGCCAGGACCAATATCTTGCCCGCTTGGGTCTGGCTGCTCGTCGGATTGGAAGTGAAGGCCACTCCGAGGGAATTCAATGTTTCCACGATCATCATGACAGGCCCAAAAAAGGTGAGAACTCTTTTCGGGTGGACTGGCGCTGCGTATGGAACGTAGAATAAGGCTCGGCTCAGTATGTGGTAGTTTTCAAGTTCTAGCAGCGGTCTATAGGCGAGGCAAAACGAGCCTAGTCAGTACCTAGGTGGGAAAACGCACAAGACACGAGAATAGATCGGTAGCTCAGTAATAGTGTGAAAAATATCAGGCGACGCAAAACTCACGGGCAAATATAGATAAAAACCTGGCTCGCGATATAGATTCCCAGTGTGGTTTGTGAAGATTCCGTGTCCTCGAACCTGTAATAGAAGGCGCCATACTCCCTCAAGGCGTACCCGACTGTCAGCAACACAGCGCATAGTGCATGCAGACCAGTTAACCTCCAAGATTTTTCTCGCCTGGGGAAATGTCAGTGCTGTTTTCTTTAATGGGTTTCCCATTCATCATTTGCTCACCAGCATTGCCAATTATGACCAATGGCCGAGATCCCAAATAGGACTGTGAATATAATCGGCGCCACATTATTAGGGGCATAGACGTATAGGCTGCCGAGAACTGAAGAGGATAATTAGAGGCTAGATACTGCTTTGGCATCACCAGGGAGGTTTACCAACTTGCCCCTCGCCCATTGTGAGTTGTCTGGGCACGAAAAAGTGTGTGATAGGGAGTCAGGCGGTCGAGTCTTTTCGATAACCTCTATCTCAATACTGTATTTTTCATGTAGAATAAAGACAAAAAGAAGTGCGGATTCGAGCATGACTTATAGTGTTATCCATCGACACGAACGAGCAGAAGCAGTTCGTCATAAAAACGCGGAACGCGGAAATCTCAAAATAGAAAAGTCAGTCGCATGTGGGATAACAATGCCACCATTGTCATGGTTTCATGATTGTGGATCTTTTGACATAGGAATAGCCATTTCTCTCAGTCTCTTGGCCATACTTTAGCTCACTCTTATATTATGTTAATTGTCCGAGAACAGTTGACATTCGCCATGGTCTGTCGCTTGTCCGCAGCTGATTTCAAACTCACGCTAAACTGAAATACGGATAATTAGTTGCTAAGTCGCCGATCTTGACTTTTTTTGGGGTGCGATCGAGGCGGGGTGTGAAGTCGCCGTCAGCTTGGTCTCTCGCAGTCCGAAAACAACGAGGATCGTACCAAATAAAGACCATCCAATGCGAAAGTTCTATACTGTGGGGCTTGTTTACGCGAAAAAATTTAGCCTGCACAATTTATCTGCGAATTTTGATTCATGAGAACCAGTTATCGTAACCATTAGGACATTCTCGGAGCTGAGACGCCATGCTACGCATCTAATACCCCATTTGTCTGAGGCTGAGCCCCCTCCCCTCCTCGGGCAGCTTGAGAAAACCAGTAAGCCTGGCGTCTCGCACGGAACACTTTTTGGAGCATTGAATGTAGCTATTCGATCAAAGTCCTCGATTATAAAAGGATTAGAATTAATCCTTTACTATTTTATTTTTTTCATCTCTATCGTTCATCTGTCCAGTACTTAATCATCCACCTGGGCATCGAAATTCTACTGCTTCGGAGCTCCATCCACCCCTAATCAAATCTTGGAAGGCGTTTGTCTTTTATACCACCATACATATCCAGGTACCCAGTCACATACTGATACTCGAGCCTCTGGCATCGGTAAGAGTTCGAAGCTTGTCTACTCCGAGTCATTTGCTGATTGTTTATTAACAACAATATAGCACAATTTCGTACCTCAAAGCCATTTCCATTCAATTGGAAATCAAAAATCACGATCATGTGTATTGCTGCTCTTTCACTCCTATTGAAGAAGAGAGATAATGACACACCTGCGGGTCCGGCACCGAAACCTCATCCGGTCGTGGTGACTCAACCACAGCCATCGCAAGGCCCTCCCTCATACCCAGCCTATGCAAACGACACTTCAGGATCCAACGGGGGCTCGAGGTATTAATTCCACCTACCGACTAAGTGATACAATGTGGCCCAGCCCCGGCTGTCATGAATGCAGTAAGCGTTCTTCTTTTTGGAGACGAAGGAAGGTTATTTGAATGTGGAGCAAAGTGATTTCTCGTTTTAAGAATGTTGATGGTAAACCCGATGCCGAACTTCAGTAAAATGCATAGTATATTAAATGTAATTTCCAACACTGGAACGGTTTATTCCTACTAGTAGCTACTGGGAGATATTCTGACGGCACATGCTTTCAAGATTCTGTAGCCGTGTCTTCTAAGATCTATCGCGATATAGGTTGTTCTGTAAACAAATATTCTCTATGAGGTGACTATACAAGAGATCACAACCTCGAAACAAAAATTAACTATACATATCGGTCGCACTTAATCGGAAGTAGATTTGCAGTGGCCAGCTCCAGTGAAGCTAACCGCATCAATCAAGACATTGCCAGTAACGGAGGAGTCCTCGGAGTCACAAGAAGCAATAATGCTCAGAGTTTCCTCTTGTCTCTTCGGCTTGTAAGTCCCAGTAAGAGCCTGCCATTCTCCAAATGTGTAAATATCCGCCGACGCAACCTTGCCGATAGTAGCATTATGTCCCATATAAACGTACACGAAGCAGTATTCCACTCCGGCCGAGAGGACCTGAAGTTGGACACTAAATTCGTATTCTGTCTGGGGCTTGAGGTGCTTGAGATGTTGGGAGACAGTGTTGCCGCGGTTGCCGTACGCAGTCTGGAGGTTCCTAGATTCGACGGTGTTAATATGAAGATTGCCAAATCAGGCATACACGATGCTATCTTACAGGTAGTAGTCCCCGTCGTAAGCACTTGTCGCGTTGCTAATCTTGGCCACATTGACGGCCGATGGAAACCAGGGTGTCAGAAGTCCGGTCTCGAAAGACGGATTCAGCACAGCATTGCACGCAGAAAGAGCCATGTCGGTAGATAGTCTTGGCTAAAGCTTAGAATGTAGATTAGAGTCTTGATCCTCTTGGCCTGGGGGGGGGAAATTATGTGAGTTTATAAGCATCTTGCCATCTGAAACATCGAGGACCGTGAACACGGCAAAAGCCGACAAGGAAAGTTTTCAGCGGCCGCATTTCCTATTTTTAACCTCTGTAAAGCTTACATTAGGCCATGCTCTGTCGGACGCTTGAAACATAGCCTCTGGATTTATCGCAATCAGTCTCATCGGTGCTCGATGACAGTGACCTGAGTGGATACTATCCCAATTTCCTGTTTTGGAAACTGTAGATGTTCAGATCGCTCGTGGAGAAAATTGTATTCCTTCCAGACAGTTGTGGATCTTCAGAGAAGTGAAGGATCCACTTGCCAACTCTGTGGATGATTGTCATTGCAATTTCACGTTACCTCGCGGGTAAGATCCGCAGCCCCTGAGTACTTATTTGGGTAATGGTTTCGCAAATTGTATGAAGCGTAATCCCGTTGTGTGGTCATATTGATGATAATATCCTATAATCCAGGTAAGATTCACCCTTTGACTCTAGGGCCCCGGGGTTTTCCCTAGAAATACCGGAACTCCGAGTTGTAAGCCAGTTTGACTAACAAGAGCTGACCGCGGTCGCAATCCTTTTTACTAGCCCTGGAGTAGGCTGCACAACTTGGATACACCTAGGTATCGAGAGAGACTATCAAGGATTCACGGTGATTGAAGGGAAGTAGGCCATTCAGCAATGCCGGCTTGGATGATTATTTTCAGACAGCTTAATTTAGGACCGACCAGCCACAGCTGACCATAAGCTTTGATCATCCACCGGTCGGGCCTTCGATGACACTAGAAAGATTGTAACTTCAGGAACTGGTGGAATGAGCTATAATTCTCTCTTCTCGATGTGACATTCATCGTGTCTTCGATTTGCACCCGATCCATTCTACCGCAGTGGCAAGATCAGGAGCTATGTGCCGTGGTGGCAGATGCCAGCTCTCAACGTCGTTACCGTGCCAGATGTACAGTCATTATTGTATCTGAAGCTTGAAATAGACGATCGAAACACCACAGCATGGCCATTTATTAATCTGTTCAATTGAATGAAGGTAGAACTTGTCTCAATAGGTTTCAACATGGACGAAAGCCTGCCAAGCATATCGCCCAAGTGCATCAGCCAAGCCCATTATGCATTATGTTCAGCCACTCTACTTCGTAAAAAGCTGAAAGAAAAGAATTTAAAGCAACTCTGTGGCTCCGGATCGGCCGATTCGCTTACAAGCGCAGACCGCCATGTCCAGTCACTTCCCCCAGCCACGATGCCTCATTTCAAAAGTACCAAGTTGGGCCGTCACCCGCATGAAATGTTTGATAAATCATTTCCCATCACTCAGATCAAACAAACACTACAATTCAACCCGGCGGATCGGAAACCCTCCCTTCCATCCCACCCACCCAGTTTCCAAAGGGCCACGAGCCAACAAAATCAGATACGCGACACCAACAAAGACAATATTAACCGATCCCGTCAAAACCCAACCACTTTCACCATAGACGCGGTTCCCCACCGCCGTCCCCATCAATTGGCCACAAAAAACGCCGATCATGTAGGCGGTATTGACTCGGCTACGTGCCTTGGGCGCCACGCGGAATATTGCCGTGCGGTTAGCGATCTGCGTCATCTGCAAGCCGAAATCTTGAAAAGCGGCTTGGAAGGCTGGGCCCGCAACGAAAAATGTTCCCGTGTAGGCACCGATACAGATACCAGTGACCATGAGTGTGAGGGCGATGCAGATCGAAAAGTGTTGCGTGTATTTGTCAATGACGAATCGCGAGTAGAAAGGGCCGAGGATTATCGGTGTTAGCCCTGCCAGAGCGAATAGACTGATTCGGACGGTGGAGAAGTAGTAAGGGGTTCCGGACAACAGGAAGGTCAATGTCGTCCAGAAGCTGGTGAAAGTGGCGGATAGAAAGAAGCCCATAAGAGTAGCTTGAATGAGAACTGGGGATGAGATGAAGTAGGTTGCGATGGTCACCAGGATCTTGGAGTACGACACGTCCGTGTTGACGGAGGGGTAGTCCGGCATGAATGTCCAGATTAATATCACGATGAGGTATTGGAGACCAAGTGCTAGCCAGTATATATTCCGCCATGAAGAGTAGGCCGAGATAATTCCGGATAAGAGTCTTGCGAATAGAAGGCCGAGGACGAGGCCGGACGATACAATGGAAAGAGCCGTCGCACGTCGCGCAGGAGGAACGAGATCTCCGACGAGCGGGAGCATGATTTGCTAGAGAAGTCAGTACGATATTTAGATTTTCAATTTTATTGATGGGCAAATGAAGCAATCGATTTAGGCTCTGCTCGCGACGCAACTTACCGGAGTGACCGTTGTGACCGAGGTCAAAAAGTTCAGGCAGAGAAACACATTGAAAGAATTGGTAATGCACAGGCCGATCCATAAGGTAGCTGTAATGAAGGTCAATAAGACGATGAAATGTCTTCTCCGAACGATGTCACCCAACGGGCATAGAAAAATGATTCCAGCGGCATATCCGGCCTGGCTGCAGGTTGGGATGAGGGAGGCTCTTTCTTGCGAAACGTGGAAGAATTGAGCCAATTTATCGAGAATTGGATGTGAATAATATAGATTGGCGACCTATTGTATGTTCCAATGGTGTCAGTGATTCTGGATAATGTCGTGTTCTAGGAAAAGAAAAAGATTTTCTTTTTTTTCTCATACCGTAAATGTACCAGCGAATGCGAAAAGGAAATTCAAGGGGAGTCCAAATTTTGGCGGATTCTGTTCATCCCAGCGACACCATGGCGGAGTCCATAGAAGAGCATGAATTAGGCGAGCCCGTTTTCCCCGGGGGTGTTTCGTGGTGGGCGTGTGGGGATCAGGAATGGTGGTGTCTCTCTGGATTTCAATATCCACCGGGGTTGAGAGATGAGGGATGAGCTCGGGATCCTTCTCGGCATTTTGTATCGGCTCTAGCATTTTTTTTCTTTCAATGCCGAGGAAAGAAAAGTGGAGGTTGGAGAAGCCATGTGTGTGCTGGAGTGGTTAAGTATTTAATGTTGAAAGTCGGAGAATTGAGCGAACGGCCTTATCGGCCCCACTTGGTGGCCGGTTGCGGGGAACTGAGAAATTCAGCGTTCTGGAAGATGATTGACTGGATTTCAGAGGCCGAAGAATGGAAGGTGATCAACATGGTTGGGCAGGAGTTATATGAGGGACGAGTGCCGCAGAACCTTGTGATAGCTGCCGTCACCATTTATTGCAAGACGACTAATTATTCTGTGAGGCTTCATTTGCAGGAGCTTCGAAATAGAATTAAAGGAGTATATTATCTATGATGTAATAGAGTAGAGTCTATCATACATAGGTATTCTAATAGTCAAATATAACGATTTCCTCGAGTTGCAGTACACTTTGAGAACCCTGGAGGGTATTAGTAATACCAGTTACTCTGAGGCTATATAGTAATTATGCTCTAGTACCTGGGAACTTGAATAATTACTGGTATAAGTATACTTTCTACTTAGCTGTACACCCATGGATACGGCAGTACACTGGTAGCATCTACCGATGAGTCATACTCGGAATCGTCCAGTCCGTTTAACACTATTAGTATGAGTATTAGTATTAGTACTAGTACTAGTACTAGTACTAGTATACTAAGAGTATAGTACCTATACTATTAAGTAATTTCAGCCTCATCACCAGTAGTACTAGTTCTATTACTGTTATCTGTGATCACCAGATTTAGGTATACTACATAATATAATGCATACTATTCACACTCCTAACCCCGAACTATTAACCTTGGTTCACCCACTCAACTTGAACCTTAGAACCCTATATTTAATACTAGTAGTAGTAGGTAATAATAATTATATTCTGACTTGAGTCACCTTGTATCATACTACTAGTAGTACCTAGGTAGTAAGCTGCTGCCTCTCTGCAGCTGCAGCTGTCTGCAGTATGTACGAGGCATATCATTGGACGTTGCTGTGAGGCAGAGAGCCAACGCATCGGAGCCTGCGTGGGTCTGCCTGATTGGACTGACTGACCTTTTACCAGTGGCCGATGCTATTTATTTAAATCATCTCCGGTGCAATTTCTTTCTTTTCCTCTCTTCCACTTTGTCTGTGTTCTGCGTGTCTGAGTTCTTTGTTTCACTAGCTATACTGGTATTAGTATACTAGCTATACTACTGGGTACCCCCACAACTTCTCCTCAGCTCCACTTTCCTCCTCCACTCTCCTCCTTAGAGGCTGTCACCTTGCCCCATCTCCACCTCCACCATGGCTGAGCCCCTTGATCAGGTCGATCCATCCGACCATGCTCTCCCCACTCAGCCAGATGTCTCAGTCAAGGATGTAGCCACCACCACCTCCTCCCCAGAGGGCGCTAAATCCTGCAAGAAACACCCCGATCACCCCGACCAGAAAGAGAGACAGAAACAGCGGCTGAAAGATAAGCGGAGAAAGCGTTCCAAAAAGAAGTCGGCACAAGATGAGGAGACTGAGTCCTCCGATGATTCCTCCTCTTCTTCCTCTGATGCTTCGGACTCGTCAGACTCGGCAGATGCTGACTCTGACTCCGACTCCGACTCTAGCGAATCCGACGACGTCGATCGTCGTAAGCGCAATCGAATGCGGGCCAAGGCTCGTGCCAAACAAGCTCTGAAGGATAAGAGGCGAAAGAAGAAGAAGCGCTCACGAGCTCGCAAAGTCGTCTCTTCCGATTCTGACTCGGAATCCTCCGTGGACTCCGAGTCTGAGGAGGATTCCGCCAACGAATCGGATGAGTCGCTCGATGAAAAGGCCTTGCGGAAATTGGTCACCCGGTTGAAGTTGAAACGCCAGGCCAAGAAGCTTCGAGACCAAACCAACGATGATTTGGGCCTGGGTGATCCCCTGGGTGATGGTCGCCGCGAGAAACGGTCCAAGAGGAAGAAGCCCGCTTCCAAAGTGGCTTTTAAGCGTGTCGATCAACGTGAGTTTCTTCTAGAATGCTTTTTCCCCTCACTTTAAGCTAACATTTGTAGTCTGGGATACCACCATCCACAAGTACAAACTCACCGAGACCGTTGACGACCCCGATGCCGACGAGTGGGACCAATACATCTTCACCGTTCGCCGCAAGTTCAACTGGGAAAACAAATACCTCGAGACCGTCGTCGACATCAAGAGTAAATACCTACGTGATGCGCTCGCCAAGGTCATGGACGGCGTCAAGGGTGTTAGTCTGGTCCAGGAGACCGCGGTCGTCGACCCCAATATGCTCTTCCTCTACCTCGAAGAGACTCGTCAATGCATGAAGGATCTCCGCAAACAATCTCGTCGGGAAAAGAAGAGAAAGGCTCGCAAAACTGCTGCCAACAAGGCCGCTCACTTGAAGGTCCTGATCAAGTACCTTGACGCCGACTATGCCGACATCAAAAAGACCCTCTATCCACTGCTCGAAGCCAACACCATCACCTTTGACCTGCTCTGGGCACTCTACAAGCCCAACACAATCGCCTACTGCCCAACCTACGGCAATTCCGATGAGCCTCGGGCCTTCAAAATGGAGTACGCCATCAAGGAATCTTCCTTCATGAAGGGCCAGTGGTACAGTGTTGAAGGCCGTTATCTCGAATACGACGGCAAGGACTTTGGCTTTGGCACCATGTCGGCCGAAGTCGAATCCTTCAAAGGCGCCCGCAAGATTACCAGTCTCGCCTGCTATCCCTTGCAATATCACCGAGACTCCGAAGCCCTACGCGGCCGACTCATCGAGCGAGGGAAGCGATTCGTCGCTCTCCGCGGCATGAACTACCGTTTCCACAAGGGTATGGCATTTTACAAGAAGAAGCGATCATTTGTGATTAAAGTCAACATCAACGGTCGCGTGATGATCGACCCAGCCATTCACCGTCGAATCAACCCGAACTACCCCATCAGCACCGTCCGCCCCAAAGACCCCGATCTCCTTGACCCGTCCGAAGCAGGCATTAGCGATGTCGACGAAGACGGCAGCGATGGCGGTTGCTGCTGTGGAGGCTCGGACTCAGACTCGGACAATGGTGGCTGCTCAGACACTCCGCGAACAGTATACAAAGTGATCGAGGGAGACGACGGCAACCCACGCGTAGTCGAAGTCGAAGTCGACGAGAACGGGCAAGAAATCACCAAAGAGAAGATGGACCGAATCGAAGGCGACGCCACCTCCCCATCCCAAGAACGGGAATTCACCGAAGAAGAGCTCCTCATCGCCAGCCCCGTCGTCCTAGGCTTCGCCTTCAGCGAAAAGCTCTGGCTAGAATTCACCATCTCAGGAATCAGCGACATCGAATGGAACGCAGACGCCTTCGACTCCCTCGTCCTACCAAACAACCAAAAGTCCATCGTGAAAGCCCTCGTCGAATCCCACACCTTCCACGCAGCAGAGAACATCGACGACGTAATCCAAGGCAAAGGAAAAGGCCTCGTCGCCGTCCTCCACGGACCCCCAGGAACCGGCAAAACCCTCACAGCTGAAGGAATCGCCGAACTCCTCCGCCGACCCTTATACATGGTCAGCGCCGGCGAACTAGGCACCGACTCACGCACGCTGGAAGCAGAACTGAACAAGATTCTCGACATAGCACATTCCTGGGGTGCAGTCCTCCTCCTCGACGAAGCGGACATATTCCTCGAAAAACGCACCATCCACGACATCCACCGCAACGCCCTGGTCAGCATATTCCTCCGACTGCTGGAATATTTCCAGGGTATCCTTTTCCTCACCACGAACCGGGTGGAAACCTTCGACGACGCATTCCAGTCTCGCATCCACGTTGCCCTGCGGTACGGCGATCTCACCTCCAAAGCAAAACGGAGTATCTGGAAGATGTTCCTGGAACGAGTACGTGCGATTGAGGGCGTAAAGGTAGCAACCTTTACAGAGGAGAATTACGATATGTTATCCCGGCATACGTTGAATGGGCGACAGGTCAGTTTCTATCACAGCAGATAGTATATATCCGAAGCTAACACACGCAGATCAAAAATTCCGTTCGCACCGCGCAGGCACTGGCTGTTAATGAGAGCTCGCCTCTATCAATGGATCATATCAAGCGTGTACTGGAAGTTGCCGAGACTTTCGATCAGGATTTACGTGGTGGGACGGGGTATCTGGATGCGATGCGTAGTTATACCTAAACAAGCTATGCTAAGGTGATTACTAGTAGCCCTGGAGGTATATGGATGAAGTGGATCTCATCTCTTTCCTATTCTCTCTGTCAATTCATTTCAACTGATCATTACAAGTTCTTATTCCACCTGTCATTCAAGTTTGCTCACCTCACTTTCTTCCCTAGCTTTATCTGATCTCATCTCATCCGCGTTTCTTTCCGTTCTCTCATCTCTCATATCATTGCTGGAGACTTTTTTCATTTTCTTTCATTGCTTGCTTCTGGAGTTGCACACAAGATTGCAGGACATGCATGGACGTGGGTTTTCGGGTATTTCGGAGAGTGGAGACTTGCGAAAGTTTGGGCATCGAGAAGATCGAAATACTAGTAGTTGAAATAGGTTCATTCACGAGATAGGCGATGATAGCTAACGAATCTACGAATGCATCTGCATCTACTAGTACTACAGTCCAAGGGATGAGTTAAGTAGTAGATCGAAAGATTAATCAGATTCACGCTCGATCGTACATCGAAGAATTAAGACCAGACAAGACGCAAGCAAACCAGACCAGGCCATACAAGACGCAGCCCAGCCCAGCCCAAGCGCCCAGCCCGACTAGACCATGTTATACATAATTTAAGGGTTAGCCTTGACGAAGTCAACACCCTTCTGGATGTTCTTCTTCAAGTCAACGAGGCAAGCATCAACAAGCTTCTGCTCGTACTCGTTGATAGGGCCAATCTCGTGGATCTTCTCAGCACCGTTGGGGCCAAGCTCGACCTTGGAAGCGAAGAAGTCAACGCCCTGGTCCTTGAAGAGAGGAGACTCAACAAAGGTAGGCTCAACAACGCCCTTCTCACCCTGAGCAGCGCGGAGCAGAGACTCAGCGAAGCGGGCACCGGCCATGGCCATGGAGAGGGTAGCAGAGCCAGCGCCGTCCTTGGCCTTGACGACCTCGTCACCGCCGAACTGGATGCGGTTGACGAGAGCGTCGCGGGTCTCGCCAGAGATGGAGGCGTGGTTGGACTGGGACAGAAGGGGGACGATGGTGACACCGGAGTGACCACCGATGACGGTGACCTTCTCAGCGGCGGGGTCGGTGCTCTGGACCTGGGAGATGAAGCGCGAGGCGCGGACGACGTCCAGAGTGGTAACACCGAAGAGGCGCTTGGGGTTGTAGACGCCGGCGGACTTGAAGACCTCGGAGACGATGGGGACGGTGGAGTTGACCTAACGGGGTATATTTTGTTAGCTGGGATGCATGGAAGTAACGACTGTCTCGATTGCTGAGCCGAGCCGAGCAGAGCAGAGCAGAGCATACCGGGTTGGCGATGACCAGGATGTTGGCGTTAGGGGCGGACTTGGCAGCAGCCTTGGCCAGGTCACGGACGATGGAGGCGTTGGTGTTGAACAGATCGTCACGGGTCATACCGGGCTTGCGGGGGACACCAGCGGGGATCAGGACAATCTCGGCATCCTTCAGGCAGGCAGCGAGGCCAGCCTCATCGGGGTTGTAGCCAGTGACAACGCTGTTGGTGTTGATGTGGCTGAGATCAGCGGCGACACCTGGGGAAAGATCACAGATCAGCAATTGCAATTGGGTCGCGAGGGCGGAAGCAGTAGCAGCAGAGTGCAACGGGGTATATATGCATACCGGGTCCACCACGGATATCGTAGAGAGCGAGGTCAGAGACACGGGGGTTGAGCTTGAGCAGCAGGGAGAGAGGCTGGCCAATGCCACCGCCAGCGCCGAGAACGGCGACCTTGGAGGCCTGTAATAATGAGTTAGCAGGGATGTAGAGAAAGGAGGAGGAATAGGGATAGGGATGGGAATGGGATGGCAATTGTATACCTGAGCGGCAGAAGCGGAGAAGGCGCGCTTCTGGAAGAGAGAGAAGGATCGACGAGCAGCAAACATGATGAAGATAGTCTGGGGGAGATGAAGAAGAGAGAAGAGAAGTTGAAGTTGGGGGAGAAGAGAAGGGGAGAAAAGCTTTGGCGCGTAAAGCGGGTCCCCCAACGACTTCCGCCGTCCCGAGCTCGGCCGATGCAGTGCAGGTGCATATGCTAGTATCCATACAGGGAATTCAGGGAATTGGTTTTTTTAATTGAATTGGTTGTAGTTTGCGACTCACGTTAGGGTTTTAGGGTTTATAAAAATAAGGGGTGACTATAGTGTTTACTATAGCCTACAATCAGCATCAACAAGGACCCGAGGTACAAGAGTAAGAATGTACCAGTAGAATATATGCAAACGCCTCGCTATGAAACTATCCTGAATACACTCACACCTATCCTCATCGCAAATAGTGCAAAACCAACCAGCAAAACAAGAAAAACACCACGACTCCTCCCCAAAAGATCCACTTATCCTGTTTCGCTCGCCGCTCCACCATCCGAATCGTATCACCACTCACCCCCAACGTATTAGCCACACTATACAACCGACGCTGTGTCCCCTTCAAAATCTCCCTTTGTTCTCCGAGATCCGTCAACACCGCTCGCCCCCGGTCCAAGAAATCATCCAACTGGGTGTGCGTATTGGCAAAGAAGGAGTGTTCGCGCAGCGCATGCGCCTCACGTTGCGCATCCTGAGGACCACCCCCGAACCCGAGCCCTTGTGATCCATATCCACTCGGTTGGGAAGGTTGGTCGTAGGGGTTCTCGGGCGTCGCGGTGTGGTGTGGTCGGCGACCGAAGAGCTCGTTACTCTTGTGGACGGATTGCTGTAAGTAGAGAAGGAGATTAGCAGGAGTAACGCATCAGCCAACATGTCAAGGCCCAAAATCAAGGAGAAATTACAGCTTCTTCCCTCTCCCTTCTCAATTTATCAAATTGACCACGATAATCACCCAGCTCATCGCGGAAATTCTTCACCCGGTCAAAGGCCTTTTGTTGTTTCTCTGGGATCAATTCTTTTTTCGAGAGGGCGGAGTAATCATCCACAGTCCGATTCAATGCGGCTAACGAGGCAGCGATCTGGCCTGCAATCGGTCAGTATGGATGCAGCTGGTCGACGCGGCTGGTCAACAGTGTGTTCGGGGACGCACCTTGCAGGGCGGGGGAGGAGGTGGTCGGGGACTGGGAGAATGTATCCAGGTCGCGACGGATCGCAGAAGATTGTTTCAGGGCGGAGTTGAAGAGGGAGTTCTGGGGGGGTGTTAGCGAATGCGACTCGAATGCGCGGTCCTGGACGGGGTCATACCATGTTGGTGGTGGGTGGGAGGATTGGGAGGGGGGGGGGAGTGCTGGATTATCGAGGCCAGTAGAGATAGCGGTTCGGTATGTCTCTGATTCACTTGGTCACTATAGCAGTGGTTGCGACCTGAACTGTTCACGCTATTCAAGTGATTCAAAGGTGTTGTGGTTCACTCCAAGCCAAAACGGAAAACTGGCCCAAACAGACCCTCACCGCCTTCCTACGTCATGCACCTGCATTGTGCATAGTAAAACATTATGTAGTAGAAGAGTTACGGAGAATTTATTATGCATATGTACAGTACTTTAAAATTACTCTACATCTCCGGAATTATCAATGTAAATCTCTATTAAAGTAGTGATATTCGTATTGGTAAGAGAATTGGCACTGGCACTGATACTGGTAGTGCATTGCATTGCACAGAGTACCAGTATAGACAGCCCCACACACGCAGGAAGAGCAGAGATGGTATATCAAACAAAAGACCAAGCAAGAGACATACATCCACCTATTTCGGGGGGTACTTGTTCTGAAGGAACCACCTGCAGAAAAAGAGAATTAGCACATGTCACAGTATATCGCAAGTATGCGTAAGAGGTCATCGACATGGGACTCAGTCCAGCAACTCCCAACCAACAACTGCGAACCACCAATATAAACCACAAGACATCCAGGATGAGACACTCACTTGCTAACGTAATAATCAACCACACCAAAAGCGCCCACAGCTCCAGACACCAAACCCACAAGCTCCCACGAGAGCTTACCAGCAACATGCTGGCGATAGGCGCCGAACCCAAGACCCGCACCGACCAAAGTCATCACAACAGCATTGCCAATATAGACCGGGTTTCCGGAATTGGCAGAGAGACCACTGCTCTGGACCTTGCGAGACTTGGCCTTCTTGCGGGCGTCTTCACGGGCGCGCTCGCGCTCCTTCTCCTCGGCTTCGCGCTCCAGGCGCTCGGCTTGGGTGGTAGTTTGCACTTCCTGGTTGAGGAAGTCTGGGTCAACGGCTTGGACGTGGGGGGAGTCGACGTCGATGAGGGAGGCGGTGCTTTCAGATTCATCTTTGTAGATGCCGCCTACATTGGGGGCGCGGCTGGGATGGTTAGTATAGGGTTGATGTGTGGATGGTATGGTCACTCACGCCTAAGAGATTGTTAGCTTGGTATTCATGCGGAGGAAACTAAACTGAGCCGGACTGAGCTGGGTGGTCTGATTCAACTTACATCCTCGGGGGCTTGCTTGGGGCCCTTGGCAGCGGCGTCGGCGTAGGACATGATGGAAGGGATGGGTTGTGTGGTTCTGCGGAGGGGCGGAAGTGAGATGCGCAGGAGCCTGAGATGCGCAGGAAAGTGAGGGGGAGGGTAAAGAGTAGTAGAGGGGGAAGTGGAGTGTGACTTGAAGGATCAGCAGGGGAAGGGAGAAATGGTTTTATAGCAGATGAATTGGAAGGTGACCAGGTGAACCTTGGAAGTTGATGACATCATGTCATGTGGGAGTGGGACTTGGTTACTTACTACTTATTTACCTACACTAGGTACTCTTTAAGATACACTATTGCTAAGGCTTAGGGTATAAATAGAAGAGTATTTAATTAGCATTTCCATTAGCTCTGAATATATCTATTATTTATGTACAGGTCTATCCATAGCTCTGGTGGTAGAGAGTGAGCGTACGGTACCTATGCTGTGTTGAGTGTATGACTAATCCGCCACTGACGTTTTCTACCAAAGTTAAGACCAGGAATTGCATTAACACTGGTTAACTTGCATAAACACGATACTAGAAAGTAGAAATATTTAGCACATTTAGAATTTCAATTAAACTATTACCACTTCCAGTAAAACATCAACATCTTAAACGCTTTCATAGACACTATTCTACTCTACTCTACTTTGCTCATACCTGATTGCCTGTAGCACGGGACTACGGACTCGGAACTACGGAGCTACATAACCCCGAGAAGGTTGGATCTCCCGAGTCATTTCTTCAGTTCTTTACAGTCTGTTCCTTAAAACCTAGCTGACTCGCCGGGAACATACGAGCGTTTCAAAGTTGTCCCATTGCACGGGCCTAGTCAGTCCACACTACCTACTATTATATCTAGGCCCTTTTAGCTCAAAAAATTCTCACCCACACACATACTTCTGTGCCCACCAGTCACAAATTATCATTTGAGCCATGGTCAGGTCGAATGAGCCGGATGAGAGTGTTTACTCTCGCATGTCTACCCCTGACCCAGAACCCGAGTAGCGGACAGCTCAACAATGATGTCGGCTGGTATTGCCGGAACTCTGAAATCACTGGTATAGTATACAGCATTTTTCAATAATTGAATACCAGGGGATAGACCTGGCTAGAACCCGCGGGTACCCTCCACGACCCTGACCCTCACCTCCCCATGCGGAGGGTCAGGGTCCGAGACCTGGACCCGCGGGGAGGGTCGTACCCAGGCCGACCCTCATGAGGGTTACCCGCGGGGACCCTGAGGGTCGTCAAACATAACAAACAGGTAAAAGACGTGACTGGGCGTCAATTGCATAAATTATGTAGAAACAAGCTGTATTTCATTGTAATTGTAAACTAAAAACTTCATCATTGTATAGCCTTACAGGAGGATACACTCCTTATTGCATCCATAGGTTCATCCTCGAATAGGGGTTTAATTTTTGAATGGTTTACATTACATCTATAGCATAGTGTCTAGTCATAGTTCTAACAAGCCAAGAGTCAAACTATATACCCATCCAGTAGTCTCGACTTCTTCCGTATCCTACCTGATACACGATGCTGCGTATTAGGGAAGGATAATAATAGGTTCTCCTCCGGGTTCACAAATCCATCGGCATCAGAATCTTCCTCATCACCAGAAGTGACCGCAGGCCGCTTTCCAGCGGCAACCGCTGAGAGTGGCGGTACGTTTGGGGTTGTTTGCATAATTGATACAGCAGCCGGTGTATCAAGACGCAACTCAATATCCTCCTCCTCGTCATCACTGATAGCCTCGAAGGTATGTGTCTGGACATCAAGTGCTTCTGCCGAAGCTGCTATCTCATGGTCTAAGAGATACTCTTGGAGAATCAGCCGCTGCTCCTCCTCAATATCAAATTTTGTTGTACACATGTACAACATAATATCACGAATAGTCTCTGGATTCAACGACCCCCGGCGGTAGTGGCATACATCCCGAGCAGAGTTAAACAGACGCTCAACTCCGGCACCAGTTGCTGGAATTGACATGATATCACGGGCAATGCTTGCAAGAACAGGGAACTCTCTCTGATGATCTTTCCAGAAGATCCGAACAGATCCTTTAATAGTATCTAATCAGGTGAGGTTAGTTATATGATTCATCACATAGGCTTATTTACTTACCACTCTGGAGATATTTGGTGAGCTCGTCGTACTGTGGAGCAATTGATCGTGGTGAAGAATCACCGTCAAGGGCCCTCTCTAGCTCCGATTCAGTTATTAATAACTGGCTATTAGGCTGTATCATATCTGATGGTACACGTTGGCTATATCTCTCGAAAAGAGACTGAAGACTCTTGCGGTATTCTTTTCTATAGTCCTTTCCTATCTCAGGATCTAGGTCCCAATCACCTGTTGAAAAGAACTCCATCTTACTTGATGGCGCTAAGATCGTCCCAATTGCATAAAGATTACCTTCGATATCATCTGTCTCGCCGTAGTATTTCTTCAGTTTCTCCTTCGCAGCCTCAAGGGAGGAAAGCATCAGCTGTTTCCAGTGAACTTTCTTTCGACGAAGCTGACGAATTGATCTTTCAAGATGATCAAAAAGCTTGTTATAAATCCTAAAGATAAGGTGGATACTCGAGTCTTTAGTACGACAAACTAGCGTAGTAAGCGTAAAAAAGGGCTGGAGAATACAAAGTAGATAGTCAATCTGCCGCCACCCCTCAATACTCAATGCAAAATGGGTTTGGGTGTAGTCCTTGCAGTACTTGTCGAATATGTCATGAAGTCTTTTCGCCCGCCGAAGCATCAGAAATGTCGAATTCCATCGTGTACGGACATCCTGGATTGGGAGAAGCCTTATCCCAGCATTATTAGATTGAAGATTCAAGAAGGCTTCTTTGCGTTGAGGGCTTCCGTTGATATAAACTGCAAGGCCGCGAACCTATAAGGATTATTATCGTTATTGGATTATGATTCGTAAATAGAAGCTTTAAGCTTACCTTATTTAGAGTATCGGCGATCTCATGTTTCTGCTGGCGTGCACGAAGTGAATGTACACGATCTTCAGACCATTCCGTCTCGGTGTTGTTATTCTTCGGGGCGGCCTTAATTTTACCAAGTAAATCAGTTAGACTCAATTGAATAACATGCGCAAGGCAGGGCACTTGGACAATTGTAGAATCTGTCTCTTGCTGTAGCGTCTTAGTCGAATCATTCACCGCTGCGATAAGTGTCTTATTATTAGACGCATTATCAGTTGTCACCGCCAGTATACGGTCAGCGATCTGGTGCTTCTCTAGGATCTGGAGAACAACCCTACCGAGGTTCACTCCAGTATGAGATCCAGATATTGGCTCAAACCCAAGGAGAACCTCGCGATACTCCCATTCCTGGTCTAGGAAGTATCCTGTGATAGCCATGAATGCTTGCTGGAATGGAGAAGTCCAACAGTCAAGCGCAATCGACATTCTTGCACTAGATGGAAGCCGTTGTAGTGTCTCCTGTTGATGTTCTATAACAAAATCCTGAAGGCGCTCACGAATCACCTTTCTTGATGGAACACTTGGTAGTGTGGGTGCTAGCCGTGCGTAGGAAAGGAGGTCGTGGAATTCTTGATGTTCGACAAATAGGAAGGGTAAATGCGATACAGTGATCAGGTTTAGGATCTTCTGCTCCCATATTTGCTGGGTAAAGGTAGGCGCTGGTCTTCTCTCAGCCTAAATAATAGTGAAAATAGTATTAGTATTGATATTAAATATAGGCTGGTTCAAATATACCGCGTCACTAAGTAGTTGCTGGATATTACCCTTCTTCGGTATTCGCTGTCGGCACCTTAGCCCATCGAGATGTTTCTGCATCGATGAGGTTCCAGTATGGTTGGTAGTTGGGTGCTCAAGAATTGTACGGCACCGTTTGCATATAACGTCTGGCTTCCCATCTTTGGTATTTGCAACTTGTTGAAACCCTTTCCAGCACTCTGCACGACGGTTCACATCCCAGTTGATCCGCTTCTTCTTACCAAAGTCGGTTTCAAGCCACCACTGAATAAATTCTGCGGTCATTGTAGTTGTAAAGACAACGTACTCGTTGATACGGTCTGGTTTGATTCGTGTAAGAGTGTCTGGGGCCTGAGGTGCCACGCGCGATCGATGGGTTGGAAGGTCTGGAAGGTCTGGAACTGATCCAAACTGACTTTCGGATAGTAGTTGACTCTGGCTTTCGCGTTGGGATAGGGAATCGTTAGGAACAAGGTATTGTAGCGTGTCTAATTGCACCCCATCGAAGCTAGATGATGCGTAGACATCGGAGAGCTGCGACATGACAGATTTAGTAACTAGAAGATAGTACTATGACTGAGGAAGAAGAGAGTGAGGAACTTACTGTTTAATTTGTAGAAAAAGATACGCAAGATTCTTGGGGCATCCGTTCATCCCTGTTCTATATGCTAGAATTGATCTATCATCTTTTGTTTCCACATAGCTAGATCTGATTGGCTAGCATAATAAACGAACCTCAATGAACCTCAAATAGACCCTCGCTTACCCGCAGCGACCCTCAAATAGACCCTCGCTTACCCGCAGCGACCCTCAAGGGGACCCTCACTACCCGCATCGACCCTCAAAAGAGACCCTCAAGTTGAGAAAAAGTCTTGATCAGAACGACCAAGTCCAATAATTGCAATCTTTGAACCGGATTTACAACATATTTAGATTATTTGTCCTGAATTCTTGAAGAAAAAGTAATAGAAGAAGATATAACAGCTCAAATGATGTAAAAATGAGGTTATTTGAACCACGTTTTTATAGCTTTCTTAAAAAACAGTGGTTCTACAAATGAAGATACACATAGGTTACACTATCTGCAATATATATATTTACAACTTTACATGCATTTTTGTCGACAACCGCCACTGACCACCCCCTATATCGATATCATCAAATATTACTTGTAATCTGTGGGTGACCATGTCTACGGTTTACTTTTACATGAATATTTATTTATAATTCGCTATATTGATGGAGTATTCAGTAAAATATCTACAAATTGACGGAACAGCTATAAAAAACATAGATGAATCATCAATTTTATGCAACCGAAAGAGGTAAGGCGTCGAAAATTTATGCAAATGCGGGTCGTTGAGGGTCGCCGAGGGTCCGCATACTGAACCTCAACGATCCTCAGGGTAGGTTGAGGGTCGGAAGGTTGGAACCTCCCCTCAAGAGGGGAGGTTCGAGGTTCTGGGGTAGGGACCCATGCGGAGGGTCGTAGCCAGGTCTACCAGGGGAGGTAGCAATTGATAAGTCCAAAGCTCTCCATATAATCAGAATATGAAATAGTGCCACAATACTACCAGAACCGCTCTTATACCCTCCGTTAAGCCACGTCGATTTCAACCCGCCCTTGTACTAGTGGTGACAATGAAGCCCATTCCAACCTTGGACTTGGAGCACAAAAGTGTAAATCTATATGTCAACGCCTTAGTGTGTCCCATATCGAAGATATTGAGGTGTGGGTTCCTCAATCACGGCCTCAGGCAGCGAGATTGCCTCGCCTGTCCTCCCTTTTCGAGATAGCCTTGCTCTCTTCTCGTCTCTCACTCGATTGCCACTTCCATTCCTCTCACATTCGCGTCGCAACTCGCAGAGACCAACCTGTCCGATGCATGCCTCTCTCCAAAAAAAAATGGCCCGGGAAAATCAAAGCGAACTACGCGAAGCGCGAAAATCGAGGAGCCCGAACCGGCACGATTTCTTAGGGTGTTAGCTAACACACATCTTGGCAGAAACCTCATTCAGAGAGAACAGAAACAGGCCGCGTCAATCCAGTGTTACATTGTGGAATTATCCTAATACTGGGGCCGATAGCGTGATTGAATACGGCCTGTTTAGGCCCAATGGCCGTTCTCCACTTACCTCTCAACGCAAGTACACAAGCTTTTGATTATTGCGACATCCGCGCTTGGGATTTGCTTGACAGGCATGACAGATATAATAGCTGATGGCCTAGTCAAACTTTTCGTTGGAAATTATCGGAAGAATCGTTATTTCGCGCCCTTTCAACTCATGATGGGTAAGAATCGCCAACCCCTTGAGTGGGAACTCCGCATATAAACAAGCTCGCTAACGCGGGATCATTCTTAATTTCTAGCGGCTCCACACGAGCACGAGTCAAACAGCACAGCGACTACCGATATAATTTCCAACGAGTCAGAAAAGGTGCAGACAGCGGCGCAGGAAATAGACGCTGACAGCGAGAAGCCCCTTCCGACGGAGGAAGAAAACGCAACCCTACGCAAGGTCGCCGATAATCTACCATGGGTATCATTCTCGCTTTGTCTCGTTGAGTTTGCAGAGCGTGCGTCCTACTATGGAGCTAAAACCGTGTATGCCAACTTCATTGAGTATCCGCTTCCAGAAGGTATTTTCAATTCCCACAATATCAAGTTTGTGCTACGCCATAGCACCTAGATACATTTTCAAGCTGCCCAGGTGCTAAAGGCTATCTTCTAGGGGGCAATGGTGCTGGCGCTCCTCCACGTGGCACCCAGAAAACTGCAGGTGCACTTGGAATGGGACTACAAGCCAGCAGTGGTTTAACTCTGCTATTTGTTTTCTTGGCCTATGTGATCCCCATCTTCGGTGGATGGTGGGCCGATGTCTACGTTGGACGCTACAAAGCCATCTTTGTCGGGGTCGTGCTGTGTGGTATAGCTCATATCATTCAATTGGTTGGTGTTATCCCATCTGTGCTACAGAAAGGACAGTCGCACGCTGCTCCGCCATTCATTCTTGGTCTTTTGATTCTCGCATTCGGAGCCGGTATATTCAAGCCGAATGTATCCCCTCTCATCTTGGATCAAAACAAAAACAAGAAGCCTTTTGTACGGACTTTGAAGTCTGGAGAAAGGGTAATCGTTGACCCCGAAGCAACTACAAACAGGATTATGCTTTTGTTCTACGGGTTCGTGAATATCGGTGCTTTCTACATGCTCGCCACAACATATGCAGAGAAATACGTTGGATACTGGTTGTCCTTCTTATTATCTGCCATTATCTACTTTTTACTGCCAATTCTACTGTTGGTGGTCTATAAGAGATTACACAAGGAGCCTCCCAGTGGAGGAAAGGAGCTCACCGAAGCATTCAAAATCACATCAAGGGCACTCCGCGGCAGCAAATTCAGAATTTGGCGAAAAGACTTCTGGGATTCCGCAAAGCCTTCCAAGCTCGAAAGCCAAGGTATTATCGTTCCTTGGACAGACAAGACCGTTGCGAAGGTCGCGACAACTCTTCAAGCATGCGATATCTTCATCTACTTCCCAATCTGGTATATGAACGATGGAGGTATCGGCTCTGTTCAGTCAAATCAAGGTGGATCCATGATAACAAATGGAGTTCCTAATGACGTGTTGAACAACTTCAACGCCTTGACAATCATCTTTACGATTCCTCTTCTGACCTACGTGATATACCCAACTCTCCGACGCTATAAGATAACCCCTGGCCCAATCACCCGAATCACCTTCGGCTTCTTCCTGGCCACACTTTCCGGCCTTGCAGGAACATTGACGCAATGGAAGGTCTATGAGCTCTCGCCCTGTGGATACCAAGCCTCCACCTGCGACGAAGTGGCGCCGATTAGTATTTGGTGGCAACTTGCGACGACCATCCTAGCCGCTCTGAGTGAATGTTTCGCGGCCGTGACTGCGTATGAGGTTGCCTATGCACGATCGCCAAAGAGCATGAAGAGTTTGGTTGTGGCTGTTTTCCTGTTCATGAATGCTTTGAGTAGTGCTCTCGGAGAGATCCTTATCCCAGTGACGAAGGATCCGTATCTCCTATGGCTTTGGGGTGCCCCTGCAGTGGCTCTAGCGCTGCAGTCGGTCATCTTCTGGTTCAGGTTCAAACATTTGAATCATGAAACTTTCAATGCGGGGGATGAACTTGATGAGGAAGATGAGCAGGAGCAGGAGCAAAGGGCTGCGCTGAAAGTTTGAATGGCTATGTAACTAGTTGAGACCAGCCGAACATCAGGGTATCTTCAATAGCACCTAGGCAGCTTTCAAGTGCAAATTTGAGATCGAACAGGGTTCGCCCAGTACTGATCCACTTACAGTGTGTCTCAAAACCGGTCGACCTTCCTATTTTTTTTGAAGTAAGAATACAAAGTGTACAGTGCCAATCGGTGTGTGTACACCTTTTGGTCGAATGGTGTAGGTGTTTGACCCATCTTTCTGTCGTGAGGGCATATGTACGTACACCCTTCGAGGGATTCTCGCTGCAGGGTTGCTTCCTACATAGATTACATATTAATCAAAAGCATAGGTACACTCCAAGGTAAGCTTCCAAATTTAATTGATCTGCCCCTACCTCCATCATACTCCTCCAGAATCCATGGCCTTTCCTCGTGAGGTGCACCTTGGAATCAATCACGACTCGTCAAACCGGGCCAAATTTAACTCCTCCCAAGCACGAGATTATCTATTATGGTATGGTCCATAAAGAGACTCGATACTACTCGTATATTGTGATCAGCGATATCAGATACCACTAATAGTACCCGCCTATGCGCAAGATGGTGTTATTCTGTCTTGACTGTCTCCATTCTTGAAGGTTTTGTTGAGCAGTTTCTGCAGCAGTGTGGGATGTAGCCAGAGCCGAATTATAACCTTGGTATGTTAGTCATGGCTAATGCATCACTTTATCATGATGATAACTCTCAGGCTGATCGACCAGAACAGATGTGCTCAGAAGCCGGGGTCCAGGGTTGTAGGGAGTATGCCTCAGGCACTTGACCTCGCATTCCGAGCCTCTCTCTCTCTATCTCTCTCACACACACATACACTTAGACTGCACGGATGCAACATTTCCTAGTTTCCATCTTCCACCAGGGGTAGAGTTGGAGTGCTTGCCTCCATAACCACTAGACTTAAGTCCTATTCAGGGTTTCTTTGCTGAATTGGAAGCTTTCATTCGGCGAAGTTGACAGTACTACGAAGACAATACTGAAGAAGGAGGAGGTATTATTTCCAGAACTCAAAATTCAACATTTACTAGATAGTCTGAGAGATACCCGATCAGCCACTTTGCCCAGTCCTCAGAATTTGAAATTGTTTGCCATTTGGTTCGATGCGGCTTATTGTGACGCCTCGACTCGTACCGCAGGTCCTGAGCATCGCGAGCAGACGAGGCTCAGCGCATTCTAGGCATCCAAAGTCCCGACCCAACACTAACCCATACATGATTGGTGCACTGCTACATCTTTCTCTGTCTTGGACCACCTGTTTCCTAAGGGTTGAAGAGATGCTGCATGTGCCCCACTGCGCACATTATCCATGAGATGATAACTCGCGCTTCCCAACTTGACTCTTCATTGTTCGTTTGAACGTTGCAGGGTCTCATCTCGGCTCCCACAACTATAAGCTGGCAAGAACCCATTGGTGCATTCATATGAAGGCCCCTGCCAGTGATAGTCTGGTTTAGCGCAGTTCAACCCCAAACTTGCTCCGGGCTTGTCTCAATGGTTTGAAAAAGAAAAAAAAGGAAGGAACACGGAGCACTAGCCACTGGTTCAGAGTGCCAATTTGGATCTGCAGTCTATTGCATCCAGCCGCTCATCCCGCACGGCGGCTGCGGCCCCCAAATGACACGATAGACAGGGCGTGTAGGGCAAACCACCGCAGGCCGCACCAAGCAGCGCACATACCTTCCTGCGAGGCGTCCTGTCAATATCATTGGATATGAATGCCCCCCCCCCTCAGCAAAAGTCTCTTGGCATCTGCACATAGCCACCAGCTGGACAGAATTATTCCAGCAACCTTCGCGGACAGCCACCCCATCCTCAAGGTATTCGTGAAAGGATCTTCGAGATGATCAACGGGGCATAGATTACATGGATATGTCGTCCTTTTGAGATGTTAGCCAACCAGCGCAGGCTCTCTGGGAATTAGCGGTGTGTCTCATGCATAAAATCGTAGTGCTTTTTCCGAGCGTCGAACATCTTTGCCACTGGTCTTCCAAGCCCCTACGCCTGGGCGCGCCCATGATAACTTTACCTATGTATTTAGAGGTGATGACACCGCTGTTGATCTAAGTCTCCAATATTCTCAGCTTATCGGCCGACAGCTTAAATAGTTTTCTATTCCTGAACTCTTTTGTCAAGTGCATTATCACTCCAACACTTGAAACACAGCCATGGTGGAGCCGGCAGGTCTTGTTATCGGAATTTTGGGGCTAGCTGGTTTGTTTAATAACACCTTAGATGTGCTTGATAAGTTTGACTCGTGGAGGGACTACGAAAGCGAATCTGGTGCTTTAATGGCTCAATTCAAAGCCCACAAATTTAAACTCGAGAAATGGGGCCAAGCTGTTGGATTCGAAGGAGAAAATCTCTTGGATGAACACGACAAGCTACTTGATGATCCACAAATACGTTCGACAGTCCAAGACCTTCTTTCAGCTATCAACTACCTTTGCGGCCCCATCGTTCCACGCAACTCGTCTGAATCGAAACGGGAAAGAATCAGCTGGGCGTTGAGAAAAGAGAAGCGGATCAAAAAACTTGAGCAATTTTCATCCATCCTCGATATTCTCTATGGCTTGATTCCCATCAAAAAGGAGGGCAGCGTGGTCTCGAGCCACTGGGAATCTACCGGGGGGGGATTCTCATTCTGGCCACGTGAATGGTACGTGCTGGAATGCGAGTATTTCGAACCCAATTTGACCATGTCACTAGATGCTGTCCATGGGCGAGGAAACTGGACCAAAGAATTCAAACGCATTCTGAGCAACATACAGAGCGAGATTGAAGGTTGCTGTCTCCCCCCTCCCCCCTTCTCTTCTGACCTCGGAGTCTTCCACTAAAAGTTAAAAAGCCCAGACAAAACGAGATTCACAGGTATGGTTGTTGGGCAACCAGCCTCGCAACGGCCGCTACGAGGAGTATGTGTCAAGGCGAATGGAAAGTACCTGTCTATGGATCCTAGACCGACCATGGTTTTTAGACTGGTGCTCACCCGATTTCCCAAACGGACATTCTAAGATCCTTTGGATCAATGGCCCCGCGGGATTTGGAAAGACCGTTCTATGTACAAAAATAATTGATCACGTCTCTTCCATCCTGGATACACCTGTCGCCCATTTTTTCTTTGCTTCTGACTTTGAGAGAGGAGATCCTTTCATGGCAGTACGATCATGGATAACTCAGTTGATGTCTCATCCAACAGCGTCTGCACTTGTTCGTGAAAAGTATGCAGTCCAGCAGGGACAGCAGGCAACCCGTGGAGAAGTTATAGAACTCCTGCAAGAGATTGTCACAGCGATACCTGGGTGCACGCTCATTATCGATGGCATGGATGAATGTGGCTGGTGTATGGAGAACCAGAAGGCTATTGATGGTGACTCCATTCTTACCTTTATGGAGGCACTGATGCGAGCTACTGGGGATACGGCCACACGTGTCATGATTGTCAGCCGCGATGAACCGGAAATTCGAACCTCTTTGCCTCAAAATACCCTCGGGGCTTCTGTTTTTGAGCATAAGATTACCCCCCCAAGACGTTCAACCTGATGTACTAAATTATTCTCGAAAGGTTGTCTACACAGCGCTGACTACGAGTGAGAAAACTGCAAAAGCAAAAGAGAGCCTCAGCCTTAGCATGGCCGATCGGTCTAACGGTCAGTTTCTGTGGGTAAGATTGCAGCGAGATTCACTCTGTCGCAACAACTGGAGAAGCCAGAAGGAGCTGGAAAGAACGATTAATTTAACACCAATTGGACTCGAGGATGTGTACGAACGAAATTGGATCAAAATTTTGAAGCTCCCTGAAGAAGATCGAGATCGTGCGCTTTCTCTGCTGCGCTGGACAGCCTTTTCTCTATGACCACTGACGGTCAGGGAATTAACTGAAGCCCTCTTGATTGGTGAAACTTGTGACAATATCCAAGTGGAAGACCTACCGGAGAATATCGACGAGAGGTATATTGACAAAGGGATATCATCCTTCTGTGGATCTCTCTTGGAGATCCGTAGTCCCGGGGCCGATTGTGATGCTGGGTTGAAGACAGTGCATTTGGCACACTTCTCAGTTAAACAGTACCTGCTCTATAATATTACGACAAATGGGAGACTCCTACAGATCAACAAGAGCCTGGGGTTTTTTGCAGAATCAGTCGAGAACACATTGCTTGCTAAGATGTGTCTTCGTTATATCAATTATTCAGCAGTCTGGCGGAGAGGCTCCTGCATCGAAGTGAATGGAGGTCTTGGTTCGTTCTTAAGCTACGCCGCGGGGTCATGGCAAAGGCACGCCTCTGCTGGAGACCCAACAGATGCAGGAGTGGTGAAACTGCTGAACCGACTCTTTGACAAAAGAAGGCCTCACTGGGCCATGTGGAGGGAATGGTTCGATTCAAATGACGAAGAGATTAAGGACGAACAATCAAGAATTGCAGAGAAGCCAGCCAGTCCGGTGTATTATGCAGCGCGACTTGGCTTAGCTGAGACAGTGGATTTTTTGATTCATGACCGCAACCATCAGACAGACGACATTGGCAAGTTCGGGCATACACCTTTGGCTGCAGCTTGTGAAAAGGGGCATTTGAATATTGTGGAGTTTTTACTTGAAAACGGAGCAGATACCACGATTGCAGACATAAAGGGGGAAACGTCGGTCAATTTGGCTTCGTTCAACGGCCATCTCAAGGTTGTCGATGCACTACTTAAGAGGGGTGCGGACATCACCATTGGTAATAATAGAGACATGACCCCTTTCTATTCAGCCGCTGTGAAAGGACATTTCGAGGTTGCGAAGCTTCTCCTGGAGCATGGTGCAGATATCACAGCTATGCATAAGAATGGATGGACACCAGTGAACGCAGCCTCGGACCATGGCCATCTTGAGGTAGTTCAACTTCTTCTGGACAACGGGGCAGATATCACTATTGCTGAAAACGATGGTATACTGCCTATCTATTCAGCTTCTATGAATGGTCATTTCGAGGTTACGAAGCTACTCCTAGAGCATGGCGCAAGCATTAATGTTCAGCGGAAAAATGGATGGACACCAGTGAACGCAGCCTCGTACCATGGCCATCTTGAGGTAGTTCAACTTCTTTTGGACAACGGGGCAGATATCACTATTGCTGAAAATGATGGTGTACTGCCTATCTATTCAGCTTCTATGAAAGGTCATTTTGAGGTTACGAAGTTACTCCTAGAGCATGGTGCAAGCATTAATGTTCAGCGGAAAAATGGATGGACACCAGTGAACGCAGCCTCGGACCATGGCCATCTTGAGATAGTCCAACTTCTTCTGGATAATGGAGCCGACTTCGCTATGAGGAGCAACACTGGATGGACGCCGGTGAATGCGGCCGCGAATAATGGCCATCTTGAAGTTGTCAGACTTCTCCTGGATAGTGGGGCCGATTTTCGGACAAAAAACGACCACGGATGGACAGCACTACACTCAGCCTCAGCTCATGGACATATGGATGTTGTTAAGCTACTCCTAGAGATAGGAGCGGAAACGAATATTGGAAATGTCGACGAATGGACACCACTACATGAAGCCTCATATTATGGCTATATTGAGATCTGTGAACTACTAGTGGAGAACAGGGCGAAGGTAACATTAGCAGACAATCAGTGCCGTACACCACTTTTACTGGCCTCGGAGAACGGTCACCTTGAGGTGGTGAGATATCTTCTCGAGAACGGTGCCGATACTTGTGTTAATGCTGCGGCCACTAACGGATTAACACCACTACATGGTGCTTCACTGCATGGGAACCTTGAGATGACGAGGCTCCTTCTTGACCATGGTGCAGATATCAGGGTCACACTTAATGACGCTGGATGGACACCAATTAGTGTTGCCTGTCGTAATGGTCATTTTGAGGTTGTTAAGGTACTTCTTGAGAAGGGGGCAGACACTATAGCAGTCGCAGGCATGAACAGTTGGACCCCTGTGAACCGTGCATGTGAACAGGGCTTTTTTGATGTAGTGAAGCTCTTGGTTGAGAACGGGGCTGATATAACGGTTGCGAACAGCGACGGATGTACACCAGTCCACATGGCCTGTCAAAATGGCCATCTTGAAGTCGTTAAGCTACTTCTCAAGAACGGTGCAGATACCACAGTCGTGGATAGCGATGGATATACACCAGTCCATATGGCCTCTGAAAATGGCCATCCTGAAGTCATTAAGCTACTTCTCGAGAGCGGCGCAGATACCACGGTCCTGGATAACGACCGGTGGACACCAATTAGTGTTGCCTGTCGCAATGGCCATTCTGAGGTGGTTAAGATACTTCTTGAGAAGGGGGCAGACACTATAGCAGTCGCAGGCATGAACAATTGGACCCCTGTGAACCGTGCTTGTGAACAGGGCTTTTTTGATGTAGTGAAGCTCTTGGTTGAGAACGGGGCTGATTTAACGGTTGCGAACAGCGACGGATGTACACCAGTCCACATGGCCTCTCAGAATGGCCATCTTGAAGTCGTTAAGCTACTTCTCAAGAATGGCGCGGACATCAGAGTTTTGGATAACTCCGGGTGGACAGCGGCTCACGCGGCTTCTCGAAATGGCCATCTTGAGGTGGCTAAGTTGCTTCTTGAGGAGGGGGTAGCAGATGCTGCCCAGTTGGATCTATGATATCGTTCTCAAGTTAGCCCTAATTTTAGACAACAACTCGCTTGTGCTCTTGGAGCCACATCCCTTTCATACGTCATTTCGCATGTAGGAAGCTACTCCACCACTTTATGATTTTGGGTCTTGGTCAGCAAGTTGTTGGAGTTAATATTCGTTCTAGCTTGCGGTCATCTGCTGCAAAGTCGCTAATACTCACCAATGAGCCTTAGGCGTAGAGTAAATTATATCGATTCTTTCAGGCATGTACTAGGAAAGAAATCCCTGAGTACAGCAATAACGGACCTCTCACCACGCTCAGTGGATACTAATTTCTCGAAGCCAGTGTAAAAATTGGCAAATGAAATTTATCCCGTCTCTATAAATCTTAAAATAAAGGTCTAAGTGATGATGAACTTCTCAAATTTCACCCATTTCCCACTTGTATCATCTTTTCCATCCTCCTGGCTACTACTAGCACAGATACCAAATATCGTGCCGGTCATATCATACCCCGACATCTCCAAACTATCTACTCTTCCCATTGGCTCCCACATTTCATCAAAATTTGACTCGAACAAATAGCCATCTAGATCAGCTGTAATTCTCAGGCGGATTGTATAGAAATCCATAGGGACATTCTTGGCCCTGAGTATCCGATTCTTCACTTTCATGTCCCGAACAGATCGAACCTCAAGTAGTAGCTCCCGCGACTTGCTTTTAAAAGCTATGGAAGCATAGCGAAGGTCGTCCTTATACACTGAAAGACCCGCATTGATTTCACTATTTGTATGATCAAATTGACTTAATGAGAGTGTTGTGGACGCCTGGCTGGCTTGTTGTCGTTGCCTTCGTCCTACGAAGCTTGTTGTCCCGAGAGGAGCAGACAGACCGGAAGACGAAGCTTGTATTGAATAGCTCTGCTTCTCCGCATCGTAAATATACCTTCCGAGCTCTGGCGTGCGAATGTAAACATCCTCGGTATTATGGGCACTACCACTGCCGACAACCAGCAAATCATGGGCAAGCTGGTCGGGAATTTCAGCATGAAATTCTAGCTGGGTCTGCGCGATCTCCGGCCAATCCCCCTCTTCCCATTGCATAGGCGTAAGGAAAGTTTCACGGCCAAGCGGATGTCGATTGGGATCAGACTTATTGTGCCGAATCCCGAGATGAACACAGAACCAGTTTCCAGCCTCATCTTGAACAAAATCTCCGTGGCCAGTCCATTTGATATCCGTATCCCTCCCTTTCGCTGTCAAGAGAGGATTGTGAGTATAGCCATCATATGGCCCCCAGATATCCCGCGATCGAGCAATATTTATCTCATGACCGTCAAATGTTGACCCTTCTGCCGTAATGAGGTAATACCATCCATCTTTCTTGTATATGTGGGGCCCTTCAGCATCTGTCGAAGCCCCCTTCCAGAGGAACTTGATATCAGTCAAGGACTTTCCCGTGGCGAGGTCAATCTCAAACTGTCGAATCGAGCAGTCAGGGGCCCAGGGTGGGCCAGAACGGTATGAGCCATGTACATACGCCCTGTTCGTGTCCTGGTCAATGAATAGACTAGGGTCAATGCCCGGGAAGTCGAAGTAACATGGATCCGACCAGCCAGTGGTTGAGGATATGCGTTCCTCAGCACAAGTGACATAAAAGTTTTGGAATTTATGAGTGTTGTCATTGGGGTCCGCAAAGGCATTTGTGCAAATCACATAGAAGATGCCCTTATGATACCGGATTGTGGCGGCGAAGAGGCCTCCGGTGACGTGGATCGATCGCTCATCTGGAAGCGGAATCAATTTTGTGAAAGCTCGGGATAGATCTAGTTGAGATGAACGGCAGATTGCATGGCCTGTCAGTTCCCAATCCTGCAGATTTCTCGATACGTAGATCGGTAGACCGGGGAAGAGATGGAAAGACGAATTAACAAGAAAGAAGCTGTCTCTGACTCTGACGACGGATGGGTCTGGGGCAAACCCTGGGATGATTGGGTTTGTGAACTTCATCTTGGATGGGGCAACTGTAACGATCCATGAATGGTGTTTTCTGAGGGATTATTCCTTTGGAAATAAATATCTCCTTCTGGAGAGAATATATTGGAAGTTCCGGTTAAAGGGAGTCGAAAGGGAGTCGGAATACCTCGATCCATTGTTCGGGTTCTCCGGGGTTGGGTCCTGAATTCACCCACGCAAAGCGGACCGATCTTGTCACAAGCAGTAAAAGCCGATACTATCAGTAGATCATACACTTAAATCTGTGTAATATTGAATCATGGGTTAGCCATTCCTGGTCGTTATGTCCGACTCGGATCTGTCCCACACTCCGCCTAATTTCTCTTGACTCGGTCAGATCTCCACTGTAAATCGGCCACGAACCTAACAATATGGAAATAGTGTGGACAAGCAAGCTTTCCCCGCAATCGAATTACCCCGGGGTCGGAGCGGGGGCCTCTAATACTCTCGGAATTTGGCGTGGGCGGAAAATCCGAGAACCCAATAAAGGCTAATATGGAACCGCTCGGCTAAACTTTGAAGCTGCTAAATTTTTATCCTGCCCGCGAATTGGGGTGCTAAGATCGCCCTTACGCCGTCTATTTGCTGACTTGACGTGTGTGAGGATGAAATTGTCGGTGTTTCCTACCAGGCAAAATGAGATGGCACGGGATATCAGGTTCACGGCTTTTCCGCCTTTCAGCTCTTGCTGGTATTTAGAATATGGACTTAGAAATATAAGGGCTACCCTTCGCAGGCTGTGATTACTACCTACTGTCCTGATCAGAATCGAGATTCAGTAAACACAATGGCCACCAAACCCGACACCGATCATATCGAGTTGAGTGAACCGGCATTCCTCAAGCTCGAACGGGAGTTGTCTGCCTGGAGTCTGCTTCGAAAGCATCAGCGAGCACTGCTTATTTGTGAGATGCCCTGTCAATATTCTGACTGTGACTTACACATGTCTCTCCTGTAGCTACTATCTCGTTCACCTCGGCTGCCCTTTTCGGCTATGACACCATGTGTAACGGAGCCGGGGTCGCCATGCCTGCCTTTATCCTATACTTCGGAAAAATCGATGCCGCGGGTAGCTGGTATCTTCCTTCAATCTGGGCTTCTCTTTGGACCTCTATGTCTGCCCTCGCACAAGCACTATCGGCAGCAATGACAGGAGCCCTCGCCGACAGAATCGGGAGAAAATGGTGCGGCGTTATGAGTGGAGTAATTTCTCTCGCCGGTGCAGCCGTACAATATACAGCGCAGACACCCAGCGCTTTGCTGGGTGGTAAGATTGTTGTTGGGTTGGGTATCGGTATCACAATGGCGACAGGAACAACATATGCTTCAGAGGTTGTACCTCCGAGATTGGTCCCCATTATCCAAAAGGCTCTTGTCGTCTTCATCCTGATTATGCAAGCTGTTGCCATGGGAAGTAATTCGGAGCTTCGTACCAGATGTATCAGAGCACGCTTTCCGTACTGTCTTTGCGATTCAATTTGCACCTGCTGCATTGGTCATTGTTGCTTATTTCCTAGCCCCTGAGTGAGTCTCCTAGTTTTTTCCGTTGCTGACGTGAATTTAACATTCTTAAGATCACCGGTATTTTTAATAATGACCAACAACAATGAAAAAGCAGAGAAGGCAATGAGTATGCTTTACCGCCAGGAATGTGAACGGGACGAGCGATATGCCTACCTTGTCCAAACGATTGCAGAGGAACGTGCGCGGAACGCTGAGCACGCAAGCTATCTTGAATGCTTCCAAGGCTGTAACCTGAAGAGAACACTCACCATGATGTTTCTTTTTGCTGCTGTCAATATTGGTGGAGGACCATTCTTGGCACAGTCGATTTATTTCCTTATCACCGTGGGACTTCCAGTTGTGCACATTTTCGACATCTCTGTTGGCGGCTTCGGACTTGCGATAATCGTTATCATAGCTGCCGAGCTCGGGATGAGCAAGATCCCTCGCGATAAGGTCTTTGCTGGAGGGTGCTTAATCAACTTCGGTATCATGTTGACTATTGGATGCCTATATTACGCCAAAGGAACCGGTCCTACTTGGACAATTGCTGTTCTAATGTGAGTCACACTCTGAATCTCCCCCCCAATAGAATCGAGGAAGCTAATTTGCGACAAGGAACGTTTTAATCTCACTAGAGGCCGCTTTTATGCAAGCACCGGGCTGGAGTATTGCAGCTGAGATCTCCAGTCTGCGTCTTCGCGCCAAATCCATGTCCCTTGGTATTATGGCCCAGACCTTATCTACTTGGATATTCACTTTCACTGTCCCATACATGTACAATGTGGATTCGGGCAATCTAGGAGCGCGGACAGGCTTTGTCTTTGCGGGAACCTCAGTTTTGCTCATCTGGGGAGCTTTGACTATTGTCCCAAATACTACAGGACTTTCACCTGGTGATATCGACGACCTGTACGAGACTCGCGTGCCAATCCGGGAATTCTCTCAGCGCCGCCAAGCTCTTATTCAGTCTGTTTGAGTACAGACTAGTTCTGGATTTGTGTCATTATTCACAGTTCAATTATTACTGAGTGGATACTTGCGGGACACTATTGATTTGTACCAGATGCATATGCGGAAGCAACGTGCAATATTTAAGGCCTTAGAGAAGCAATGAAATATTGGGATTTGACTCGCCACGATTATACTCTAAATATGGTAAGATTGCCATGACGAATTGAAAGATAGATGACTGATATATATGAACCTATTGGGTAGCTCTAACAGAGAAGTAACAAATAGTGAAGTGTAAAAGTCATGCCGTGGCGTTATTCATTGAAACAATGAGAGAGAAAGAAGTAAACCCGAACATCCTGTTGGGAGTGGGAGCCCGAGTCCTACCACGGAGCATACAAATATGAGTAGGCACATCAAATCCAACCTCTAAACACACTCAACCTTCAAGCTGACTAGGGTAGTATCAGCCGCGAAGCACTGCTTCACGCTGTCCACGCTGACAGTCTCGAATAGGGTCGATGCATCGCAACCAGAGGCAGTGTAGGTATTCAGCACCGCAGATGTACCATCAGCACAGGCTCCAGACTCAACATATGCAGTGAATGACTTGATGGGGATATTCTCGACGTTGATGCACGATCCAGCATAGGCGTTGGCGGCATCAATGCTCGGAGTAGCGCAGTCTGCGAAGTAGTATCCGGCATAGCCAACCGTGGGGTTCGCCACTGCGGCAGCTGCGAGGGCAGAGAGGACGGTGATAATCTTTAATTTGTTAGAGCAAACTCTATGTGTTGAGCTGTGTTGAGAGATATCTTCAAACATACCTTGGTCATCATGTTGGGCAAATTGTTGATTGCTAGGTGAAAGCGCTGAGGCTAAGTATTTTTGAGGTGCTGTGCTGCGTTTAGACTTGAGCTTCTGCCTCCTCTTATATCAGGGTGATGGCTGCTTTTATAAGTCCTTAAGATGCATGGAGCTTGGCCTTGTGAGGGAACATTCTATCTACCCGTGGAGTTCTCCTCACCGACTCGCGACGGCGTGCAGCCATTCAAGGTGAGCTAAACGAGCACTTACGTATACTCGAGGCTGGATGCCTCTCTCTAGTGATCTATTTTGAGGGGTACCTGACAGATCCGTCATCGTACTAACCGGATTTTGTGGACAGAGAGTTGAACTGAGTGCTTAGCTTCTGGTAGTTAGCGGCACGCCGGCAAATCAGATAGTCAACTTCCCTTTTTAGGAAACTGGTAGTCAGCAATGCATAAGCAAAATTTCAAAATATTCTTGGCACCAGAAAAAGCTTCGTAATTCACTAGAAGAGAGTTGTACCCTAGGTTGAGTTTTATGAAGGGTGAACGAGGCAGATAGAGCAGTAGCGTCGATCCAATTGCGGGACAACCTTAATTGTATTATCCGATATGATATCTATGGTGCTTTGACAGGTACCATAGTTTGCAAGAAAATTCTTGATCTTTTCGTTCCTGACAAAACGCCACATGCGAGGCACCAACCAATTCATGACGGGAAGTGCGGAGTTCTCGTGGCTCATTCAGAATGGATCCACTTGGTCTAGCTAATACTCATCACTAGACTTGACCAATCTGGGTCTTGAATTGCTCGGCTAAACTTGCCAATATAGTGCGTCGTGAAAATATGTGCTAAAAATGGAGTAGCTAGTCGGCATATAACTATCTACTATATTCGTTTCTTCACGTTGAGTGTAGAATTTTATAACCTTTTATGATCTCAACTCCGCGCGAGTTGCAAGTTGGCTGATCTTTGCCGCATCATTCGGGATTGGTGAAAGTCACCTGCGCTGACAATCAAGAACAAAAATTGGGTATTTCTGCATTCTTATATACATTATATTTACATCTCTGTGCGATTGCATTCATACCAACTGCTTCCAATTTGAACTTAGAAATGGAAGCTTGAGCATGTGCTCTGATGTGCATTCATGGGTATTGCCTGGAAACCTTCCATGGCATATTATATGCACCTTCATATCAAACCCACTCATATGCGTTTACTCGATAGGAGCATAGAAGCTCAACTTGCCGTGGGGGTCATACTTGTGCTTGAGTCCACGCAGGCGCTCTTGACGCCAGTTTTCGCTGCCGTAGATCTGTTGCGATGTCTCCGAGCCATAGGCATAGTTGATGTAGGCACGGAAGTCGTCGCGACCAGTCGCTTCGGAAAGGATGTTTCGAAGCTGGTTGCCAAGATCGGCGGCCTTGCGCTCCAGAGCCTCACCGGCAGGGGCGTAGTTGATCATTGGGGCGGCAAGCAGGTTTTCTGAGCGGAAAGCAAAAGCAGTCGAGTCGGTGGGGATGGAGTGAACGCCCTCGGCAGAGTAGCCCTCGAACATGAAGATGGAGTTGTTGAAGGGGGAGGAGCCGCTAACGGCGGGGGCGTAGATATCCCAGGCCTTCTTCTGTGCAGGGACGTTGTATTGTTCCAGATAGATGGGGAAGCGAGGGTTGGCGAAGCCGAGATTCTGGCAGGGAGGAGAGTCGACGGCGATGCTGGTCCACGCGGCGAGGTCTTTGTATGTGCCTGATTGAGGGTTGATGGAGATAGGGCCAATATCGTGGAAAGCCTTGGTGTAAGTGGACTCGACAGCCTTGACTCCTTCTTGAATGATATAGAAGACGATGACAGGGCTGTTGGGGTCAGAGCCGTCGTTCATCCAGTAAGACCAGTTGATGACACCAGCGGGCTGGGTCCCGTTTTTGACGAGGTAGTCATTGGCAGCTTGGTAAACAGCCTCAACCTTGTCGCCACTGAATGTGATGGTTTCGATGGCCCAATTAGTATGCTCGATGTCGTAGATCTTGGAGGTGACTGAGGTAACAATGCCAAAATTGTGGCCTGCGCCCTTCATTGCCCACCACAGCTCCGAGTTGGCATCGACGGTGGTCAAAGTGCCATCAGCAAGTACAACATTCAAAGAGACAAACTGATCAGCGACAAGACCGTGGTGGCCCTGAAGCCAGCCGTGTCCACCGCCAAGTGCAGGCCCCAGATAACTGACACACTCGCAGGTTCCAGTAACGGTTTGCTTTCCAGCTGCCCACAAGTCATCGGTGATCTGCTTGGACATGACTCCGCCACCAATTGTGGCTGTCTTTCCATCTTCATTAACCTTGACGCTGCGCAACTTGCTTAGAGAGATGCCAATCCCGTGATCCATTTTGCCTAATGAAACAAGAGCCCCGTGGACGCCGTTGTAGGCGAGAAATGGGACGTTCTTCTTGTTCGCATATTTGACCTTCAAAGAAATCAAAGTTAGTGTACGATCATGTTTTCCAGGTCACTTTCTTTCAAAGAAGGATTGGGCATGGGGTGAATGAGAAAACTTACAGTTTCGGCAACGTCATTCTCTGTCCCAGGTACAATAACCACATTCACCTTAGGTTCCTCGAGAACAGACCAACGGGTGGTGATATTTGCGAAGCCACTGGAACCAGGGTAATAGACCTCGGCAGTGCGGGAAAGGCTTTTGGCAAACGCCTTCATGTCAAGATCGCTGCTAGGGCATTTTCCTTGCACAGAGCTACCCACCACAGTGGAAGCCAAGCCAGCAATGGCAGTGATCAACCTGAGAGAGAACATTTTTCTAAGACTTAGGCCGAGAAATTATCGAGCTCTCCAGCAAATAGTAAGATATATGAACAACAAACGAAAGAAAAAGAAAATCAAAACCACCAAGGTGGGGTCATCCCTTGGACATCGTCCAATGTTCAAAAAGAAGGCGACTAGGCTGCTCGAAATCCCATTGAGGTGCAAGGCCCGAAACAACTAAAATTTATCGCGTGCAGAATTTGAGTGCTTCGGAGTCCATGGACCTATGAACGACACTTTTCTCAACACACTTTTTGCAAGATCCCCACTTGAGCGCCGACCGCGTGTGTATCATTGTCCGAGATCCGACCCCGAGATACAACTCGGGCGGTTTTGGACCCCAAATAAGTGGGGCGATTTAGGGCGATTTGGGGGCGATTTGGGGGCGGCCATTGGGATTCACAATCCCTACTAATTATGAACAGTTATCCATCCATTGCAGAGCTTGGATGATCCACCCTACTAAAGAGCTAGGCATTCTCGGACCCCTGTAGTGCCTTCTTTTGGGACGCTGGCACTATAATATGATCCAGCAATTTGGGACTCGGAATTAATTCTAGTTTTAGTATTGCAATGGTAGTGAATTAATATCCCGAGTACTCCATAGTACGGAGTACATTTCTTAGATCCATCCCTTTAATTTTGAAATTTCACTAAGGGGGGAAGCCTTACAGGCTCCTCATATTTATTGTATTCAGTTACCGGTCAGCTCAATCGCGAATTAAATAATGCATACATAACACACTACTTAGGGGGCAGTGGGCAAAATAATGAAAGAGTAGGAATTTGCACTTTTTTAGGGAGTCCTGATTTCGGATTGCCGAGCACAGATGGGGTTGGTTCTACACAATCTGGCCAATACCATACCGACTGGTGGGTCACTGCCAAGTTGTCTGCTGAAACGAACGCATGTTCTAACTTGATTTACCACGATATGTCGTTCCATCCTTCGGCCGTAGGCTTCGGTCAATTAATTTATGGAGATTACCATGTGGAGTGTCCATAAACACGCCCCCAAAGGTGAGACCTTGGAACAGAATACTACGTGATGATTAAGGTGTGGGGCGTACGCCACTCCATCAGAGGCCTTTTTTCTCTGCGATCCTTGGTCGGTTAGTCCGATTGAGTCCTTCGGGTAGCTGAAAGATGGGTACGGTGTGCTCAAATCGCTGATTAAAGTTATTCAAATGTGAGAACCATAGTTTCCAACCATGTGGTGTCAGTGGCCCCCAGGGGCCGGAATTTAGGGCTGTTCTTCTTTACTCAACAGTCTTGCCTCATCTTTTCTCTTTTCACATGCCTTCAATCGTCTTTTTAAAAAAAGAGGAACGATATCTTTGATCACTCGAAAATCTCTGGAGTGGGACGAACGCTACAAAGGAGAGGGATTACAAGCAGTGAATCTTCGATACGATCGATAAACTTCCTCACAGACATCCTCTCTCGCTGATCCTTCTCCACCAAACCAGCCGTGAAGATCATGGGGTTCGCTTTATGGGCACGGGATGCCGCCGCCGAGGCTGCAAGGAAGACAAATATCGAGTTATGGACTTTATATGGAATTGGTGTCGCTTTCACGATCCTCAGAACATATTCCCGAGTTAGAGCCGTGGGCTGGAGAAATCTGCGACTGGATGACTATTTGATATGGATTGGAATTGTGTGTACTGATGAGAGCTACTGGTAGCTGCGTGTGCTTACTGATACTATGGTACAGATATTCTATACGGCACAGACAGCTCTGGCATACAATGTCGGTGCTGTAGCCAACGGCCTCGCAAATAATAGCATGACAGATGCACAGCGGACTGCGCTATCCCCGAGCAGCGCGGAATATTCTGCCAGGTATATCCCGCAATAAAAAAGCAGTGAATATGCAAAGAAGAGGACAAGTGACTAACGTTCCGGTTAGAGTGATAGGTTCCAAGATCCAAATCGCGGGGTGGAGCACATACGTAGCATTGATTAACTCCCTGAAGTTGTCAATGCTGGCTTTCTATCTTCGCCTCATGGTATATACCCCGCCGACGTTCGCAAACGATTCAGAATAGATGACTAAAAATGATATTACAGGAAGGACTCGGACGTCGCTACCAGCTTCCTATATACGTCGGCCTTGCCCTCATCACGACGAGCTTTATCGCGAGCATAATCGCCATTCTTGCATCATGCAGACCATTTCATAAGAACTGGCAGATCAATCCTGATCCCGGCAGTCAGTCTTGCCCCCCCTCCCGCTCATCTCGGACCTTGAGATTTCATGGATTATACCATCATTCTGACACTGGTCACTCTCTCCAGATGTTTGCCAGCCAGCAATTTCCACACCCGTCATCGCCGTGACCTTCGCCGCCAACCTCCTCACGGACCCATACTTAATCTTCATCCCAATTCCTATGCTTTGGAAATCCAGTCTGAAGCTCATTAAGAAGCTTGCGACAACAATCGTCCTCAGCGCTGGCATATTTATTCTCGTCTGCGCAACACTGAAAAGTGTCTTCCTGCTAGTGGTCAGTGTCATCCACTACGAAATTCAACCAGCTTTCACCCATAGGTACCCAGCTGACACTATTTTTACTTCCTAGGACCCCGAGAATGGTGCTACTGTCGCCAACGAATGGGGTACCCGCGAAACCTTCGTCGCAGTCATCACAACCAACCTCCCCATGGTCTTCCACCTATTCCGTACATGGCTCACAAAGGTGTTCGGCAGCAAGTTCGGATCGTCTCATAAGACGAATTACAAGACACCCTCCGCCTCCGGTGGGCTGCATACCATCAGCGGGCGCGGAAACTTTGCTAGCCGCAAGGGCCGTTCAGATATGGATCCTATCACAATTGGGATGACATTCACTGAGAGTGAGGAACGAATGATGGAGGATGAGATCAAGATGCAAAATATTCGTCACAATGTTACGCATATTCAGTCAACTGATAACGGCACTCCTTCTTCCAGTGGAATCATGGTCTCAAATCAGATTGATGTTACGAATGAGTCGGTTAGCCGGACGAGTGACGGAGCGCGAAGTGTTCGGGAGGTATGGTAGCGGAGACTCACAATTGAAAGATAGAAGTTTACGATTTTGAATTCCAATTTGCGATATACCCAATTATTTGAATTGATACCAGACCCAAGTTACTGTTTGGCTCTCCAGCCTTGAAGGTTTCGGAACAATATAACCTCTTGTCGAAACCTCCATCTCAACGGCTTCAACTTTCTCTTGCGAGATATCCCCATGCTTTAACCTCGCGATTTCAGCGCCAATGCGCGAGCACACGTATTTATCGAATTTTCAAGTGGGACTTTGTTCTGGAACATCTCATCCAACTCTTCCAGCGATCTTCGCCGGGTCTGCGGTACGCAGACTCATCCAAATGACAGCGACACGACAGAAAACGCACCGTATTTGAAAGTGACTCTCCCACCAATAGCACTCATACGGATTGACGAAGTTGATAAGAACTGACGTTATGAATCCAATACACCTTATATGTGACACCATTTGACATAATAGTGTTGACGAGAGTGCCAAATCAGGATAAGTTCCGGGTGCCGCACTATGGACCGCTGGATAGCAGACAGTTATCCTGCGAAGCGAGATGAAAACCACTACATCAGACCCACGGGAAATTCCGAAAAATAGAGCGAAGCGAGATGAAAATACTATTTAAACACCCTTGAATATAAGCAGCCGAAGCTAAGAGAAAGATAATGAATATTTCAAGGACGTTGGAGCCTAGCAAAGTTTGAGTATCCACGCAGAGTATACTTATACTAGTGGGTTGTAATGTTTTTGGCTGTACCATGGTGTTACAATATCTGACGAATCAATTTCCCGAAATTTTGTCCCAGGACAGAGTCTGTAGCCTCATATTTTTTTCCTCGCCGGGGCCCCTTTCTATAACATTTTCAGGATATATCTATGGTCTCAAATTCTCTGGGAAATTAGCAAGTACATCCCGATTGTCTCCTTAGATAAAAATCGTGCTTTAAGACCTTATTACAGCCTAGATATCAATATCAACGGGATCTCATGAGCCACTGGCACCCATTACAAAGTTTATCTCAGCTCGAATCTATATATTCAGACTCAGGCTCAGAACTTGAAGGTTCATCAGGATAATCCTCTTCTATACGAGGAACAGAGGACCAATAATGAATGGGGCGATCGGTACCATCTCTGTCTTCTGCTTCCCACTCATCTCTGTCCATATCGGAGAGCGTATCGATCGTCGCACCATGATGCTTCAGCAAGCTAGCCATGTCCTTGTAACCTTTCATTTCAGCAACATACAAGGCAGCACCCCCATGCTCTGAAGCTTTCAAGCCGTTACACAGGAGAAATTCAACCATGGAGTAGTTCCCTCGTAATACAGCAAGTTTCAAGGCGGGTTTCTGGGATCGCGTATCCAATTTTAGCAAGACAGAAATAATATCCAGATGATTGTCTTCAACAGCGCGGTATAAGGGCGAAGGAGTATACCGTTGTGGATCAGCACCGCGCTCAAGTAACTTCTTCACTATCTCAAAATTTCTATACTGTACAGCTAGAAATAATGGTGGGTTGTCGATTTTAACTGCCCTGCTATGCCATCGTGTTGTAGTCGAGTATGATGAAAGTGGGTTTGTAGTATGACTTCCACGATAGAAGTTGACTTCTGCACCAAAATCCAACAGACCCTGGACGACCTCTATATGTCCAGTTTGAATACCTATCGCTAGGGCATGCTGAATATTGATAATATTCATAAAGCAGTATCCTTGTGATAAAAGAGGATGCGTATAGATATCTTCCCAGTAAGGGTCTAATCTTCTTGTATCTTCCTTATCATATATCTCATCCTCATCCTCATTCTCATACCGGGCATGATCCTTTTCTCCAATACCCACATTTCCCCTTCGTCGGGTCAGCCAGCGCATCTGGATCACTCTCTGGGAAAGCGAGTCAGATTTAGCCCGGGCGAGATCTAATCCGACTAAAAGATCTTCAACCTGTGGAAGGAGGTTTAACTCGGCAGCAACAGGGAGCGCTGACCCGCGATAGTATTGAGCATTCCAATAGCATAGACACTTTCTCAGTTCTTGGTATAGACGACGATTGGTTCTAACCAAGCCATAGATATCGCTCTGGCGCGAAAGATAGGATGAAATGATCCATAGGATTTCAGTGGGTAGCTGAGAAAGGCTCATTTCGATGTGTGAGAAAAGAATCGAAAAAAAAAAAGAAGAATAAAGAGGGGATTGCCCAAATGCACGTATTTTGTGTGTTGGGAGCAAGGTGGGGTAAAGGGATTTTCTATTCATTGAAGCCCCTATGTCTATTTTTTGGTTCTGACTTGGAGATCCGTTACTGACGCGTTAGGGCGATTCCGATATTCAGTGTAAAATACTAGTATGCGTGCCTGGCGCGTTGAGGCCAGATGTGGGGCAAATACCGATTCTAGTTCCGTATTTAGATACTGGTCCAGGCTCACATCGTGCATAACTAGTCGGAACACTAGCAAGAGAATGAAACAATGCCATAGAAAAAAGACCCTAAGCAGATCTCACTCATATAGTACACAGGAATGATCCGAAGCTGCCCGGGCGGCCCCGCCGGGGGCAACAGCAGCCCATATCAATTGACTTACTAGTTTTGCAAGACTTGAAGCTAAAAGACAAAGTACACAGGTTGGTTTCTTCGAAGTACTCAGGTAGTATGATGGAGAATGGAGGATTTGTCAAAGCCATCTGCATTGATCAGACATTATACACAGATCTCAGTCTTTCCATAAGTACACGAAGATCTTCAAGCTCGTACTGAAAACAATCAATTTCTTCTCTCTTCTATTTTGTAATCTGCCAGTGATTCCCCACGGTTTTTTCCCAGATTAGGTAAAGCTCTCTTGTTAAATAGCGCAGATCTTATAGCTGGCACTTAGAAGTTCAAATTAGAATTGTTGACTCATCAGAAAAATCTAATGCATTTTCTTTCGCCATTCTCATCTGTCGGGCAGATAGGATCTGGCGAGTCACCAGCGCATCTGCCGGACATTTCAGGATTAGCCCAGTTACACTGGTTGAAATACACCCCAAGCGCAAAAAAGGCCAAAGTTTCTGCAGATAATTTAGTATTTTTTTCGATAGAATCATAGCTCACTCTGAGATGAAGAAGTTAAACTCACCAGCATTTTGAATGGGAATACCAGTTCCTCTGTCTCCTCCCACATATACCTTGGCGAACTCTCGGACAAGCAGTGAGCCATAGACATTATATTTCTCCCGTTATACATCATGGTCAGGTCTGAAACCGGGTGTTAGTCAAGGACATTTATGTCAATTTTGAATGTTTGCTCGTAGAATTCTTACCCTCGTTGTACCTTTCGCCAAGAATGTTTGAGGAATGGGTGTGCTCATGAAGCACCGTGTTGGCCGCAGCGTACTCCTTCATGTATTTCATGGTCTTTCCCTGCAAGGAAAAGCCAGGATACGTCACCTGCGAAAATACCCTGGAAGAGTTCGAGTGTATTGGCCTTGTGAAAGAGAAGGATAGTCATATCGTGGATTTTGGCTGTGGCACATCAATGAAAAAAGCCGGAACTAGGACATGGAAGTCATATAACAAGGTGATTGAATGCTCAATCATCTGACAGACGTCGGAAGTTTTTGAATGATTCGAATCAAAAAACGCTTTGACGTACTTTAATTCTTCTCCGTGCCTTCCAAGGTTATTAATCGACAAAATGGGGGCTCTTGGCTATTCGTCAAGTCTATTCTATGTCAATCAGAAGACTAGTAGTAGTAGTAGTAGTAGTAGTAGTAGTAGTAGTAGTAGTAGTAGTAGTAGTAGTAGTAGTAGTAGTAGTAGTAGTAGTAGTAGTAGTAGTAGTAGTAGTAGTAGTGGTATTGATGAAGCCAGGAAATTATCTCTATCTCTCTCTCTCCTAGATATCCGCATACATACACCATTTCCTGGTTTCTATCCTCCGTCGTGTGTTGATATTTTAATGACCTACGGACCACTACGTGCTCATCTCGACCTACTGAAAGGATGTCCTTATTTACTTCGGACACTGTGGAGGGTTCGGCCTAAGTTACATGTATTTGGACATATACATGAGGGTGCTGGAGTGGAGTGGAGTGGATTGTGTTCAGTCGTCTACAGGCTGCGTATGAGCATATCGTTGCTTCTCGGGGTGGCTTTATGAATCTTCTGTATACTTTTTGGGAATCTCGCAGGGAAAATTCAGGCCTGAATGTCGCCGTTGAGGCGAAATGTTTGCTTGTTAATCCGGCTATTGTTGGGGGGTTAAGGGATGATGAGCGGAGAGAGGCTGTTAAGGTTTTTATATAGAGTGTCGGCGGGTCGATCCGAATACAAGATTGCTTTACCTACTGGGAAACACATACAGAGGCGATGATAACTCGTCTATCTTTACTTTCTCCGTCGGGTGTCTAACTGAGTATGTACTATGGTGCTACAGTATCCGACGAATCAGTTTCCCGAAATACTTTCTGAGAACGGTCTCCAGCTTTTTTTTCTTCCTCGTCGGGACTTCTTTCTAAACCCTCCTCAGGAAATATTTGTGGTATTAGAAATTTCGGAAAATGAGCAAATACTTCCCTATTGTCTCCTTGGATAGAAAGGCGTTCCTTCAAAACTCATAATATACCACGGCCTACATATCAATTCAACAGGATCTTATGAGCCACTGGCACAAATTTCAGAATTGATTTCCCAACGAATCTATACCGAGGCATTTTCGGACTCAGACTCTGAACTTGAAGGTTCATCAATGGGGTCCTCTATAGAAGGATCAGACCACCGCCAAAAAATAGGGCGATCGGTACCATCTCTGTCTTCTGATTCCCACTCCGCTCTGTCCCTATCGGAGAGCGTATCGATCGTCGCACCATGAAGCTTCAGCAAGCTAGCCATGTCCTTGTAACCTTTCATTTCAGCAGCATACAGGCCAGTATTCCCATGCTCTGAAGCATTCAAGCCGTTGCACAGGAGAAATTCAACCATAGAGTAGTCCCCTCGTAATACAGCAAGTTTCAAAACTGATTTATGGGATCGCATCTCCAATTTCAGTAAAATTCGAACTATATCCAGATTATTATCTTCAACAGCGCGGTATAAGGGTGAAGGCATATACTGTTGTGGATCAGCACCACACTCAAGTAACTTCTTCACCATTTCAGTATTTCCATACTGTACAGCTAGAAATAATGGAGGGTTGTCGATTTCAATTTCCCTGCTATGCCATTGTATGTCGGTATAGTGCAGTGATAGAATTGATTTTGTAGAATGACTTCCACGATAGAAGTTGACTTCTGCGCCAAAATTTAATAGGGCCTGAACAACCCCTGTATGTCCGGCCTGAATGCCTATCGCCAGGGCATGTTGAATATTGATAATATTCAGAAAGCAGTATCCTTGTGATAGAAGAGGATGTATAAAGATGTCTTGCCAGTAGGGATCTGATCTTCTTTCATCATCTTCTTCCCGGTAGGGATCTGATCTTCTTTCATACTGTCTTTCCCAGTATTCATTCGATCTTCTTTCCTCGTGATCTTCCTTGTCCTCATCCTCATCCTTATCTGTATCCTGATTCTGGTTCCGGTCCTGGTCCTGGTCCTCTTTTTCAAACCCCTTAATTCCTTTGCGTCGGATCAGCCAGCGAACCTGGTCCTGTTCTCCGAAGCCCATATGTCTCTTACGTCGGGTCGGCCAGTACATCTGGAGCACTCTCTGGGAAAATGACTGAGATTTAGCTCGGGCTAGATCCAATCCGACTAAGATATCTTTGAGCTGTGGAAGGAGGTTTAACTCAGCAGCAACAGGGAGCGCCGATCCACGATAGTATTGTGCATTCCAATAGTATAGACACTTTGCCAGCTCTTGATATAGACGACGATTGGTTCTAAGCAAGCCATAGATATCGCTCTGGTGCGAAAGGTAGGACGAAATAATCCACAGGATTTCAGTCGGGAGCTGAGAAAGGCCCATCTCGATATGTGAGAGCAGAATTAAAAAGAAAAGAGAAAAGAGGTGATTGATCTGTACTTTGTATAGTTCATCAATCGTAGCGCCGATGACTAATCACATAGTTAAGCGAGGCGGTGAGGATAGCTCAACTTCGTTCCAATTTTCCAACTTCTCCGATCTCAACTTGCGAAAGAACTTGCCAACTTCAAACCACCCCGCGAGTGGACCGGAAACCAATGCTGCGTTCTGTGTCAACTTGCGGGGTAGCTTTGAATTGAGAACTACGTATATGATACTGATATTAACCAGATCGCCTCCCTCCCCAATCATGCGCAGTTTTCCCAGTTTTCCCGACAGCCTCGCCTAGTCAACTGACCACAACCACAAACACAATGTGAAACAGAAACATATCGCAACTCCACAATCCAGCTGTCCCAGTCCTCACGGACGAATACACGGACCCTTCTTGCAAGGACAGTCACCGTACTTCCACGTCTTGTGGGTACGACCGACCGGAGCTGGATTGCGAGCTGGGGGATGTCTGACTTGTCAGAGATACTCCGGTGCTTTCTCTTTTGTCTTTCGGGAGAAACGAGAGAAAGTTGCTAGAGCAATAAAGGGCCTTCATAGTTCATGTTATACTTGCTCAGACTCCTCTTCGGAAGAGTTTTGGTGTTTATTTACCAGAGCATGACTCCTTGCGCACTACATCTACAATATGAATATTTAGGTATTCTTAGCTTGAAAACACTGAAACGAATGAAATCTACCTGCTATATCATATATACATATATACCTCCATCTCTTCCAGCACATGTCACAGCATCAAGGCTCTCCTCAAAGCTTACTCTTCGCCTTATCATCAACATTAACAACAACCTTCCCCCAAGTTTCCCTTCCACCAAGTGCCTGCAACGCCTTAGGAACACTCTCCAAACCATAAAAGCTCTCATCCTTAAAAGCCGTACCCCGGAACTTCCCCTGCGCAACAAGATCAAAGATCCCCTTCCAAACATCCCCCACGGTCCCCGTCTCAAACTTAGCATATTGGCCCCAATGCAATCCAACAATACTAACATTCTTCAACAACACCCGATTAAGCGCAACCTTCTCAATACTCCCCGCCGCAAACCCAATGACCAGCAACCGCGCATTCCACGCAACACACTTCAAACTAGCCTCAATCATCCCAACAGGATCATAAACAATATCCACCCCAGCAGCCCCATTCCCACTCCGATTCTCCTTACAAAGCTTCTTAACAACCTCCGGCCAAGCCTTATCCGTATAATCAACCACGTAATCCGCCCCGAATTCGCGCGCAATCTCACGCTTCCGGGCCGTGCCAGCCGTCGCAATCACAGTCGCACCCTTCGCTTTCGCAATTTGCACAGCGGATAAACCGACACCGCCAGCAGCAGCGTGAACAAGCACCCAATCGCCCGCCTTAACGCCGGCCCGATGCACGAGACCGCCGTAAGAAGTCGGCGCCGTGACGAAGAGGCCGGCCGCGTCTTCGAAGCTCCATCCCGACGGGACGGGGAGGAGGGTGTGTTCGGGGGCTAGGATGTGCGTGGCATAGGCGCCTTGTGTTGCGCCGAAGACGCGGTCGCCGACTTTGTACTTCAGCGAGGTGCCGGCCGTGGGCAGGGCGGTGATTGTGCCGGCGAACTCGGCGCCGCCGATCCAGGGGAGCGGAGGCTGGTGTTGGTATTTTCCTTGGATTTGGAGGATGTCGAAAAAGTTTGTTCCTGCGGAGTGGATTTCGATGAGATATTTGTCTGGGGAGGGGGTGGGTGTTGGGACGGTGGTGACTTTTAGGTCGAGGGGGGCCCTGGGTGAATCATTGTTAGGCTTGCTTTGAATGGCTCTTCATGAGATTGTTCATCTCGATCTCATGTTGTGTCTCGTAGGACGTAGGACTTGTTAGGGTGGTGGCGGATGATACTGACCTTGACGTATTCGCTGACTTGGACAGCACGCATTTTGAATAGAGTTCAATGGGTATTGATGAGTTGGATTGGATTGGATAGATTGAACTATGTGTACGCTCTGGTGTACCAAAGAAGATGGGGAGATGTGTTGGTGTTGGTGTTGGTGTTGGTGTTGGTGATGGAGGAATTGCGGAGAGCTGCCCAGCTGTTCCCCGCAGATGCCGAGGTCCCTCGGGATGCGCAATGCAACGCTGTCTACGCGGCTATCTGCTACTAACTACGAGAATCGCATATTGAATAGAATGGATATGCAGGGATATGAAGCTGGAAAAATCATTTGTTTCTGGATGTTATTCTATCTGCCCAATTCAGCAGTACGGAGTCAGGCGTGTTGGATACCCTAGAGGAGATGTGCCTCGGTCAATCCAAACTCCCATGAAGACTGGCCGAATAGCCGGGATGTCGATCTGCCGACGAGTCGGACCCATTTTGCCACAGGCAATAATTTGGAATGGAATTGGAGTCTCCCGGACGACCGAACCAAGAACCATAATTATAATAAAAGATGCAATTGGATTTCCGATGGATATCCGAGATAGAGGTTCCAGTGGTTTGCTTCGAGAGGAAACGGCAGTGACGAGATAGTCGATATCCCGATGATTAAACCATCCATACAATACTAGGTGAACACTCCAGGGCTGCTAGTAGTTTATATTACTCATATTAATGGATTACTATTTTCATCACAAGTAGCGAAATAATTCTTTGTATTATGTACTCACATATTCCGATCGATCATTAATTAATCTGAGACATCATGATGGCAAGAACCAGCCTCACCGGATACGCATATATTAAATCCAGATCTAAAAGCGCCACAATATACTTACACCGATGCCTTTGTCTCACCGCTGCTACACAATGCCGATGTTTGAGCCTCGTTTCATCGTCCTCGCCCCGCGTGACCAACATGATTCATGCTGACCAGATCAGATGCAGGGGGTCGGGCAGCACCTGCCGATGAGATGAAACAAACCAGGGACAAGAGCCTGAACTGAACCTACTACGGAGCAAGTAAAAAAAAGTCCGAGTTTGCGTCGCTTTAGTTTCCCCGTTCGAGCAAAAAAAAAGAAGTATACATTCGTCATTTGGCATTGTAGATGAAACAAACCCAAGGGGATCGAAGAAGGTATAGAATATACCCCCAAGACAAATGACTCTGTAGTTATCCTCCTAAAAATAGGAAAGCGACACCGGCATTGACTAAGCTCCTCGGAGATCGTTCAACAATCTTCAAGTTCAAGTTCAACCCCGCTTCTTCAGCGACCCCTTTTCAAGTTCTTTCCCCCGAGTCCCAAGCCCAAGCTTAAGCTCAGCCCAGCTGAACTCAAGCAAGGCCGGAGATATATCCCCAAAAGGAGAAACAAAGTTTCACACGAGGATCTCCCATCGGAACCGAAGATCATACAAGCTGGACAGCCGTTAGACCCGGTAAAAAGAGCTCAGTGGACCCTTACAGGAGTACGGTACAGAGCAGCCTGATCTGATTTTCCGGCCGGTGGAGGTGGAAAAGGGCGCAAAACCACATGGCGTGCATTATTACGGGGCTGGTAATCTCCCAACCCTCTGCGGTGTGCCTCATAATTGCGCCTTGATAAAGTTGGCCTAGTGTGCGCTAACTTTGGCCTAGATGCCGATGTCTTCGCTAGTATCTGCGTCGAGAGAAACCGTGGGACGATACTGGGACTCACGGTGAAACTGAAAGTTCGCCACGTGGGTTTGGGAGATTGCGAGCTGATCGATTAATTCGTGCTCAAATAGTAGATGTAGCAAAATTGGATAGAGGGGTGGATGGTTGAATTGGGGTGGGGGTATCAAGATGCAGGAACAAACACAGAAACTGATAGGAGGGTAGCATGCAGGTCCTATCGCGAACAACATAGAGAGACAGGCATATACAATCACAGACACAGAGACAAGACACAGAGACACACAATTTGTCAATATTCAGATTATAGAGACCAGTGCACAGCAGAGGTATAAGGTAACAAGAGACAAATTCCAACAACGCCATGAATCAAAACAAAAGTAGGTAGAACAGATCAACTTTCTCGCCCACGAGTGCAACACCGAGTATGTCATACATAACAAGATCTATTAGATACAGATCGCCCGTCCATTTTACAATGCTGGAGATATAGAGAGATATGGGAGAAAACAAATAGCGAATAGAAAGGGAAGCAAATTGGAGGCAGAGGGACATGGAAAAGCCAAAAGCAAAAAGAAAAGAAAAGAAAAAAAAACAAAGAAACAACGGAGGTATCACGGAAAACAATCACCACTCTTCACGAGTATCAAACGCCAGGCCCAAGGTTCTGTTCTTTCTCCAAAAGTCGAGCCAGAAAAACTCAGTTGGAGTACGGCATCATGGGCGCGCACATCACTGGTTGACTAGGTGGGAGAGAAACCATGTCGCCATGGGGATGGTGGTAGGCCTGGTGATGATACTTTCTGTCGGAGTGATCGAGGCGGCCATGGCCATGGCCATGGCCGTGGTGATGTTGATGTTGACCGTAATCGTATTGAAGAGACATGGTACGCTTCCATGGCTTTGAGTCGTAAATTTGATAGTCTTCACCAGGGTAGTGAGCGAACTCTGGAGGGAACATCCCCTGGGGAGGAATCATGTATGAGGCCGAAGTCGGAAGAGGTGCAGAGTGAGGGACAGTGGATGGCGGAGTGACTGGTTCAAAAGGGACTGAGTACCAAGGGGCTGGGGGATGCATCGTTTGGTTAAGACCCAAGTCGAGAGAGACTGAGCGAGGAGGCCACTGGGCCATTTGAGCATTTGTTGCCCCCGGACTGGGGATACATGACTCAGGTGAAAGTGGGAGAGTGGAATAGGTCGGAGTCACGACAGAGGAAGTATTCACCATCAAGCCTGGGGCCGCGGTGGACGTTTGACCGGGGTGTTCGAAAGAAGAGGTAGATGGAGCGGGGTCGGCAAATACGGCCGAGGGATCGCGAATTAAACCATCTCCCGATGGACTGGGAGTCAGTTGTTGAGAAACGACATGAGGTTGAGGCGCATAGAGGGGATGCGCCCACTCCGGGTGCTTGCCCGCATCTCTAGGAATCGGTGATCGTTTCTGATTGCGAGGAGAGGCAGTAGAAGATCTTCCATCCTTGTCAAAATCATCATCTACACCTTGAGGCTTCTTGCGAGTTTGGCGAGAGGGTTTTGTGACACGCCATTTCTTGAGGCGACTGCGCAATTGTGTTTCACTGTGGGAGGTGGTTCATTTAGCGCGGGGAATTCGGGGGATAGCCCACTAGGTAAGAAGAGTTCGTTTTTAACTCACCTTGGGTTGAAATCATCCGAACGAATCTGTTTAATGACCTGTTTGAGTGGCCATTCTTCCTCCATATACAGTTTGGCAATGAGAGCCTTCTTCTTCTCCCACACATCTGATGATATCGAAGTCTTCATTCTGGGTTGTAAGATAGATCGGGACCGTGCACGATAAAGAGAGGAGAAGGGGAGGGGAAGGGAAATGGATACGAGAGGATTGGGAAGAGATAGATATAAGTACAAGACAAGACACAAGATACGACAGAAGAAAGTTTGGAGAGAAAGAGGGAGCGATATAAACTCGGCCAACCCCAAATGGGGATGGGCCTGGATCCTCCTCCACCGCAATCTCCCATGGCGCCGGGTCTGTCACTAACGTTTCCCTTTTTTTCCCTTTGCCCCAGCGCACGCATGGTCGATCATGGCTCGAGATTGGCATGACGATGCTTGACGTGGTTGTTGGTGGATCGACGGCGATCTTCCCAAGTGGATCATTGACATCTCGCGCCATCGTGCACTGCACCACGATTCTCTCTCAGTCTCTTCAGCCGGAAGGGACAGTCTATCCCCAATTCAATGCTTGGCGCAGTAGGGTGTTCGTGCAAGACAAAGACAAGCGGAATCGACAGATCATCTTTCCGCCCCCAGCCAGGATCTTGTTGACAGGTGACAGATTCTCTGTGCTTTTTTTCTTTTCTTTTTTGTACTCCATCCAACTGGCGATTACCGCCCCCTCCAATTCCTTCTTATTCCATCTCCATCATCTATCTACGTGATCTATCGAGTATGTAGTGTACCAATCTAGTTTCCTGCAGCTCCGACTCCGATGTGGACTGCACGTTTTACACTTCCCCCTCATCCGGTCGGACCAACCCTTCCAACAAGGGAAATGTCTCCAGGGACTGAGCGAATTGTCGCCTCTCCTGCAGTGATTTCTATGCGGTACCGAACTAGCCTTGTGGATAGGTAGATTGAAAGTTCCGGTCAAGATAACCCAGAGAGGCCCAATTCCTTCTTCCCCCACAACCAAAAAAGGATCCACTTCATCAAGGAGGAGGAGGGGGTCATACACATTCCTGCACTCCGTACGCTGCGAATGTGCTTGTTGGAGCCCATTCCCAAGTGGAGACTAGCCGGATCTCACCCAAAAATATCATTGGTTGCCGATCCTTTACCAGTCCCGGGATTCTCACGCGGTCTCTTTGGGTGGACTCTGCACACGGATGTCTTCCCTAATGCAGAGGGGATCAGAGCCGTTGAGCGGTTTCAAACCTTCTCTTCCTTCGGATTTTACAGTTTTTGCTTATTATCTCATTTCGACATGTGCAAAATACTCCGTACACGACACAAATTTGAATTACGGATGATTTGCCGGGAAATCAAGGAGAGGGTCTTGTTTCCTTGTATCAGGATACGCGAGAGGGTCCCGAATGATGCTCGTCTCTCGGATCACTCGGCCCTTTTAACGCTATCAAAGAAAACGTGGGCCAGGCGTGACTAGTTCTACTTGGATGTGCTCTGTACACCGTACATGTATACACTATACCAGAAGGAAGCATCCTGGCCAACGGAGGATTCGACCTGCGCCCTTAACGCCCGCTTGGCTTTCGTTCTCGCGTCCCATTCACTCCTCATCAAATGCACACACCATCCCCTGGCTTTCTCCGGTGAGTTCTTCCCTTTTGCGGAACCGCAAGTTCATCCTGAACAGAATCCGCTAGGAGGCAAACAGGTATAGTGCCCAAGCTAGTGGGAAACCCCCCCCTCTCGGACGAGACCAATAGTGTCGAGATTGTGGGGTACCAGTTCGTGCGCGCGCCAATCGACCCAGCCGAGGATCTTCCATGATCTTCCCGGGTCCTCAATAGTGGATTAAGTGGAGCTAAGTTGGACTCCAACGTAGGACAGAGCCGCCCAGTAGTGAAGCTACAACAGCCAACCCCAGCCAACCCCGTTCCAGGCAGTCCACAGGGCTAAGGGGGTGAGTGGCTGATAGCAGTTCGGGTACTTGCTCCGATCTAACCTTAGCTCGAGTCCTTACGCCGATGCCTAAGAGAAGAGAAGGAGAGGGTGGGAGAGTTGAGAGAGAAGCTGGAAAGCTGCACAGACCCGGCCGAAATCGCCACCGCACTTCCTGCACTGTCCATGTCTTTCACGACACTGCCCCACCAATCAATCACTCATGCCAGAGCCGGGGTTGTTGGCCTGACCGGCTGCATATTGTCACACACCGGACGATGCACATTTGCCAACTCGGCACTCCGAGGAGGATTGCCATGTGCAATCGCGTTTCATACACATTCAATCATATCCGTATATCCTGTCGATCCGGAACATGGGAACATCCATTTCTAGGGCTGTTTCCCCGGACTCTTTACCCAAGGTGTGATTTTGCACCGATTCCCATGGTCCAACGATCGGGAATACACAGCCCTTTACTTGCCGTGATCAGTTGGAGATATCCTCCTCTGTCTCTCCGGCAATTTTTGACCGCCACCCGGTAGTCCTCACCCGAAACCCTAACAGGTTCTCTTTGTTTGAGAGTTAAAGTCAAATTCCACTATACGAAGTAGCAAGGCGACATGTGCACAGCAAGGCACCGAAGATTCTCTCGAATTCCCCGAATCGCGCCACTCGTTTGTCTGGGCCAATCCCACCGGCCACTACGACTAGCTTGAGATGAGAAAAAAAAAGGTAAAAAAAAAAAAGCTGGGGAATAGTTCGCCCAGATCAGATCGAAGTAAGACAAGATCACATCGCTTGTACGGAGTACTGACCATGCCAATGTTCACCCATGCGTTGAAACAGTAAAATATGGCGGGCTGTACCGCGGGGAATGGAACAGGGGGTGCAACACAGACCACAATGCAAGATGAAAATCAAAAATAACCTACTATCTCCGTTATGGAGTACATCACAGTAGACATGCTATACTCTGTCCGGAGTAGGTACACACAGTTATGGTAGGCTAGCTGGACATGAAGCCCACTTTTCTTTTAAACTGACATTCCATTCACCACACCCCCTTTTCGTGCCCTTTCCCTGAGCCAATAGGCAGGCCGGAATAATTACTTTTTTAAAAAAAGAAACCTGAGCAATCAGAAGGTCTGCTCGATATTACGGAGCACACACACACACACACACATAACACTAGTAGCTGGTTTCCGGATCACCGTGGGTCTCCTCTATCTGCAGCTCATGGGAGTTTCCCCGAAGCTTCTCAGCACGGAGCCAATAGGCCGGGATTTTGTCTCCAGATGGGGTATTTCCTCTGCGAGATGCACTTCGCCAATCATGACCCCGGCCCGGTGATCAGTGGGGCGCCATTTACACTTCGGAGTCCTCTCCATCAGCCGTGCTCTTTACCCGAAGCCACCCACATTTTGTTGGATACTGTACATGGACCCGACGAAGTGAACCCACGTCGTGCCATATACTCCTACAATGGTTGGATCATTACTCCTCTTTAATCCACGGCCAATCGGTGATAATGTATAATGTGGAAAGATAAGAACGTTTTAACTACTCGGTAAACCCTGTAGAACCTCGAACCATAATTCAAATTGACCCCAACTGCCTCCAACGTATTTCGTATCGGAAGTACCCTCCAGAGATCCACTTGGCCCCGCCACAACCTCGTGGGTGAGATGTCTAGAAGCTTGCAGACAACGGAGCTAGACTAGCCCTAGCTCTACGAGGCAACGGAGCATTGCTGCCGAGATGGGTCGCAGGGAGGGGAGGGGAGGAGAGGAGAGGGGAGGAGAGGAGAGGAGAGGAGAGGAGGGAGCAGGACATCCTTATTCGAGTACGGAGTAAGCCGCAATAGAACTCCGTACTCCGTAAAGAGCTCCAAAAGGGGTGATCGACGTGATCCGAGAAGAGATCGACCGGGCGACCCTGATTGATCCTCCAGACAATACCCATAGTATGCTATGAATGGACATGGACCACCTGGTCCGTGACTGACGACCTGACCAGGTCTCCGGATCCTCGAATCCCTTGGGTCGAGAACTAGTCATTTAGTCATTGGGTCACAGACTCGACATAGCCTTTCTTCACTTCACAACATCCATACAGTACGCATCACAGGCAGGAACAGAAACAGAAGCAGAAAACAAGAAAATACTCCGTAAACCAAGATCGGAGCAAGAACTCTAACAAGAAACTCGTGCATGCAAGACTGTCTCACGACGAGTTAGATCAGAACCTTGAACAGTCATCATAAAATCGGAAGAAGAGTTAAGTCCGTGATGAATTCCCCCCCCGACCCAGCCCAGCCCAGCCCAGCCCAGTTGTATCATGAGCACAGGGCAAGTCTTCCATTCTAGGTTAAACATGATCATCGCACTAAGCAAGGCTGGAGATAGATCCAAGCCAGCGGGAACAATGGGAAAGCAAAAAGCAAAAAGAAAAAAGAAAAAAAAAAGGGGAAAAACAAAAACAAACGTGCGCACGGTGCGTTGTGGATTGTAGATTGTGGATTGTGTATGAAGCTAGCAGCTATACCGAACAGTGCGAAACTAAACTCCACTCCACTCTTCGACAAGATGAGGATATTCTCCGGGTTTGCCTTTTAGCCATTGTGCCTGTGCCTGTGCCTGTGCCTGTGCCTGTGTCTGTGCCCGGGCCTATTTCCCCCGTTTAATTTAATCTAAAATGATTTGGAATACTATTTGGCAAGGAGAACGGTTCCGATCGGAAGCGATTGTCGGAATAAGCCACTCCACTGATATTCCATATAAACTCCACAACGACGCACATGGCGCTCGCCGTAAGCAGGGCTGTAAGCTTGTCTTGGTCTGCATGACCTGGAATTGAATTGGATTGGCTTCGAACGTTGTTCCGACATACTGTACTTATCAGAATGTTCACTACAGCGCGTGCGAGTACGAGGTTAGTATAATGTATTTATTGGAGGGTATCATGATGGAGTACATAGCAGTAGGTGATGATCAGATGAAGTTACCTCGACGCTGTGGTGTATCCATGGATGTGGGTGCCTGGAACCACAGGCGTATAAACAGTATTCATAACGATCGCTTTTAATAAGAAGAACTAGAGATATCTAACCCGATAGGCTCTTCACATCGTTTGGTGTCTTTGTGACAGCCCTTGTTGTAACGATAACTCTCAGTATCCGAGTCTGAATGGATCCTGTCTCATTCCAACTTGAAGGTTATTGTGTAGCTACAGAGGCAAGGATAATTTGAGCGAGGCCTCAATCTGAATCTCGACCTCGCCCTCAACCTCGCCCCCAACCTCGCCCATCTCAGCAAGACTCAAGTGATATAGACCAAAAAAAAGGTGAATTTAAACACTAACGTGATATGAACAACTTGAAGTCAAGAATCGTGTATTCATGAACCAAACCACAACCACAACCAAAACCGAAGTAAAAAGTAAATTACATAGGAAAAGGCAATCACTCACACACACGCACACGCACCCACACCCAATCAAAAAATATCCTCAGACCGACTCCAATCCCGCGCGTCACGACTAGACCAATATTTCCCATTATGAGCCCAGAACTCCTCACCCGTGACGGGACACCTGTCGCGAACGAACCACTGCGGCTCATACGTCTCGCCTCTTGTCTCGCGTTCGCGCCGCTTAGCACGCTGCTTCTCTTCCACGCGGTGTTTCTCGTCCGCGGCAAGATCGTACTCGCCATCCTCCATCGCGCGCTGATCAGGACGCAGGCGCGTATCCGTCGGAGGTAAGTATTCCTTCAGGCTGTCGGGTAGTGCATTCAGCGTGATCACGAAGGGGGTTAGGTTGAATGGTACGCCTGTGGGACGAGCGTGTGCCTGCCAGACTAGGAGGGTCTTTGCGGAGTCGGGGTCTTGGCCTGAGACGGGTGCTTCGAAGCCGGGTGTGTGGCGGGCGTAGATCTTGTCGTTCCAGCGGCCGCCGATACTCCATTTTGGAGAGCCAGTTGCGTCGACGACTTTTCCGGCGACTTGATAGGCGGAGGAGGCTTTCCAGCCGCGGGGCTTGAAGTCGAGATAGCAGACTTCGCCGGTGGTGTGGTTTTTGATTTCCATCAGGCCGTAGTTGTCGACGGTGGGGTTTCCGGTGATGATACCGATGACGGAGGAGGTGACCTTTTTCCAAGTGTAGAGTTCCTCGCCGCCGGTGATGGGTCGGAGTTTGAGGAACCATGTGCCCAATAGGTTGATGTCGAACGATTTGCCGTAGAACTTGGACTTGAGAGACGACTCGCCCCAGTAATCCCATTTGGGCGATTCGGCCCATGCAGCTCCAATCGGCGGGTGATGACTGACTTGCTCCACGAAGAACCGGTAGCCCTTGTCAGGCCGGACGTACTCAAAAGTTTCACCGAGCAGGGGGTTGAAGGGCTTTGCAACACGGCCAATTGTTGACGCGTATTCGCTTGCAGCGTATGATGCCACGTATAGCAGGCGTTCCATCGAGTCTGATCGGTCGGCAGCAATATCAAGGAGATCGGTGTATTCCAGATCCTCTGCAACACGTTGAAGTAGGGATGTTGGCTCGTTGAAAGATACCGGCAGAGTCATCTTGGTCATGTCCTTTCCAATCATGGATTTCAAGATTCCCTAAAAAAAAAAACCGTTGGTTAGCCATTTGCGTTTTCCACAGGAGTCAGATTCAAGGCGTTATATCATCGGCAGGTTTACTTACCCACAGGCCAATCTTGGGACGATTATCATTGTCCATCTTGAGTCTTTGTCGTACAGGTTCTTCGTAGCCCTTAAATGAGGGTGCAATGACAGCAACCTTATCATTACGAGCCTGTGCACTTTCATCTTCAGGCTCCTTCGTCTCTTGAGACTCCCCCCTGAGTCATATCCTCGACTTCAATATCTCCCGCATCAATGGCATCGAAGAACTCGTCCCCATCCGACTCAGAATCACAAAGACTGCTGATTTTCGACAGGGTAGAGTGCTTGCGGCTGAGGGTAGGACGGGCAGCAAGTTGAGTCGATGCCTCTCCGTCTTCCTGGTGTGCGTCTGCGTCACGGAAATCCTCTTGACTCTCCTCTAGCGTATCCTGATTATCGGCAGGTGCACGAGAAGGCGGGTCGCTAGTTGAGCGGCTGGCAGCTGTTGCATTTTCCAGTGCCTCCTTGAGGGCCCGCTTGGTTCGTTTCCGCTTCTCTTCCGACTCGCCCATCTTGGACTGAAGCTCTTCGTGTTCTTGAGCGACGCGTGCCATGCTTTCCTCCCACATTTGGCGCAGATGTTCCTCCCTGTTCAATCGGTATTGCCAATAGGAATCACGATCCCGCGAGATCTTGAGAAGGCTTTGAACCAGTCCCTTGAGACTACTGACCGCACCTTCATAAGCACCGAGAGCCTGCTCAAAGGAAGGGTCCCCAATTGAGGTGCCAGGATTCTTAGTCCGTTCCGCCTGCAGTGAGGCAGTGACATTCGCCAGGAGATCCAGCTGGAGCTTCGCAGACTGCGCGGTGATGTTCAGGGCATCCTTATCCTCCGCAGGAGCCTCGTGGCTAGAAGCGTAGTCGTAAAATTCCTCATCATCATCGTTGCCATCACCATCAGGCATCGTTGTGGCATGGCTGGTGACTCTGTTGACTTCATTCGTGCTTTGGTCCAGAGAACCATATGCTGAGCTTACCTCATCCTCGGGGGTGGTTTCAAGTGTTGTGCGCGAGGCATGAGTGCTCAGTCGTGTGATGCTGTTACCAGGCACGGCTAGAGTGGATGGAGGGGCGAGACTCTTTGTGCTGGGACGGTGACTTAGACCGGACTCGGATGGAGTTCCAACTGAACGACCTTCGCTCTGGTCCATCTTTGCCTGGCGAAGGACCTCGGCATTCTGATTGCGCTGCCGTTCCTCTTCCTTGGCCTCATCTTTAGCCCATTGGATCGCGTTGTTCAGCGACCAGAACCAGCGTTTGGCCTCGACGACATGGTTTGCCTTGAGATGATACTTGACAGATGATTTCCCGTGAATCTCAAATCGAGTCTTATCCTGTGCATCCATGTTGAGTCGGGCAATTCTCATATTAATAGCGCCACGGCAAGCCGAGCCAATATCATCTGGACAAAACTTATTAGACCAGCCTGGAAGGGAAGGGAAGGGAAGGGAAAGGAAGGGGAAAGCCTACCCTGATGCTTATAATAGCTCAAAACGCCATCCTCCAAGACAAACCACCGCAACTTATACCCACTGGTATAGTTGGTCCATTTCTTAAGATATCCTCTCATTTCACGAGCATCCTTGCCAGCAAGAGGCGCCTCGCCACCGATCGAGGCCCGAGCCGATAGACCCTGAGCGTTGTTGTTACCAAGAATGGCTCTCTCCTGAATACCCCGTTGAGCGATCACCGCAGCGGGGGATTTCTTAAGGAGGGCGCGAGTCTTATCATCCTTGGTGACATCCTGCGGCAACTTGCCCTTCTTATCACGGCGGAAAGGATCCGCCCCGTGAGTCAAGAGTATTTGAATGAGCTGCGAGTCCTTGTTGCGAGCACCCTCATGCAGCAAAGTTCCCCCAGTCTGCACGGTGGTGGGGTCAGTGACCAAGTCCAGGGCGTTGACGTCCAAGATTCCCTCCGCGCGGGGTTCCTCCAAGAGCTTCTCCAAGTTCTCGTAGTCTTTCTTCGCGAGCAGGACTTGGATCTCCTGCGTCTTATTGTCGATGAAGAGCGAGCGGGCTAGTTGAAGTTGCTGGAAGATCTCCGGGGTACGTGCGACGTCTAGCGCAGTCTGGCCGCGGTAGTTGACGATCGCATCATTGAGCGAGTCTCGGTTCAGTAGTTCTCGAATGAGAGAGACACGGCCAAGTTGCGCGGCGAGATGGAGAGGGGTATTTCCCTCCCGATCTTGCTCGTTGATACACTGATCGTCACCGGATGATAACACGAACTCGACGACCTGGGGCTCAGCGCACTGCAAGGCTAGGTGCAGGATCGTGGTACCGTACAAGCGATTCGCAACCTGAGGATCCTGGGATTCCTTAATCGCCTTGGAAATCGCCGTTGTATCGCCGCTTCGCAGGATCTCGAACAAGCGGAAGGTCCGCACCGACTGATCTAGGGACATGCTGGTAGTCTCCGGCTGAGGCGCGGATGTGACCGCACCTTTGTCCAATCCGGTCACGCTATCAGCGTGGGAGCTCTGGATGCTCTGATTGGAGGGGATATGTTGGAGGGGGACGCCAGAGGTTGGGGGGGATGTAGGATCGAGGGAGGCCTTGCGAGTTTGAGAAGTGTGGCGGCTGTTACTGCGGGTGTGCTTCAAGGAGGGGGAGCCATTTCCAGAGGAAGTTGATCCGACCGAAGCTTTGTCGCTGTCTTCCTTGTCTTCACCCTGACCTCTGGATTTATCGCGGTGTAAAAGGGAAAGTGCCAGGGCGCTGCGCGAGCGCTTGTGTTTGTGCCTGGAAGACAGCATATTAGTGGACGATTCCCATGTGATATAAGCGTGGTAGGTCGCAGCTGGCTGACTGGCAGATCCGATGCGAATGTTTTCTTTCTTATTCTCCCAAGGGATCCGCCAGTGACGCGGCAAGACGAAGCTTTCGAGCCACTTTCGTCAGGGACTCAATCGACTCTGGTCGAAGGCGAGTTGACAGCCGAACACAACCGTGGCACGTCATCCGTTGGAACCACCTTGAGGGGGGACAACAGAGGGACCACAGAGGGACAACAGAGGGACAACAACCAAAGTAGGAGGGAAAACATAGGGAACAACTGGAACATACCCTTCTGGCCGATCAGACATGATTCATACACGGTGGAGGAAGCTGGAGAAGAGAGAAAAGGGTTCAGGGTTATTTTCTCCCCTCGAGAGGACGATCACTCCGCCTTGGCAGACGCCGCTTTTCAAAGTATACAACCACTCCTTGCACTCGGACTGCAGGTGGCGGGGATGGGGATAGCATGATACAGGTTGATGTTGATGGTACATTCTCTATGATACAGCTCTCTCTCTCTCTCTCTCTCTCTCTCTCTCTCTCCATCCCTATCTCGTTTCACCACTAACCAAAATCACCACACTACCCAACTGCCTCTTCAAATCCTCCTTATTAACATCATGAGTATCCTCAACCTCCCCCCCACATATCAGTCTGCCACTTCACTTCCAGACTCGAAGCCTCAGCCGCCTCTTCCAGTCCAAATTTCTTCCCATCGCGCTGAACATGGCGGAAATTCTCACTCCACTCCGCAACCAACCGAACCGCAACAAGAAGACTCTTCGAAGCAAGAATCCCCCTCTCCAAACCCGCCAAATCATGCGCAGCAAGTCCCCGCACCCAAGCACGAATAGCCTCCTGCGTAGCCTGAGGCTGCGCAACGGGGAGAATACTCTGCGTATCCAGGATAGGAACAATCTCAAGACCAGGCCAGACCTTCGTAGACAGGAAGCTCATAATATCCTTGGAAACACGGACCTGGATCTCCCGTAGACTCTCAATGTACTCGCCCTTCTCATTCTGGCACTCCATCGGGTGTCGCTCCCGCTCTGGCTCCCAGCAAAGCAAAGTATCCGTCTCGAGGTAGCGCATGGCTGTCGTGAGGATTTGGTCGCGGGTGGTGGTGACGCCCTTGGCTTCTTCCCGGATGATGTCCTCGGCGCGCGCGGCGAGGGAGGTCAGCGGGATGAGGTGGCTTTTCAAGGCTTGTTGGGCGGAGGTCATGACGTCCCATTCTAGAGCGATGGCGTGGGCTAGATGTGGCTTTGTTGGTGGGATGGAGAGGATGTCCTTGTTCGGGGTTCGGACGGGCCGTTTGTCAAGCAGTACTTGATATTCTCCTGAAAAAAAAAGAAGATGAAAAAACGAATTAGCGTACATTCACAGCACGATGAAATGAAGCCGGGATAGGGACGAAGTAATTCGATACGATGGCGATGGCGATGGCGATGGCAATGGCGATATACCATAGACACGCAAATCAACCATCAAGCGCAATCCGGCTGGCCAACCCATACATACCAGGTTTCCCATGAACATGAACATCCTTCCAGAAACGCTTCTTCAGCGAGGCATTCGCTCTATTCGGTTGTGATTCCTCTCCCGCAGATCCTGCATTGCTCTGCGCAGCTGACTCCCTAAAAGCTTCCGCTGGGGTCGGAGCTTTCGGCGGAGGGCCTTGGGCTGTGATGGGGTGGGCGATGGCCGCTCTCAAAGGCGAGGAGTGGATGTGGCGAGATAAAACATTTCGTGTGACCGAAGCCTGTCGCAACGGTAACGCAACGCGGGAGAAAGCCATGAGGGGGGATGAAGCAACGAATGGGATGGGGGAAGTTCGTTGCGGAGAAATCGTGTGAGCGGAACTTTTTTGGAGTCTCGGCCCGATCGCCGCCGCCTTTGGAGTATACATTCATGTTAAACATTATATCATACCTAGGTATGTATTATAGAGTAGTGTAGAATAACATAGTCTCCTGCATGTTTTTTTTTATAACTATTTTACTTACTTTACTTACTTTCAAAATGATTCTCCTCATTCCGGTTGTCGGGACTGATCGCTCCTATTTGTGTTGACAGCTCTTTTACAGTTTCAGCCGTGCCGACGTTCCGCTGCAGGATTGCATCAGAACTGGACGCCATGGTCGGAGCATATGTACGATGACACCAGTCTTGTCTCGCTTGGGATGGGAGCTGAACTAGCTGAACTATACTAGCTGAGATAGACTAGCTGAATCTGATATCCTACGAACGAGCCTATAAGAAAAAAAAGAGAGCTTGAAGTAGCACTTATGCTGCATGGGTTCCAGTTGATTAAAAATTATCAACAGCAGTTTCCAAAAACCGACCTGAAGAGATAACAAATTACAAGAGCCTCCCAGATTGCATCTAGAATCAAGTCAAGTCAAAAGCAAAGCAACGTGAAAGATGGAAAGAGATGGAAAGAAGAAGAAAATTGCCAAATTCAAATGAGGAAGACATTTCAAATGCTATCGCCAGAAAAGAAAGGGGAATCAAGCCAGCAGAAGAGCATGAGATGATATGCAACGCGCAAGAGAACATTTCCCAGAAGAAAAAAAAAGAATGGAAAATAAAAAAGCAATGACAGCCGCCCATGCTTTTGTAATTTACACAAGAAGGAAAGGGATTCCGAAGAAAGGGAAAAAAGAGAAGAATCCGAAAGTGAAAGGGAAGAAAACAAGAAGCCTTCAAGGCTCAAATGACAAACGTTAGCCGCCCATTTTGTTTTTGGTGTGCTTTTTTGCTTTTGAGGTTGTTTTTTTTGTTCGCTCTCGAAATTGATAAGAGCGAACCAATGGTACGCAGAAGAGCGAAGAAAAAAAAAAGAAGAATTCCACGAGGAAGAAAAATAATAATAACCGTAAGCGCACGAATGGCAAACGTTGCCATGGTATCACATATCAGGTCTGTCGGATCTCACAAAACTGGTAGGAGGGGGACGAGATGTTGTTCTTTGCCTCTCTCAGGGCCTGCAGAGTCACACCCACGTCATAAGGGCCTAGCCCCAGCTGCACGCAATGAGCAAGGTCCCGTGGTGGGTTTTGAATTGGCAACTGTAGGATCCAACCTGTCACGAGGAAAGGAACGCTTCGAAAAGGAAAGCGCTGGACTGGACGCATCTAAAAATCGAGATCGGGATCGGGATCGGGACCAAGATCGAAAACTGAAGCCGAAACGCGCAGAGAAGGAGAACGAAGGGGAAAGGGACCATGTCGGGTTTGGCATAGTCAAAGAAATATCATCACGGCATAACATCGTAAAAACAAAGAATAGAAAAAAAAGAAAATTAGACAAAATCGAAATCGAAAATTGATCACAAAGGGTGAAAAAAGTCCCAGTCGCTGAGCACATCTTATTCGCCGTGCTCGTGCATGGAGGGAGACGTGGACATGGGGATCCCGCTTTATCGGGGGGGGGGGACTCTGCGGCATGTGTGATCCCCGAGATATTTCGAATTGAAAAAGCACATGCCACAGGTAAAGACTCCTTCCCACAAAGGGAAACTGGGGTGGGGGTTGCAGGAGGGGGCGGAGACGGAGACGGAGATGGTCTCCATCGTGGCCAAAGTTGAGTTGAGGGGGCGGCGGTTATGATGTGATATGATGACTCGGATGGTGTGTATGCAATGTTTTTATTTGGTGAAGTAGCTTGGATAATAGGGCTGCTTCAAATTCTTGCGATCCGCATCGGTGCGCTTCTTCATACGCTCGGCGTCATAGTCATCAGCGCCGTCACGGCTACCCCATGTTGTCTGTGCAGGTGGATGGTCAGCGACTAATTCCAGGAAAAGTGAAAGAGTGCTTGGATGCATATCAAGTTGAGATGGGTCGATGGGAAGAACCACCGAATGGTACGGAGTATCCAGCAGACGAATCAGAGGAATCACCCTAAGGCAGGCAAAAATGGGTGGGGTGGGGTAACAGAAAAAAAAAAACACAAAACACAAAACACAGGGAAAACTGTAAAACGCAGCTTTTCACACACGGGACAATGGTGGATAAGGGCATCTGCACGAGGGAGGAGTTGTGATCAAAGCGTTGTGAGGCGAGCATATCATAGGAAGAACCAAGGGCCAATACGGAAAAGGCAAGAAGAGGGGCTGACGCTTAGGCAGCCCACTCTTCCTTTTTGCTTTCCCACACGACAAACAAAGACAAAATAAAAAAAAATGAGCAGGAAATGAGCAGAATAATACATTACTTACCACATTCAAGGTCATCACAGCATACATCTTGATTGCTCCGTGGAAATAACCGAATATAACAGAGATGGGTAATAGGAGAAGGTCAACCGGGTACCGAATATAGTGACCCAGTAGCTTGATCCACTTGCTAGTGAACATCCACAAGCCTAGAGCCATCATTGCACGAGCATGAGATGCGTCGCCCCAAGTAATGGTAGCCTTGTGGCACAACCAGACCAAAAGGAGGTCTCCCAACAGGGCCGGCGGCGACAAAGTTGTCAAGTGTACCGCATAGGCGCTCCAGGGCTGACGACTGCACGACAGGTTAGCTGCGGCTGAAAACGTGGAAAGTAAAGAAGGGGAAAGAAAAATAAAAAGAAAAGCATAATAAAACACGTAAGGGTAAAACACAAAACGTGAATCAGAAACCAAAGATAAACGAGGGGGGCCAGAGCAGATCTACCACATCTCCCACACCAGCTCAGGTCCGATCTTTGCTAAACTGGGACAGGCGTCTAGGCAAGGCCCACCCAGGAAAAGCCATGACCAGAGGCAATTGGCAAATGGAGGGGAAATCAAATCAAACAATAGTACTCCGTTGAAGGGGAAAGGGAAGGGGAAAAGAAATGAGGGTTTCACTTACTACCAAATGTGCTTCTCGTGGAACATACTGGTGAGATTACTCCGCCAGTTACTTCGGGACCAGCGCGCGCATTGCTTCAAGAATCGGGGGTTATCTTCCAAGGTGGTGAGCACCTCCGCTTCCGGGTGGTACTGCATATAAGTCTCCCAGCCATGCGAGACCATCCAGCGGGTAATGAAGTTGTCGTCATCCGCATTGAGTTGGTATTTTCCCCACCACCACTCCTCGTTAGTGAACCCATAAGTAAAGCCCTCATTCTGAAGAATCTGCGTTCGATATGCCACCGTTCGGCCCGACATACACGGCAATCCCCCATCAATATTCGTCGTCGCGCCACAGTCAAAGTTGCGACGCTCCAGGTATAAAGCTCCCAGATATCCCCAAACCCGCTGCGAGAGACTAGGGTTCACCGCGCGACGCAGACGCTGGCACGTCACGACTCCACCGTATCGGTCATCCTTCTCAAAGGGGGCCAGAACCCACGGAAGCACGGTAGAAGGCCAGCTCACGTCGTCGTCGGCCAGCAAGGTAATGGCGGTTCGGACTTCGGGGATCGCGCGCGTCATTTGGCGGCGCTTATTCGGGTGGGTGACGGTGAACAGGCGAATGCGAGATTTGGAGGCTGGCATAGCATACAGCATGCGCTCAGCCTTCTTTCGGTTGGCCTCGATGGTTACCAGCAAGATCTCGTAGGGTTGGTTGTCGAGAATGGACCGGATCGTCTCGACCAATTCGTCGCCACAACCCTCCAGTGTGGGGATGATAACCGTGACATCCTGCGAAGTGAGTTTCGGGTTCTCCGGTGGCGGGATCGGCTTGAATGACCAGAATGAGATCAAGTTCACTACTAGTCGAGCGTAGCGATAGATACTATTGAGGTCAGCTGCAGCTCGTGCAGGTGGCAAAAAAATTACAAAAGCACCACACATTGAGAGGACAAAATGAAATTCGGGAGAAGGGGGGGGAAGGAATAAAATTGTCACTCACAAAAGTGCAACAAAGGCTCGCAGAAAAGGAAAAGCCATGGCGGGTCCAACAATCAATGTTCCAAAGTCTCTGGGTGATTTATAGGATTGGTCGAATGTTCGGATGGTAACATTCAACTATAAAGTTCAAGTTTCAGCATTAGCACTGGCATTGTTATATCTCCGATTTCTCCGATTTGATAATCTGGAGGGACAAGATAAAGTAATAAAGAATGGATCAAGAAAAAAATAAGGTAGTCTCGGAAAAAGAATCCTAAAAGAATCCTTACCTATAGTCACAGCCACAATATTCCCGAGTCACCCTTTTTGGTTATCAAAAAAGGAAGGGGAAGGAGGAATGGGCTGGTATTGCAAGTCAAGACAAGCAAAAGAATAATCAAAAAACGAATGTCGGGGAAGACACAGCTTCCTCAACCAGCCCAAGGAAGGAGAGAGGGGAGGGGGAGAGGACGAGAGGAAAAGGAAGAAAAATAAATAAAGAGATAGATGGGTGACGAGGTCGAGTCAATTTGTAGGGGGAGCACATGCCTATGGGCCATCCTGATACTAATCCACACGATGGTAAAGAAAAAGCGAACTAAAATCCAAAATCCGAAATGTCATTGCCAAAAAAAACCCCCGAATTAAAAAGAACCTCCCAAAAAATTAAAATTAAAAAATTAAAAAAAAAAAATAAGAAAATCAAAAAGAACAGAATCCGGACTAGAGCATAGTGCCCCAGTAGCCGTTGTCGTTTTGAGATTCCTGCAGGTGTAGTTTTTGCCTCGTGCGTCAGAGACCCTGGATCTAGATGGGAAAAGAGTGGAGGGCTTGGCGGTCCATGCAGCAGTGACATGCGGTGGGGCCACAATGCCTTGGTATACACTATACTACCGTGTATTATACTGTATTACAGCGGTTCGTGGTTTGGCTTTTTTGGCTTTGCTTTCTACTCTCTTTGCTCTGGCTCTGTGCTTTGTGCTTGTTTA